AGCACCATAGAAAGGGGTATCACCTTTACAGTCACCTGCGCGTTCTATGCAGCTCTACATAGAAACGCACAGCCACTACACAGCACTCCCTAGAATCTCAGAGCAGATCTGCAGCCATTCATAGAAACACATAGCCACTTCATAGTGCTCCCTAGAATTACGGAGCAGATCTGCAGCCCTCAGTAGCAACCCCTGGGGTCTGCAGATTCCTAGAGGGGGGGCATACATTCTGCTCATTTTAATACCATATTGCATGATTTTTACACAGAACTTGTGTTACGAAAAAATAAGTTTATTGTCTGCACTACTACATTATACAAGATATCCTAATATTCTACATAGTAATGACTGCAGTATATCAAATTTATGGAATAAGAGACCGTCCATCTTTCATCAACAGAGGGAGGATGCCATTCACCAACAAGGAAGGGAGGACGGTTGTTCGTCAAGGGACGGAGCCGTTCTTCAAAGGAGGGAGGACGCCATTCGTCGACAAGGGAGGAGGACGCCGTTCTTCAAGGGAGGGAGCCGTTCATCAATGAGGTAGGGAGGACACCGTTCGTCGACAACAGAGGGAAGATGCATTTGTCGACAAGCGAGGGAAGACGCCGTTCTTCAAGGCAGGGGGAATACCATTTATCAACGAGAGAGGGAGGACGCCGTTCGTCAACGAGGGAGGGAGGACACCATTCGTCGAGGGAGAAACACCGTCAGTCAAGAAGGGAGTCGGACGGAGGATGCCGTTCGTCGACGAGTGAGGGAGCAGTTCATCAAGGGAGGACACTGTTCATCGGGGGAGCCGTTTGTCGAGGGAGGGGGCCATTTGTCAAGAGGGAGCCTTTTGTCAAGGGAGGGAGCCATTTGCCGAGAGAGGGAGCCATTCGTTGAGGGAGGAGTCGTTTGTCGACGAGGGAGCCGTTCGTCGATGAGGGAGGGATCTTTTCTTTAAGGGAGGAAGCCATTCTTCACGGGAGCGAGCTGTTCTTCAAGGGAGGCAGGGAGCCATTCTTCAAGGGGGGGAGGAAGCCATTCTTCAAGAGAGGGAGGATGCCGTTCTTCAAGGGAGGGAGGACGCCGATCATGGACGAGGGAGGACACCGTTCGTCGAGGGACGCGGTTCGTCAACGAGGGAGGGAGGATGCTGTAACTCGACGAGGGAGGACACCGTTTGTCGAGGACAAGTTAAACATTGTGGTGGGAAGGAAGAACAATGAATTTCCGTGTTGGGAAATTCAAGAGTTCAACATAATCACATGATGTCGGAGTTTCAACGGACTTAAACGAATTGTCTCGCAACTTGAAGTTGTTTGTCGCCTGTCACTGTCTTTCACAGAAAGCATGGCATTCGAGGTGGGCATACACAATTGTAGATGGCACCATGTAATCAAGCAAATATAAAGTTCATATTGGAAAATTATTGAACAATTTCCGAGCCTTCCAAGAAATTTGCAGTTGTTACCAGAAATTTCCTGGCTATTTCCATGATTTCCCGAAATTTCCTGTTTTTTGGTAGTAGTAGTAACAATTGAAGTTGTCTAAGTTCGAAAATGTGAGTTGAGCGTGGCACGTGACTTCCCGCAACCGTACCGACTTCCATCAATTCACACTTACACTTTCTAGGTAGCTCATAGCTATAACTTCACGAGTATCACACCGTTTGGCCTCTATGTAGGCTTATTTTAATCGCTTTATTCACGCGAATGCAATCCAATTTACGGCGTAGAAAAATTTGGAGTACCTCACAAATTGTAGCATAAACTATTTGGCCTGTATTAGACATCTGAAATATATATTATCATCATGAGTTCTGCTCCGTTTCATGCGATTTTGGGCTTGTCAGAAACGCACAAATTAGAGCTTTAAAACGGGTCTAAGAGCCCCTAATATTTCGACGTTTAAGGCGACCTCCGATAACATTTACCATTTTTAGGCAGATTCTTCACCAGTAATTGGTCCAAAGCCATTTGAGTTTTGAACTAAATACTACGTAAATAGATGCGTTGGAATCGGCTTGAACACCACTTTCCAACGCAAAAAAAATCACAAAAGACGAATATGTTTTGCAAAAGATACTTCATATTCTTTCTTGTTGCAATCTTTGTAGGTCAATCAATCTCTGGACAGTGTTGTACTTTCTTCTTATTCCAGGCGTATTTTGGTCATAAATTATTCATATACAATAGGGAATGTGTTTTCTACTGAAATCTAGTATACTTGTAGTTTGACTCCCTATAAGGGCTGGGTAGAAAGTGGAGGCCCCTCTATAGCACCCTATAGTAACGGCACAAGTCTCTGTAGTGCTGTATAGCACAAGCTTACACCCACACAGTGCTGTGGAGCGCTGTGGAGCGCTAGGGCATCTAGCCAAACTTGGCGTGTAACTATGGGAAACTATGATGTTAGCGGAAGCACTATGCCTGTCTACGTGGGAAAATCAGGTTTTGCTGATGCAGTCTAAACGTTCAAGGTCGGTAGGTTCGACGGGGATACAGAAAGACTCAACGTACCCGTTCACTGGCCCTGTTGTTCATGATCAGCCTTTCACAGCAAACGTTGAACAGATAGTCGTACACACTTGGAAATCAACCCCGTCCAGACCCCGTCTGTTGGCCCAAACGAATGTTATTTTGACCAAAGCAAACCTCACCAAAGAACTTCATATCCCCAAGAAGATAATGCAACCACGGTCCACATTCCCTGGGGCTATCCCAAGGCGCCATGTTCATGTACCAATTCCGCATCGTTCTATGGAAGTCGAAGACTGATTCTTCTTCTTTTGAGTCCCGGAGGGGTTTCATGTGTTCGACCTCGAGTGGTACGTGTACATCGAAATGAATTTGTGAGGATCTTGCTTGGTGTTAAGGGAGCAGCAAGAAGAGGCCGCATTGAACAGGTTACTACTCCTACAATGTGAGGATGTGCCGTCTTCTATCCCTCAACCCCAGTGAAAACCGGCTCTGTTACCAGCCGCAAGTATCTGCGGATTCCCGGAAGATATCGGAGATCGTCGGCGGAGCAGAAAGGTGCAGGTAGAATGGGATTTTGTCCCTTTTGCGGATTTTTTTCCGCAACTGTCTGCCCCTTTTTGACGAACTACGGCATCGATTGCGAATATTTCGGTGGCTACCCCTTCTAGTCTGCTCCCATCTGCATTTATCAGTCCTCACTTGTAGGTAGAATTTTTTTGAATTGCTTCATATATAATATACAATTTCCTGCGATTTCCTGCGATTTTCTGGCTGCTATATACCCAAGACCCCCACGACACGACATCTATCCCTGGAGCGGAACCTTAACTAATCGCCGTCTCACACCCACTTCCACCCATCCGCTTGTGCACACGTCTGAGAGACAGATGTATCGATGTCGGGGTCGGCATTGTGGATGGGGGAATAAATAGAAATTTCGAGCCGCTGGGTATTTATCAGACACGCGACACCAAACGGATGCCAAAACGCACTCACAAGTTGTCCTCGGCCATAGAATACTCTGCAGAAGGCGCATATATGCGCCGAAAATGGTCACTTAGACGACATGGTACAAGGACAGGAAGTCACTTACCGAAGTTCTGGTAACAGACACACTTCCTTGTACCCAGTGAGACCAGTCACTTGGACTCCAGAGCCTTATAGGCTGACGACTCCGTTCATGTACGTTAACGAGAGGAATGCCAGTGGGCGGAATGGTGCGAAGTGTGAGGAGATGGGTTGGGGGAGATGGTGGGGGGGCGGGAAGAAAGAAGGAATAAAGGCAATTTGATAGCGCTCTGAGATATATAGTCGCGCTCAGCTAGTAGAATTTGGGGAAAGAATTTAGAGTCAAGTCCAGAATGATGTCGTTCAACGGAGCAGGTGCAGAAACGTTGCGGGCCGCAGCGGATCATCGCCGATTTTGCCCTTTTCAGCCGATATTCGCACATTCTCGTGGAAACTTGCAGAGCCGGTTTTCACTGGGCCTCAACTCTGATTGCTTTTGAGTGATACATCAGGAAAATCACAAATGTGTGGCACGTCGTGATCGCGTGGCGGAGTGTGGCCGGAGTGATGGATCTGGCACCACACCGCCATAATTTTGATCTCCGGGTAAATTGAGCCACGCGCGTCACAATATCGATCACGCCACTGTCGCATGTGTACAGTGTAAGTATCGATCACGCGACATCTTGATTGGAAAATTTTGGACTTCTGAACTTTTCCTCCACTCTCCGTATCTTCCCGCCAAGCTCCTTCGTCTTCCCCATCGTGCAATCCCCCTCTGCTGCGTCACCCCCACCATCAACCACCACGTTCGGTAACCCGCTCCCAACCACCACTGCACACCAATGACAAAAGCAATGATCTACCCAATGACAACAACAACGACCTGGCACATCAACGGATGTGCCACGTCGACCAGACGGTGATGACGGATGTCGTCGTCACTGTCCGTGTTGCTTGAGGTCAGCCACTCAAACTCCCTCCCCTTCTCCTCTTTTCACGCAAGACTCAGGGGGCCACGTTGGCGTCGGCGACGTGGCATGGACTCTCCTTTTTCTAACAAGAGAAGCAGGTGCCACGTCGCTCTCTTCGAATGCTTCACCACACCTACGAGTACCAGCCCTCCATGGACCTAGAATGGGACGTCCGTGCCCCGTCCATCGGGACGGAAGGTCCATTGATCTTTTTCCATGGGTTCTTGTCCGTTCCTCTCTTTTTTACTGCCTCATACTCAACCCATCTCTATACTATAGCGGCTCAAAGAGGAACTGGCAATCACTCTGCAAAGCCTTCCACTGAGCCTTGCCCACACGACCAATCTAAGCCTTCGACCTCCGGAACCACGGCATGTCACCGCGCGCGGCACCACATACGAATGAGAGCATGGCGGCTGGTGTCAAGCGAGTCATTGAAAATATGAGTTTGAAGACGTGACGGTGTTGGGGCATTCTATGTGGGTACCTCTTTCGCTGTCCGTTCTTCCTGTCTCATCAGATTGAACTTGAAAAGGGGCGGAAAGTCGCAATGACGCTCGCACTCTCCAACCCTACCCTCATCTCCAACCTCATCATATCCGACATTGCCCCGACGAACAAACCTCTCCACCCCGAATTTGTAACGTACATCTCAGCAATGCAACACATCAACAGCCTAGCCCTCGGCGTCATCCGTACACGCGCGGATGCGGGTCGGGCATTGGCAGAATACGAACCCGTACGTCGTGTATCAAACCCATGTATGTTGTATTGAGAACGTGGACAGGACCTCTCCATCCGGCAATTTCTACTAACCAACCTCGTCCTCCCTCCTCACTCCGCCCATATGCCCAGCGTGAGCACGGGTGGGGCTTACACCAAACCAAGATTCACGCTCCCCCTGGACCTCCTCAGCTCATCTTCCCCACACCGCTCATCTTTGTAACATGGAACCCAGGTGCCAGCGACGTGGTGGCCGAACGACGAATGTCTTTCGTTGCTGTTGTATGTTTTCAGACGCGATGGTAAGTACCGCCGTTCCACTTTGTTCCAAGCCATGATTATGATGCTTTGCATTTTATAGTGAGCTTTTTGCGTCTCACCGTCATCCACTTCGTTCCTCGCCTCTGCCGCAGCCGCAGCCATCATTTTGCTAGATCGTCGAATTAGTCTTTACATCGGTATTTACATGGTGTTTCTGTATGTAGTATAGTAATAAAAAAAATTATCTCTATTTTGGCAAGGGTGTGGTGCAATGATTCAGAAGTTGGTTTGTGGCCCCATGATGAAATTATTATGAGATTGTGGTGCCACGAATGATTGTGGTGAGTGAGTCGCCACCGCAAGTATAATGTCCCCATTCTTATTTGTGAGAGTGTGGCTGAGCGTGGTTTGGATGAGAAGCGTGGTGCCACACATGCCACACGTGATGTGATTTTCCTGATGTATGTGGGAGTGGCCGGATATGCTCTGCTCTATGGGCAGACGTAGACGTATGTATGCGTCGAAAATTTTCGCAGTGGACAGGAGAGTCGCGTGACACTTGTTTATCAGAACCCTAACCTGACCAACCCAACAAGTGCGGCCACCCTCCCTCCAAGTACGAGTGGGTCGCTTTGATTCAAAGATGACATGCTGATAGTCCTGTGGCCACGTATTCGGACAGCCGACAAGCAAGAGGAACACGGGTCCGAGAATGATGAACAGCGCAGGACTTGAGCCGGATCCATACATCAATGTAGTAGAGTTGGTAGTCCTGTAACCCAAGTTCATGAGCTAACGTTGTACTTTGCCGTCTGGTTTTGTCACGGAGGACCAATTTGGGACCAAGTCGAAGGCAGTGGTAAGTTTGTTGATTGGGCGATGCTTCGCCATCTCACAATTTTTTTCGTGACAGCTACTAGTAATCGGCTCCCCAGGAAAGACAGCCACCCTTGAAGGTCTCGCCGCTCGCGAATGGTATCGTGGCGAAGGAAGTCCCAGAGGTGCGTCGGGTCTATTCCTTTTCTACTCGTCATTTTCCAAGAACGGCGGGATAAGTCCTTCCACACCAAACGTCCTCCAATCCGCTATTATGGCAGGCTCAGGAATCCGAGGGCAGTTTGAGGAAAAGTTCAAGGCCCTTCTGCGGGACATGGAGGACGAGGTTCGTTCTTCCACTTCGACTCGTATTTCTTACGAAGTCGTCGCTCATGTCATAGGGCCAAAAAGTCATTTCAAGTTGCTTTATCGACGCAGTGCGTGAGTGTCACTACATTCGGGAGTAACATTTTCTCTTCGTTCCAACCACACCTATGTCAGCATCAATCGGTCTGCTTCACTTCCTGGCATGTATACCTCTCTTTTGCGCTTCCTGAATCCTCTCTCGCCCTTTTTGAATCTCACACAATGACTCTCCCCTGTAGCCGACGAACACCACAAAACAATGTCCAAAGACGCCGCACTTGTACGCCAGTACTTCCTTGCTGTTGCTTACTTCTAAACTTTATATTGCTTACCGTGGATGATGGAACGCATCATTGTTTGCTCTGGATGATATTGCACTTGAACACAACGCTTTGGAACCTATCCCTCTAGCACTGGAGCCTGTCGTGTGGAACCCAACTCTGTTCTCCGGATTGATCAACCTTGCTTCTCAATTTGGAAGTGCACTTGGACCCAACATAATGAACACCTCACATCAATCGTGAACAGCCGCAGTCCACTCTGCATGCTGTATCTCTCACCGGTGCTTGCCTGACAATGCTATCGATTTGGTGGACGGAGCCACCTCGGTCCTCCGTCTCACGTAGGAGGGACAAGCCCAGCGACTTGGAGTCCCTAGAACGGGAGATAATGACGCTCCAAATCGAATTGGAGAGCTTGAGAACGAAAAATACACCTTCAGTCTCGTGGATCGGAGGAAGAGGTTTTGAAAGAAATCGGACGCGGGCTTTCTCTCACTTAGCCGCGATGTACGCGATTGTGGAGAAGCGTACGAAGGCCCTGAAGGTTTATCAAGCTGGGTGTGGTAGGACGTCATCATTGTTATATCACCTTACCCCCTTGGTGATGGCGACGTACTGCTCCCCCGTTGCCCCCTCGCTAGATTTCACATGCTCGGTCCGTATCCAATATGCTTTACCATAATTCGTCAATAACTACCTCTTCAGCTCATATTGTGATCCCTCTTAAGGCTAGACGTTTTGTCTTCTTTGCCTTCAGAGTAAGGAACAGGTAAGGAACCGTAGCCCTGTCGCTCCAAAACGATTTCCCCCCCCCCCCCCCCAATGCTTTGATTTTTTGACGGTGGCGATACCCCAACTTTTTCGGGGGCAAATCCCATTCGCGAACTATGTCATTGTCAGCATTTCATAGGGTAAGTAGTCCCCAAGTCTCTTTTAAGGAATCCAAATTCTCAATTCTGGCTCAGGTTTTTCCAGGTCGAGTCGGTCATCTCCCGTTTCCCGCCTATTTTCTGTTCAGTTTACGCGGCGGATCGCATTCTGGCACTCTCAGTTTGCGGCAACTCTAGGATTCGTGACAAGTACCACTGCACCATTGACACGCTTCTCTGAGATCCTTAGGAACACCAGATGAGCCGAATCCACATGCCATTAGGTGCTTGCAACACGTATCGAAGGAGGGATTTTCATCAGTGCGAGTCTGTGTAAGGGGGAGAGTGTCAGGCGTTAAGTTTATCAAAATTTCCGTCCAACTTTCAATTAATTTTTCAACAAAAACTTCATCAGTTCATTGGAGCACAATATTGGGTTTTCGTATAACTCGTACAAGCATCCTTCCTTCGCCTATTTCACACTACTTCCAGAACGCGAGACACTAACAAAACAACAAGAAAACTTCCTCGATAAAGCGATTATCCAGATGCGCACTTGCAGCCGCAGCTGGCGCAGGAACAACTACACGCGGAATCAACGTGTCAGAACCAGACAATGCAGAAAATTTACGGTTGTGAACTTACTCTTGGGCGCAACCGCAGGAAGAGTGGTCGCCGCAAGCAGCGTTGGCGAAAGCAGATGTGTTCTGCGGAAGCTCGTTAGAAGGCAAAGAGTCAGCCAGCGAAAAGACGTATGGAGATCATGATGATGGTTGGTTTGAATTCAGTTGGGTACTGGGTTCTGTAGAGCCTGAGGTTAACTAAGAGTCCTTTATACTCCTCGAGCTTTTGTTTACCTGTGTTGTGTAGGTCAAGTCAAGCCGCGATGTGCATTGTACCCCCTTCGACCATCAGTACCTACGTCAATCACACAAAGCGTGAGTAGGCGTGAGTCTGTGTGGCTTGCAAGGATCGGCCCCGAGAGGGAAAGCAATTGGCCAGAGGCAAATCGGCGATTCTCTCACCCCAAATGGATTAGTGAGATGACGGTAAGCACATAGCCAGATGATGTGAATATAGGCCAAATTTGGATCCGCTGGCCAAGTCCTCAAATTCCGCAATTGTGCTGAACGACAAAATTGAGGGCCTGGAAAAAAAGGGCATATTTCAAGGGTCCTCGCGGTTTTCCTTTTTCAATACTTCAGATGGGTAGGAGAAGACTTGAGTCACAAAAAAAACATCCCTAACGGCGTCGTTAATCAAAATTTGTCTTCTTTCCCTTCAAGGAACCGTAGTCCTGTCGCTGTAAAACGATTTACCCCTCACAGTGCATTGATTTTTTGACGGTGGCGATACCTCAACCTTTTCTGGGGGCATTCCAAGTCTCTTGTAATAAATCCAATATTTCAATTCTGGCTCAGACTTTCCAGGGCGAGTCGATTATCTCTCTATTCCTGTGTAATTCTTGTTCAGTTTACGTGGCGGATCACATTTTGGCAATCTCCGTTTGCGGCAGCTCCAGGACTCGTGACTAGTACCCTTGACACACTTCTCCCCAGTTCTTCCCCTCAGCTGAATCAGATTCAGAGTGCCTTTGTGGCTGTTGATCGACAGTGTGGGGCAATAAGTAATTTATATCTTCCGAGAACCACAGGATCTGAGATTGGTTGACGTAAGGACTGAGCGGCATAATTGACTGAATTATTGCAGAGGAAAGTAGGAGGAAAGAAATATCGTCGTCTGTGATATGAACATAGTAGCTCTGAGCTTTTCTTCTAGAGCAATAGAAGTCGCAAATTCCCTTTGAAAGTCTAGCAAATTATTGTTCCGTCGCTGCCCTCCGAATTGGAAAGTACTAGTGATACCGCTCTGTCGGTTAGATGAGGCACATCCAGACCACAAGGACCTTCTGACCGCGTTTCGAAAATGGGTCCGACTCAGCATACAACTATCTAAAATTCTATTGAGGAAATCGCCGCTCGTGATACACACAAAGTTTTATTTGAGGAGGAGATGCAGCTTTTCTCGCCGTGAGCAGGCCAAATTTGAAGCCTGACGCACTGTCTCTAAAATCAAAATAGGATAAATTGAGCCATCGATGGCCCTGGTTATCTAAAACCTTTTTACCCCGCATCGATCCGTCGTCTTCAACGTGGCGGCGGCGGATCATCACACCCCAAACGCGAAAAGTCTGTTTTTGAACAATGACATCGTTAGGGGATTTTTTTGGTCTTGTAACTATCCATCTGGAGTAACGGAAAAAGAACAGCCTGAGGACCCATGAACTATGCCCTTTGTCCTCCAGAGTCCAAGCCCTCAATTTTTCCGTTCAACGGAATTTAGGAGCTTCGCAAGATCAAAATTTGGCCTAGTATATTCACCTCTGGCTATGTACTTACCATTTCACTAGTCCATTCGTGGCAAGAGATTCACCGATTTGTTTCTGGCCAACTGCTGTCCCCTCTCGACGGCCGAGCCCTGCGAGCCACCCACACTCACGCTGGGTGTGATTGACGTAGGTACTGATGATCAAAGAAGATACAGTACCCATAGCGGCTTGACTTGACCTACACAACACAGGTAAACAAAAGCTCGAGGAGTATAAAGCCCTCTTAGTTCACCTCAGGCTCTTCAGAACCCAGTACCCAACTGAATTCAAACCAACCATCATCATGATCTCCGTACGTTTCTCGCTGGCTGACTCCGAGTTTGCCTTCTAACCAGCTTTCGTAGAACACCTCTGCTCTCGCCAACGCTGCTTGCGGCGACCACTCTTCCTGCGGTTGCGCCCAGGAGTAAGTCCACAAACCTAAATTTTCTGCGTTGACTGGTTTTGACACGTTGATTCCATGTGTAGCTGCTCCTGCGCCAGCTGCGGCTGCAAGTGCGCATCCGGATAATCGCTTTATCGAGCAAATCTTCTTGTTGTTCTGAAAGTGTTTCGTGTACTGGGAGTAGTGTCAAATAGGCAAAGGATGGATGCTTGTACGAGTTATAGGATATTAGGAAAACCTAATATTGTGCTCCAGTGAATTGATATCGTTTTTGTTGAAAAGTTAATTGAAAGTTGGACGGAAAATTTGATATGGGTACGGACTTGTGTAAAAACAGGCGTACCGCGAGGGTGTTCCATCCTCCTCTTTGATCTAAGTGCCAATCTGAATATCTTCAAAGAGTACTGTTTATCGCCAACCGATGGGATGTGCAAGTGCCTATAATCCCCTATGTTCAGCACCGGTGTCTGGAACTCTAAGGTGCGAGGAACCTGAATGAGAGGCACACACAAGTTCGCGCAACCCCCGAAAGATCATCAAAAGCTCAAGCACACTCGTCGTTAGACGTAGTAAACGACATCGTCCTCTCAGACGCGAGCGTTTGGACAATTAATTTTGGAACAACGGTAAAGCCTGGAGGAGCGTCGAAAGCACGTATTCCCGGAGGTTGACGCAGCTTCACAGACGCGAGGGTAGACGAAATGCTATAGGTCATCTGCGACCATGGAACTCGTTGCAGATTTTGTCAAGAGGTGGTGTATGACCATGGGACGCAGTGGATGGACTTCGGCCATGCGCTGAAGATGTAGTATCTCAAAATCAGAGTGGGTATTGGGTGAAATGTGACGTTACCTAGACGTGGAGACAACATTGAGGTTCTCCTGCTCGCGGTGCATTTTCTCGTTATGGGACGTTGGCTTTGAATTCAGCGCCTTCATCCCTTGTATACGCTAACGAGTTAGGGAACACGATAAATCAGTTCCGTGGCGTGGTTGTACAGAGAGAAAGAAAGAACGGCGTACGGGTTGATAGGGAATTGGCTGAGATTCATTGAGAGCCTCGCGCTTCAGTTCCAAACGAGGAAGTGAGCATTTCCGTCGGAGCATAGATGATACATACCTCTCCAAAGAGCCTTAAATCCTCCCAGAGATTGGTTTCAGACGAGCAATTCCTCGGGGTTCCACTCATGTAGCGATCCAGCGCTGTGGATGGAGCCAGGGAGGATGGGTTTTGAGTCTTTTGACCGTTCTTCTTTTCTAAAGCTCGACCTATGTAACACCAAATAAAAACCGACTCTGCTTGCTTGAGAATGATGGGCGAGGGTGGGGGCCGGACGTGCTCGAGGGCTGGGAGGATGTGGATGTATGCGTCGACATTTTTGGAAGTTGACATCGACATGGAGGATAAGCTTAGAGAGTTGTGTGACGTCACTACTTGGTCAGTTGCCGTCGCGATGTTCGCTTTTCAAATCGATTAGAAATTAGAAATTGCGATGCAATTTCGTCGTGGATGTTCGTCGTTGGAAAGTAGGGTACTGAGGAGGAGTATGTACTTTGAGGAACAAGGAAAAACGCGTATTGATTATCAGAACCCTAACCCAAACTAAGTATCAAGTCTCCTCCTCTCTTTCAACCGCACCAGATTCAAAGCTCTTGTTCGTAAGATGTCTCGTTTCGTTAGAGCCTCCAAGTACCGGTGGGTGACTTTGATTCAAAATATGATATAATGCTGATAGTCAGTCGTATAGCCACGTTTTTGGACAGCCAACAAGGAAGGAACATGGATACGAGAACGTCAAAGTGACGAACAGCGCATGGGACACCAATCTCATCTCCTCATCCGGCGTAAGCACTACCATTCAATCCAATCCTCGTAACTCCTCGATGTTTATCTCTTACATAACAGCAATACATCTCTGTAAACTGGAACGCATCAGGAGGAGGCGCATTCGCCATCCTCCCCCTCCCCTCGCCCTTCCAAACCTCCCCCTCCTTCCCATACAAACTCCCCGACACCCTCCCCCTCGCCCGCTCCCACACCGCCCCCGTCCTGGACACAGATTGGTCCCCACACAACGACGCCCTCGTCGCCTCTGCCGGCGAAGACGGCAAAATCATGATCTGGTCCGTGTCCCCGTCCTCTTTCGAAGGGTGGGGCACGGAGGGGTGGGTCCCCCAGGACTTTGATCCTGTTCTTCGGATCGACGGGTCCCCGAGGAAGGTGGGCCAGGTGTTGTTTCATCCCAGTGCGGAAGGGGTGTTGGCGGCGAGTGGAGGCGAATGTACCGTTAAACTATGGGACATTGCCAATCCCGAGGAACCGACGGCAGTGTTGAATGGCCATGGGGACGTGATTCAAAGTATGGCATTCAACCCCACGGGAACGCTCCTAGCCACCACCTGCCGCGATCGGAAACTCCGGATATTCGATCCGCGTGCGGGTGGTAAGCCTGTTCGAGTTGGGGATGGACATGGTGGGATTAAAGGATCGAGGGTGACGTGGATGGGCGAGTTGGATAAGATCGCTACGACGGGGTTCAGTAAGATGAGTGATCGACAGGTCGGCATTTGGGAGGTGGCCGGGTTGGGGAATGTAAAGACCATTTCGTTGGATATGAGTGCGGGTGTCGTTATGCCGTTTTGGACGGATAATCAGATTTTGTTTTTGGCTGGGAAAGGGTGCGTTCGCGTTTTAACTGGGTGTATTTTGCTGACCATTTCGCAGAGACGGGAATATACGTTACTACGAATACGAATCAGACTCTCTACACCCACTCGCAGAACATAAATCTTCAGAACCTCAACGCGGCATGTGTTTCCTCCCCCGCCGCGCACTCAACGTCGCAGAGTGTGAGATCGCACGCGCTTACAAGGTTCATGGCTCCAGCATCGAGCCTATTGCGTTTATCGTTCCCAGAAAGGCCGACTCGTTCCAATCAGACATCTACCCACCAGCACCATCCATCGATCCATCCCTTTCCGCAACAGAGTTCTTCAATGGGAAAACCGCACCGCTCAAACTGGTCAGTTTGGCAGATGGGAGCTCGGTTGTTGGGTCTTCCGCTGCTGCTCCTCCTTCCAGAAGCGCGTCTTTCTCTGCTGCTGCTTCCCCCAGCGCATCATTCTCAAGTGGCGGTGGTGCTGCAAGTGCACCCCCACCCTCGGCAGCACCACGACCAGCAGCGATCCAGCCCAAGAGGACGTTCAGCGCTTCGGCGCCTACGCCCGTCGAGCAGACGCCCATCACACCGGCTGCATATAGCCAGCCAACGAAGAGCTGGGAGGCTCCTGCGCCCACCCCAGTGACGGATTCGGTACGTCTTCCCCCTTCCTCCATTTTCCCCTTTCGTCTTCTCTTTGAGTTAACATGTCGACAGACCCTCAAAGAGGAAAATGCCCGCCTGACGACGGAGCTGCGCGAAGCGAGGGAGAAGATTCGGAATTTGGAGTTGCAGGTTGAGATTGTCAGGGCTGCTCAGGTGTTTGGTGATCTTTCTGTCGCGTTTAGATGTGTGGTGTTGCATTGTCAAGGAGTAGTTTGTCTGTCTCACCCAGCGAACTTCCCTGCCAAGATGTCAATGAGAATTGTGCATTTTGGTCATAAGTTCCGAAAAATTCAATATCCCTTCAACTTCTATGATCTCTTTTTTAATGTCGGATCATAATTTCACCTCCCCGCAGGGAGCTCAACTCAATTAAAAATGTCTGGCCATCGCAATTTTCATGCAATGGCCAGACGTCGTTCCGCATTCTGTATATTAGTGACGCCCGACGTGAAGGCCTAGAGAAATGATCAGAGACGACTTATAAGTGCTACGTGGCAAAGCTGATCTGTGTCAAACGAAGAAAATGAACTCACGGCAACGCGTTTGAAAACGGAAATCTCCTTGTTGGGGATACCAGTGTTGGCATGCAGTTGTTTCAGCACTAAACGACACATAAGACGTGTAATCTTATGTTTGAGGGCCAAAAGCTGTATAAAAGCAACGTTGATATCTATTCAAGGAATGAACTCCAAGTCAACGTTGATATACAAAACAGCTTACATTGTTTGCAAGCAGAAGGAGAATAGCAGTGTAACATGCCTCATAGTCGAAGACAAATCTAAAGGGGTTATTAGTCAAAGAATGAACAAAAGAGGAGGTGTAATACGCACAAGACAAGGAAGGAGGGCGATCGCCGGATGTTGAAAAATTGAATTTGCACAGCATAATGCAGCAAAGTGTAAGAGCGCTGTGAGAGAGATCGCCGGAACTAGAAAAATCGAATGTGAAACCTTGGAGTGTAGCAACGGAACAATAGGCTGCCACGTAGCGATGGCTGGACTTTGAGAAATCCAAAAGACGATTGCACAAGTGAATCTGGAAGGGAATATGAGAAAAGAGAAAAGAAACGATGGATGTAGGAACAACCTTACAACGTGAGGGCGATTGCCGGAACTCCAAAAATCAAGTTTAAACCGTAGGGTGAAGCGACGTAAAGAAAATAATAGGCACCACCATGTGCTGCCACGTAGCGATGGCGGGACACCGAAAAATTAAAAAATGGTTGGCGGCCTGAGGGTGATCACCGGAACTCGAAAATTGAGTTTGAACCACAGAGTGAAGTGACAAAGAAATGGATAGGCAGCACCACGTAGCGATGGCCAGACTTTGAAAAATCAAAAAATCATTGCAATGGTGAATCTTGAAACTTATATGAGAACGGAAGGATAAAGGATAGGTATAGGAATGAGCTTACAGTGTCTAGGAAGTTGGGTAGGGTGAGGACGATTGCCGGAACTCGAAAAAATGAGTTTGAACAGCGAGGGGATATGTTTTAGAGAGGGAAAATATGATAGCAGCACTAAGCGCCATCAGATAGTGATTGCGGGATGTTGAATATCGAGTTAGAATGGTGGATACACACATCTAGAAGGATTAATTGATAAGAGAATGAAAGAATAAACATAAAACAACTTACGTCCAGAGGGGTGATCGCCGGAACTCGAAAAATCGAGTTTAAGCCGTAGGGTGACATGACGTAAGTAGAGAAACTGACAGGCAGCACTACGTGCTGCCACGTAGCGATGGCCAGACTTTGAAAAATCAAAAAATCATTGCAACAGTGAATCTTGAAAATTATATGAGAAAGGAAGAACAAAGGATGGGTATAGGAATAAGCTTACGATGTCAAGGAAGTTGGGTAGGGTGAGGGTGATTGCCGGAACTCGAAAAAATGAATTTGAATAGCAAGGGGATATATTGTAGAAGTAAAACGTGATAGCCGTCATGTAGTGATCGCCGGACATCAAAATATTGAAGTAGAATGGTGGATACACATCTAGAAAGGCTGATTGATAAGAGAACGAAAGGATAAACACAACAAAACTTACATTCAATGGACACTGTGGCAGAACCATATTTTCCGGAATGTGATACGTTGTGTTGGGCCAATCCCAGAGGTAAACTGGAGGGACAAGATGACACGCCTTGTGATAGTGATCCGCGGACGTTGAAATATCAAATTGAAATATCTACAATGAAAAAAGGTAATATTAGTTCCAGAATGAACATGTAACTTGGATGAGACCTTACCCATTAATCTTCAGATGTTCAGAATGTACGACGTGAACAAGTGATGTACCAAAATGCTTTGCCGGCCTCCAAAAAATGAAAGAAATATTGCTGCAAAAAGTTCAATGGGGGGTTCAAATCAATGGGAGAACAAATGTAACTTGCATGGGAAGGCCTCATCGTGACAGCAATCCCCGGAACACCAACAATCAAGTGAGAATTGTAGGTGGCAATTGCCATGGCCAAAGTTCATGGTTTCTGAGTTCTACGGTACACAACACATTACTATGAGGTTTCATTGACAAGAAAACAAAAAGGATGACAAACCAAATTGGGTTGCATGGCTTAGGCATGCATGACCAGGGAGACGGTGAGCAAGGAGGTGGCCTAAAACAGAACTGTTAGTCAACATGGAGAAGAACAAACAAAGATCTATACTTAGAACATCGTCGACGACAACCTCTGACTGGATGGTTATGGAACAGTTGTGGAGGAGAGGGTAACAACAAATGGCTAAGCCACTTGCCTAACAATGTAGATGAGAGCTGGGCAGCATAGAGGCATAATGGAGGCAAGGGGGAAGGGTGAGCACCGACACAATTCTGAATGTACTTATACCTCTGAGTGCCAAGGAAAATCAACAAAGATTTGTGTGAGTAAGTATTTTGGCCGGAAGTATCCAGCCGACAAACAATGTGCGGTACTCAACGGGGACCTTACAATCTTATTATAGAGTGATCGGAATGTTCCAAACATGCACCTCAAATCAAGAATCTGGAACTTTACGCTTGTGTTTGCGATTTTTTGCGGCTAAGCTTTGCCCCCCCATTTCTCCTCCCCCGTCACCACCCAATTCTCGCCCTCACTAACTCTGCTGACCAGCTTCAAATTTTCCTGGATACAAGTTTTTATCCCTGGACCTGTGGTAAGTAAATCGATCTAATAGCTGGTCCAACACTCACATCATTATAGATGACAACATGCCTATATCCACAGAGCAACCGTGACTTTACAACGTCATTCCCAGCAACTCAGAAGACTCAAAACCCATGCACGTCGCATTTGAATCATACTTACCGTGACTTCTATACTCCAGGCCGAGTTGCTTTATAGATCTAGGAGGGTTTTTAGGATCTACGGCAATCGGTATGTGGTTTCTCTGCACGAAACACAACTCCATCACATCTTGTTTCAGTTCATCCATACATGGCGACCCGCTTAATCGTCCGAAACTAAACTCATGCTGGGCCGACATAGTCTGCGCTACTCTTCTCACTGCCATTACACTCAACAAACCAGTAAGCCTGTCATACCCAATATAATCTTATTTCCTGACGTCTAGAAAGTGCATGAAGATGATGACGCTTGTATGAGCTGGAGCCAGCGGGTACCCCATCACTGTGTCTTCAGGCTCTTCATCATTTAATGTCGTGCGTACTTTGAACTTTTTTTTCTTTCAGAACAGCCCCGTACGATCATCTGTTCATGTTTCAGCAATTTAAGTATTCAATATACCCGGCTACCCGTGTCCTGAAGTCTGGGTGTTTTGTGTAGCGGAGGATTTGAGCGGAATGTCCGCTACAGATGCACCTTTTCTCCCATTTTGTTTTCCCTACTTTCCTTTTGAACTACTTTTGTACCCTTATGTTTTACGTAGTCTTTCACAATATACATTGCAGTTTAGGAAAACGGTCATACAAGCGGTTTTGAAAAGAATTGAAAGATAACAGACATGGCCTCCTCCTTTCCCGATTCTTCATCACGCTTGGAACGCACTCATAGAGTGAACGATTTATACGCATCAGATTCTTTTTCGGAACCCTGTATACCCTGTAAGGCTGTACCTGGATTTCCTGCAAATCCGCGAGCGGAAGATGGAAATTCGTCGTGCCGTACCCATTGCTCCCCGCATTCCGTGCAATTCTCTACTTTCGTAGTGTACGATTTCTACCCATTTACGACCTTTAAACATTTCCCTAAGTATCTTCCACATGATATAGCAAAACCCGAGTGGCGTGGAGTGTGCGGATGTCGAGATATTCATTGTGAGGCTGAGGATTATCTCCTCCTCCCCCGATTCCGATTTCTCCGTAACACTTGAAAGACGTTCTCAAAGCGGATAGTTCCATGCACTAGGGTCTTTTTCGGAGTCCCGTTAACCCTGTGCCTGAACTTCCAGAACTTTTGCGAGCGGAAGATCCAAGCGCGGCTCTTCGCGCCCATTATCCACATTCAGTCTATTCATATCATTATGCTCTACCTTTCTGTATTCAAAGTGAGCGATTCCGATTGAGTTACATCTCGTATATGTATTTCTACATGTCCCCTATAAAAATGAACAAGCGTGTGGGCATGAGAATGTTCAAAGCAAGGAATGATTTCCTCTTCCCCCGATTCTGAATTCGCCATCGCGCTTGAAACGCAGGCTTCGTAAATCGGACGTTTCTACATGTCAGGGTCATGTTCAAAACCCCGTCCTATCCGTACCTGAATTTCCTGAAGTTTTGCAAGTGGAAGATAGTACCGTGCTACAGTGCATATTATGCCGACATTGCATACCACTCTCCAACTTAACGTTCACAGTGTATAGGTTTTATTCAAATGTAACTCGGATATCTATTCCTAAATGTATCAACGTAACTCAATAATAAATGAGCTTAGTCGAGCACTGAGGCATACGAATATTCAGAGTAGATATGATTGTCTCCTGCTCCCCCAATTCCAGATCCATCGCGCTTGAAACGCATTGGCGAAACCGACACTTTTGAACGTCAGGGTCTTCGTTGGAACACCGCCATCTGCGTGCCTGGATACCTGTAATTTCTGTTAGCGAAAGATTCTGGTGGGCGCGTCGTTTCCTGGATTTCGTACATACCATTCCTTATTCGCAGTATGCCAGATATGCGCAATAACATCTCGTATATATATCCTGAATTCCTAATTACTATGTTTGTTCAGGTGTTTGAAACTTTTTCACCGCTGCGCGATTTCTGCCTCACCACTTCATTGAATTCTTTAAATTTTTAACAAGCCAATAATCTTTTTTCTCTTCTATATGAATATCTACTTTTTTTTGGTATAAATGTGTTGTGTTCGCTGTCGGAGGCGTTCCGGTGCTCAGGGTTCAGATATATCAGGAGATTGAAACTCGTGTCACACTAGGTAACAACGAATTTGGCTGATGGATGATGTGCGAATGTCACGCAAATGTCACGTTTTTCGAGCTGTTTTGCGAGCAAAATTTGGTATTTTGCCCTTCCTCCCGAGAGCACTTCATCTCCCCCTCTAGAAATTTGTAGGTAGACTTTCAAATACAATTTAAATGTACTTGGAAAGTTTCAGAATAAACAGTCTAGCCGATCCAAAGGGATCTGAGAAAACATTCCAATACTTTTGTTTGGTTGGTGTAATGAAAAGCACAAAGTCATGCCTCCAGAGCACAAATCTTCGAATCTCCCTCTGAAATTTTGGAATAGTAAATCTCATGCATAAATACATCTTCCCTGAAATTTACAAGATCCTAAGGTAAGCGGAAGGCAAGATAATGTGCAGTTTCAAACTCCTGATGGGTTTCAAACTCCTGAACAAACATAGTAGTATCAGCAATTCGGAACGTCGACAGAGCACAGTAGACGTACATTTGGATTAATATGGGAGGATATGCTCCTCCTCCCCCGATTCCTCATCGCGCTTGAACCGCACAGATGGATATTCCATCTTGACGTGTCAGGGTCCTATTCGGATAGTATTCCCGATGTCCCTGCACATGTGAGTTCAAGAGTTTTGGTGCAAGAATTTCGTGAGTGGGTGTGCGTGCTTACTGTCCGAACTCTCCAATAATGCGCTTTCGTGTTTCTGTGATAAAGAAAGTATTAAGACTCATAGATTCATGACATAGAATTATAATACACTTACCTATAAAGAAAATACCAAAGCGCATAGATCTATCCAGGTGTAGATGACCGCCGAACATGTCCTCCTTCTCCTCTCCCGATTCCGAATCGAAAAACGGTGTTCTGGACATTCAACTGTCAGAAAATTATCCATCAAGGGTCTGATGAATGTACGTACTTTCTCTGGGAACGACTTGGCCAGGCTTGTAATTTTTTCTTGAAGCGTTTCGCGAATGGGAGGGATTCCTGTATAATGAAGATATCTGTCTGTGTAGATTAGTCGGCACTTTCTCATAGACAAATCGAATGTATTTTGAGTGATACCTTACGAAAAAGTACACCAAACGAGGCCGGAGTGAATTTAGAAACCATAGGAATGGGAAGGACGACACTTACGCAAAGATCGTTTCCTCCGTCCCCGGTTCCTGGTATCCGAGCCCTGCAAGAAACGAGACCCTCCTTGCTTCGTCACGTCAGTCACAATCCGGCGACTTAGCGCCAAGCGGGAAGGGCTATAAAGACAGGGCGGTCAGTCCATTGTTTTTTCATCAGCACCCACTTACATAGATACGCTCTCCTTCCTCCACTCTCGTTGTCGATCCCTACTCCCCTCTCGTCGTCGACTTCTTGTTCGTCGTCGTTTTTCTGTGGTAAGTCGTCCGCTCGTCGTCTGTCGTCGTTGATTTTGACGTTGTTAATCGAATTTTTTAGGACCTTCCTTCGACACGCAACGTTAGACGGTAGCGGGGTACGTCAACGTCGATTTCCTCATGAATAACGTTCACTTAGCTTTGCTTTCCTGCAGCTGGTTGTGACGGCACTGATGACGACGGTAAGTCTTTGTCAACACGCCCCTCCTTACTTACCACGCCGCTCGTGCCTGTCAGGTTGCCCATCGTGAACTTGTCGGCCCCGTTTGTACGCGACGTGGAGCCTTTTGATTCGACATTGGGATGGACAGCTTGGAAGGGCGGAATAGGCGTTGCGAACGTGAATATATAACTTGGTTCTGCAAAAGGTGTGTCAGGGTCGTTCGCTTCTCGAGTACAAAATTCACTGATCTTGCCTTGTGTCCAAAAGCTCTTTGTCGCGATCGCCCTCTAAGACTCTGAAACGTTCGTTAGCGTCATTTCGCACTGAAAGCACCCACTGAACAATTTCTTAGAGCGTTAACTCGTTTCCAAAAACGCGATGATCTACAGAATGTGAGTCATTGTAGACGGATTCCGATAGACGCCCACTGACCTGAACGTTGTAGTTGGCGAACGTTGTGGCCACCATGGCAAACGGTGAGCACAAGGTAACGTGTAACGTGTGTGACTGACCTTATTTTCCTTCTACCACCACGTCGATAGTCGACATTCGCCAACGTCGTCGCCCAATCAACTTGGACTGCACGCGAAGCCATCGACGTCGGCGTTGACAACACATACGACGATGGCAGACGTGCCTTGGACGTGATGACGTGAGCTGGTAAGTCGATGATGGATTGAACTGTTTCGTGGGCGCTTACCGTGATCGTGCACCAGCAGCTGCACGTCGACACCATCCAAGCTTCGCAAAACTCGGTTGTTGAAAGAACACGGGTGGATGGTCGAGGATGTGGTGTAGAAAGGCAGAGGGACGACGTGTATGGTATGTGTATTCTATGCTCCTTACCGTTTTGTCCTCAACATCACGTAGACGCGCTAGCTCATCCTCACCACTGAATACCCGTGAATCTGATGACGCCGTCTCGTTTGGAACGAAGGTTCCCTATGCCCATGTGAGTAAGGACGCGTCTTTTCATCATACGTTGACGGCTTATCTAGTTTATAGCAATCAACTGACTACAACTACGACGACACAAGACAACTTGCGCAATGTCGATATGGGATCGACGTACGCTGTTTCGGGAGGGTTGAATAGGGTTGTGTGTGGGGGATACATGCCGTAGACGATACAAAGGTGTGTGATGCCGACGTGGATATGGACGATAGCGAGGACTGACTCGTTGTAGTGAAACCACGTCCTATCCCAACTCCGAAACTGACATCCTCGAGTCTCCCGACGTCGTCCGTTCGTAAACGACGACGCACACGCCAGCACCGTGTACACCACTGAACATGACGCGGAATTCAGAGGCCCATTGCGTTGTTCGTCGTTTGAGGAGCTGGAGGGGGGGGGGGGGGGGTTAGAGAGAAGGTGCAGCTGGGGGAGTAGAAAGGGAGCACGACGAGCGGAAGGAACGTCTCGCTGAGTCGTTTTGGAAAGGGTTTGAGGCGGCGTAACAGAACGGACGTCGTCGATACACATTCAGTGTACGACGAATGTCTTTTAGTCTACATCTAGTCTACAACGAATGTAAAGTAGTTATGAATGATAGCGAGTCTCTTTCCATGAAAGCGATAGGCGAGAGTGCACGGACATGGATGTATGCGTCGAAAGGAAGAGTGAGGAACACAATCACAACCCTAACCCAGCCAACCGTATCGTCGTCTTCAACCGCCATCGCTTCCACCACAGCTAATGTCTCGTTTCGTTAGAGCCTCCAAGTACCGGTACGTCACTTCTATTCAAGATATGACATCACACCGCTGATAGTCAGTCGTGCAGCCACGTCTTTGGACAACCAACAAGGAAAGAACACGGATACGAGAACGTGAAAGTGACGAACAGCGCATGGGACACCAACCTCATCTCCTCATCCGGCGTAAGTCCCTCTATCCAATCCAATCTACCATCACTAACCCATTACAGCAATACATCTCTGTAAACTGGAACGCATCAGGAGGAGGCGCATTCGCCATCTTGCCCCTCCCCTCGCCCTTCCAAACCTCCCCCTCCTTCCCATACAAACTCCCCGACACCCTCCCCCTCGCCCGCTCCCACACCGCCCCCGTCCTGGACACAGATTGGTCCCCACACAACGACGCCCTCGTCGCCTCTGCCGGCGAAGACGGCAAAATCATGATCTGGTCCGTGTCCCCTTCCGCGTTCGAAGGGTGGGGCACGGAGGGATGGGTCCCGCAGGACTTTGATCCTGTTCTTCGGATCGACGGGTCCCCGAGGAAGGTGGGCCAGGTGTTGTTTCATCCCAGTGCTGAAGGAGTGTTGGCGGCGAGTGGGGGCGAATGTACCGTTAAACTATGGGACATTGCCAATCCAGAAGAACCGAGGGCAGTGTTGAATGGCCATGGGGACGTCATTCAGAGTATGGCATTCAACCCCACGGGAACGCTCCTAGCGACCACCTGTCGCGATCGCAAACTCCGGATATTCGATCCGCGTGCGGGTGGTGAGCCTGTTCGAGTTGGGGATGGACATGGTGGGATTAAAGGATCGAGGGTGACATGGATGGGCGAGTTGGATAAGATCGCTACGACGGGGTTCAGTAAGATGAGTGATCGACAGGTCGGCATTTGGGAGGTGGCCGGGTTGGGGAATGTAAAGACCATTTCGTTGGATATGAGTGCCGGTGTCGTTATGCCGTTTTGGACGGATAATCAGATTTTGTTCTTGGCTGGGAAAGGGTGCGCGTCGATTCATCTTTTGTTTCTTTTCTGATAATCTTTTCGCAGAGACGGGAATATACGTTACTACGAATACGAATCAGACTCTCTACACCCACTCGCAGAACATAAATCTTCAGAACCACAACGCGGCATGTGTTTCCTCCCACGCCGCGCACTCAACGTCGCAGAGTGTGAGATCGCACGCGCTTACAAGGTTCATGGCTCCAGCATCGAGCCTATTGCGTTTATCGTTCCCAGAAAGGCCGACTCATTCCAATCAGACATCTACCCACCAGCACCATCCATCGAACCATCCCTTTCCGCAACAGAGTTCTTCAATGGGAAAACCGCACCGCTCAAACTGGTCAGTTTGGCAGATGGGAGCTCGGTTGTTGGGTCTTCCGCTGCTGCTCCTCCTTCCACAAGCGCGTCTTTCTCTGCTGCTGCTTCCCCCAGCGCGTCATTCTCAAGTGGCGGTGGTGCTGCAAGTGCACCCCCACCCTCAGCGGCACCACGACCAGCAGCGATCCAGCCCAAGAGGACGTTCAGCGCTTCGGCGCCTACGCCCGTCGAGCAGACGCCCATCACACCGGCTGCATATAGCCAGCCAACGAAGAGCTGGGAGGCTCCTGCGCCCACCCCAGTGGCGGATTCGGTACGTCTTCCCCCTTTCGTCTTCTCTTTGTTGTCTTTGAGTTAACACGTCGACAGACCCTCAAAGAGGAAAATGCCCGCCTGACGACGGAGCTGCGCGAAGCGAGGGAGAAGATTCGGAATTTGGAGTTGCAGGTTGAGAGTGTCAGGGCTAATGCGAGGAGGGCTGCGCAGGCGCTTTTGGATGGGTGATTTCGTTTGGGTTTAGGTGATTTGTTTGGGTCGAAGAGGGAAAGGGGAACGGAAGGGGCATAGAAGGAGAATTGGAATTTGGAGGTCAGGGATGTAAGGCGCTTTTGGATGAAGCTTTTAGGGAAGAAGGGGGGGGGTGTACTTATTTCTCGTGTTTGGTAAAGATACCTTTCTTTTCCTTTGTGGTTGGATATGCGAAGCGATGGTTTGATCAGAGTCAATTGGTGGGCACGTCGACTTAGAGAGAGGTGGTTTAAGGGAAAGTCACCTTTCATCTAGCTTTCTCTTCGAATTGTCAGCTGCGGTGCAGAAATAGAAAGGTTTGTCGTTCCTCCTGAATCATCATAATCATCGGGGCTTTCCGAGTCGTCGTGATCACTCATCTCTTTTTCCTTTCAGCTGCGAAATCATCATTGAACACCCCTAGAGCTGTAAACGGCCCTACATAAACGCGAAGAGCTTTGTCATGCAGGTCTTGCCTCGAGAAAAACGTTCCCGTTTAGGTATGGCGTCCGAGGTTTCCGAGTCGATGCGCGTCGTTCTGGCAAGAGGCCTCTTCAAAGTTCAAATTTTGTTGGATTAGCTTGGAGTGCAGCGCCATGAAGCAGATTGACGCCTTGCATCGACGACGGCAAGGATGCTTTCGCTACGGTTGACTGTACTTAGTCCCCATGGTGAGAGCCTTGCTTGAACACGTGAAGCCTCAAGGAATGTGTGTTCACGAAATCAAAGGTTCGAAATGCAAAGAGGTTTGTCATACATTTATTTTCACCTCGAGAAAATCGTTCCCGTTTAGGAAATAGCGAAGCCCGCGTACGATCGGCGCTCTCTCACTTTCTTCCGAGTCTGATACAATATTCCGCCATAGTCGACTTTATCACCTCATTCTCCGCAAAATCGCTGCATGTTGAGTTTGCTTATGCATATGAGCGTCGATACCAACCAACGAGCATTGAGCAGTATCCCCGGATGGACACGAGGGGTGGGCCTAGAATCAACCGATCGCTTTCGGAAAATTGAAATTACCTCTCTTCCAATTCGACGATGTTACTCCCAGGCGCAAAGGTGGTATAGTCAGCGAGTGCGTAGGGTATATTACGCAGTGAATTTGTCACCCACTGTCGCTTGGGGGGTGTATAAAGCGGGCTGAGGGGTGAGGTGAGTTTTTCAACATACCCCAACCCTCCAACTTCTACCACCCACATCCCCTCCGCAAATACAATGTCTGCTCCTCGAGTTGCTATCGTCATCTACTCGATGTACGGCCACATCGCAACGTGTTAGTTCCCTTCTTCCGTTGTGTTTGAATTCTTGCTGAAACCCCGTCCGTAAACAGTGGCCGAAGCTTTGAAAGCTGGTGTCGTCGCAGCAGGCGGAAAGGCGGATATTTACCAGTGAGTACTACCGGTCTTCGTAATCCATACCATTTTATTGATACCCCTTCTCAAAGAGTCCCCGAGACCCTCTCCTCCGACGTCCTCGCTCTCATGCACGCCCCTGCTAAACGCAACTACCCCATCGCCACGCCCGAGACACTCACTAAATACGACAACTTCCTCTTTGGTATCCCTACTCGTTATGGAAACTTCCCCGCTCAGTGGAAGGTGCGCCTTGTTTCCCTATCTCATCGACGTCTCTTTAATCATTTTTTACCAGGCCTTCTGGGACTCCACCGGCCAACTTTGGGCTCAAGGCGCCCTTGCTGGTAAATACGCAGGCGTGTTCGTCTCCACCGCCGGCCAGGGAGGAGGCCAAGAATCTACCGTCATCAACTCCATCTCTACACTCACCCACCACGGGATCATTTACGTTCCTTTCGGGTACTCTACCGCTTTTGCGCAGTTGTCGACGTTGACTGAAATTCGTGGTGGTGCGTTCTTTCTTTCTTTCTCTTTATTTGATTATATTTTTTTCTGATGGGGATGGGGCGTTGTAGGATCTCCTTGGGGCTCGGGAACTTTTACTGGCGGTGATGGATCCCGCCAGCCATCGAAGCTTGAGCTTGAGGTTGCGGAGAACCAGGGCTCGTCGTTCACTAAGATCGTTTCGAGGGTTAACAGGGCTTAATTTATACCGATCGCTGATTCTTCCAGCGTGAAGGACTTTATTGGTAGATAAGAGTAGAGGAACATCTGTCAGAGCATTGCATAGAAGCATTGTATAGACAAGCAACAGCTCTTGGATGTGTCCAATTTAATACGTTTTTTTCTTGACCTCGTATGATTTCTTCGAATGAGAGCTGGGCATCGTCCATCTGCCTCAATCATCTGTGCTCGGCGAAGGTTAGATAATAACAGATTCCCTATCTTGGCTAATTCAGTACGTTCTGACCCTCCTAAGTCTTTTCTGGAAGAAGCGTCGAAGATACAAGAAATTGGAAAGCTTATTTCTAGTGCGTCCAATTTTTTTCGTAGTAATCTGCCTCTGGCTGTCGTCGGGTGCTCTTGGTCGTACGTTATCTCTCCGATTTTTGCGCTCGGTCTGTTGACAAAAATATTTTCCACTTTTTATAACTCAGTTAAGGCTCCTCCGAAACCATTTTGAAAAATTATATCTACTGAGCAGGGGTGCAGTGGGAGTGTCAGTACGTGATCTACAACTTTTGTTGTTGTTCCGTCGGATTCTATGCCATTGTCTTGTGCGTAATCACCGTGCTCACAAACGAGGCGCTTCGCGAGCATTGGTCAAATGATCCATAAGGGATTTATAGAAAAATGACGATTTAATGATTTCCAGGGCTTTCGTGTAACTGAATTATTATTGGGACAACGGCCCTCCCTTCTTGCTCCCTTCGCTCTACTTAGATTCATCATTGCAGCCGCATTCGCAACTTGTGTGAAATACTTGGTTAATCCAGGACAGAGCAGGAACATGTTTCCAAACTCACTCGCAACAGCAGCCGTAGTCCTCATCTTTGACTTTGACGCAGCACTTGGTGCCGTTGGCGAGAGAAGAAGTATTCTGTAGAGTTTTCGTTGGCAGGAACGTAAAATGAGATGACAAGAGGAGAGGCGTACGGAGATCATGATGGTAGGTGGTGGTTTGAGTTCAAATCAAGGCGCTACGGTTGTGGAGAGACTGAGAGCTTGAGAGGAACTTATATACTTGAGCTCTTATTTGCCTGTGTTGCGATATCTGACATGTCAGATTGTTCCTCGAGAGAGGAAAATAGCCGTCCAGCGCGCTAATCGGCGATCAGAGTCTTACCGAAAGAGTATTAGTATAGTACATGGGCAGACTGTGGAAGAAGGGTAGACCTGGTCATCTTGAATTCAATTCTTGTACCACTGGCATGTCTCGCGCTCCTTTTTCCCCACTCAATATAGTAGCTGGATAGTTCAAATTTCGAAATGAATTGGTTGGGAGAAAAATGCATTGCGGTGCGGTCGTCACGATTTCGAGATACCAGGATCAATACGTTGCTTCTTGTCCTCGTCTCACCGTTCTGTGCCAGGGTGGAAGTGCTGGGTCATCTTGGGTCATGCGTCCAATTCTATTTGCCGCTGGCTGTCGTCGGGTGCTTTTGTCGTACCGACTTTTTCGCACTCGGTCTCTTGATAGGAATGTTTTACACTTTTATGGCTTGCCGAGGATTGCCGAACCCCATTTTCACACCACGGAATCGTCGCCCAAAGGTCAGAGAGCAGCTGCCCAGTCAGTGAAGACTCCTCCGAAAGGCTTCCAAAATACAATGATGCCTTTGGGCCACATTGTAAAATTCTATTCATAACGGAATGGGGACGAAGGGTCTAAATTTTCAGGTGTGGGAGTGAAATCAAGCTTCAGTACGGGAACTACGGCTTTTGTTGTTGTACCGTCGGATTCCATGCTACTAGTATTATCTTGTGCGTTGGTCAAATGATCTTCAAGACGTTTTTAGAAAAATGACAATGTATTCGAAACTATTGATTTCTGCTTTCGAGTAATCGGTACAAAAGCCCTCCCTTCGCTTCACTGAAACTACTCCCCGATGAAAAGACACTTTCAGCCGAGGCAACAACGGAACAATGCAGACTAGCAGCCGCATTCGCAACTTGCGTGAAATAATTGGCTAAGCCAAGACAGACCAGGAACGTGTTTTCGAACTCACTCATCGCAGCAGCCGCAGTCAGAGCCGCAGCAGCAATTGCTATTGGCAAGAGCAGAAGTATTCTATGTATGTAGCCTTCGTCAGAATTGTAAAAAGAGGTGACAAGAGGGAGAGACGTACGGAGAGCATGATGATAGGTGGTGGTTTGAGTTCAAGTTAAGGCGCTACGGTTTTGGGGAGACTGACAGCTTGAGATGAGTTTATATACTCGAGCTCTTGTTTGCCTGTGTTGCGATACTATCCGCCATGACACAATAATATTGAAGGGTCGTTCATCGAAGGGGGAAAATAGAGGAAAATAGCTGTCCAGCGCGCTAATCGGCGATCGCCAGACCGGAAGACTACGTGGGCAGACCGTGGAAGAAGTGTAGACCATGTTCTTAAATTCAATTTTTGTACAGTCTCGCGCTCCTTTTTTTGTCACTCAGGGTAGCTGGATGATTCGAGTTACCAAAAAATTGGAGGGATGTCATTGTTTCAAAGTAGGCGCTCAACGCATTTCGCATAAATGCCGCGCCAGCGCCACTGACAGGAGACACAAATCAATGCAGGGTAAGAAGCGTTTAGTCTCACTCTGATTTTGATTTTGAAAACAGTTTGTGGAAACAAGGTTTACAATTCAAATTCGGTGTTTTCCTATCGTAATCGTACATGCTTTCCTACTGGCGTTGATTAGTGATTTTTCTGACCAAACTTCAGAGAATTAATTGAATTCTTGTGTGCTGTTTGGAATCGCTCTTGGTTCTAGCTGACTCAGTTCTTTTATCATTGAAACGCCTCTCTTTCTCTTTGCGCGCGATGCGCGCGGTATTTGGCGTTGCTTGCCAGTGTATGTATTTAATGCACGTCACATGACACGTAATCATCTCATTAGTCATCTTACCATTTTCGCCATGCCACTGGCAGTTGATTTCCAAGTGTGTTTCAACGTTTGCTGCGAAAGGCTGATCATGAACAACAGGGCTAGGGAACGGGTACGTTGAGTCTCTCTGTATCCCCGTCGAACTACCAACTTTAGACTGCCACCCGCCTTCCACCCGCCTTTGCACCTTCTCTGGATTTGATCATTCCGACGGTCGCAGTCTCAGCAGTCGTTATGTGCACGATGCACTCACTCTCAGTCATGCAGCTTTCTGGCCCCTTCAAACATACCTCAATGCTTTTGACCTTCTGAACCACCCAAAGCTGATGTTGTCGCACCGAGCGGCAAACCGCATGCCTCTATGTTCCCTTTCATTTGACGTATGACCTCCGCCGCATTTTATGAGAATCCCCAAACGCCCTCGAGCTTCTATTAGGCCTGCCGTTATGCACGCGCTCAACAAACTCAAGAACCTCATGGCCACCTACGAAACGCTCAATTACTTGTTACGTTCGGTAAAAGGAACTTCCTTGTGCAATTGAATGCGACTCTTCCCCCTTTCCCATAGGGATCTCCTTGGGTTCCAGCAACTTTCGCCGTTACGGATGGGTTAACCAGCTGTCAACGCTCGACTTTTGAAGTTGCAAGAGAACCGGCGTGTGTCGTTCACCGAGACTTGGAGGTTGCTCGAATTTGAGTGTGCCGCAACTTAGAGCCTCAGACACTGGTGCTGAACATACGGGAGTATAGGCACTTGCACATCCCGTCGGTTGGCGACAAACAGTACTATGTTGAGGATATTCAGATCAGAGTACGTCTGTTTGTGTGATCCTCTCTTCGGCTTGTTTTTTTTTTTTTCATATCTCAGCTACTGCGCATGCCGCGTGTATTCTTACCTCTCTTTACAGATCCGCCCTCAGTAAGATACTTCGATTAATGCCTCGCTGAGTCCCTGTCCAAGTTACACCACCTGGGGGCAAAGTCATTTTACGACTCTTGCGCAACGCTTCACAAATTTGTGCTTCCACTACCTTATGGATGTACTGTACGATTACGACCAACTCTTCAGGCCGTTTAGGGCGTGACCTATTTCGATCAACTCTTCGTCACTTCAACATCTGATGTGAGGTGTGACGAAGAGTACAATCTCTTCATCCATACTTCAGAAAATCAAGATTTGGCCGTCCCTGAAGGAAAATCTTCGATAATGGGATAGGTCTCCTTAGAAATTAGTTGAAATATTCCTAGTGTTGTCTACACAGCTAGGAACGCCGCAGGCTCGAAAAAATTGGTATTTTAGACTACGAGAAAACGGACTTCAAAACCTGAGGTGATGCGTGACATCACGCTCACTTCCCTTCATTCAAACCTGGTAGGTGACTACAGTTGCGGACAACTAAAGTCAACAAATTTATAGACCGATTTATTGAGACCGGTAGGGATTTTTTAAAAGTCCGAAAACCATCGGAATAGGCAGGAATTGAGTAGATCTTTCAAATGGTACGAGCCGATTTCCCAAAAGTGAGGATTTGTCAGAAAAAAGGTCCAAAATTTTGGCGCAGGCCCAAAAAAATCGATAAAATCTCGAAAAGTCATTTTTGGATAGATCTTGATGAGTACTGTCAGAATCCACCGAAAGAATAAAAATAAAATAGATCCTCCCCTTTAAAAAAAATTGCTATTATGCTGCCTAAACCTAGAGGCTGTCCTCCTAAAAAACATTGCAACCTTGCACGCCTCCAAAATAACCCTTTTTTGACTTCCATTCCATCAGTGACATCATTTTCTCAAGGCCGTCAGCCTGTCAGTGAGGGAGATGATGAGGAACTGATCACGAGATCTCGAGAGTCACATCCATTGCACGAGAAAATGAGGCAAGGGAAGCTGAGGATTCAGGAGAAGAGATGGATATGCAGAGAGTAACTGGGATGAGCTTGATTAGCAGGATTTTCCTGAGAGACTGGCTGAGATAGCGATGTAGGATGCAAAAAAATTGGCTCAAAATTTTGGCACAGCCAAAAACTCGTGGGAATAACATGAAAACACCATTTTTGAGCTCCTTTTGCCTGTCCAGTTTCAGATCTGTCGTCAGATTTCCGTCAAAAAATCTGGTTCCTGAGATACTCAATTTGTTGACTTTAGTTGTCCACAACTGTAGTGACTCAGTAGTGACGTCACACGACCTTCTTCTCATCCCCCATGTCGATGTTCACTTCCAAAAAGTTCGACGCATACATCCACGTCCGCCCAGCCCTCGAGCATGTCCGGCCCCTACTCTCGCCCACTACTTACAAGCAAACAGAGTCGAGGGATACGAAGGATATGTTCTTGAAGGCGCATCCTCATATGGTTTGTTCAATGCGGCCCCTCCTTGCGCACGCTCGACTCCAGGCAAAGTTCTCACAAATTTATTTTGATATGCACGTACTACTCAAGATTGAACACATGAAACTCCTCCGGGACTCAATCGAAGAAGAATCAGCCTTCGACCTCCGTAGAACGATGCGGAATTGGTACATGAACATGGCACCTTGCGATAGGCCCAAAGAGTGTGAACCGTGGTTGCCTGATTTTCTTGGGGATAAGAAGTTCTTTGGCGAGGTTTGCTTTATTTTTATCTCAAATAACTCTTGGTCGAACCATTTGTTTGGGCGTAGGACGAGACTGTCTCAACGGGATTCTACTTCCCCGGCACCCCGCATCGAGCTCTCGATCTTTATCGAACTCAGCTCAGATCTCCCAATTTTACGCAAAAGCGGAGTGCGCCAGATACCACGATCCGGCCCGCGGTAAGGCGTATCTGTCTTTCTTCATTGCTTTGCTTTGTTATCTGTACTTCTGAGCTAATCCGCCATGATCAAATAGCCTACGAAGAGGATGAAACCAATCCCAAGAATTTGGATTAGTTCTTCGGCTGCTGTGAAGGATAACGCTGAGGCTGGTACGTCCTACCATTCATAACCCCCCCCACCCGATCGAATCAATTTATATACGTATCGTTCAGGACTCGGGCCAACTTGAAGTTCATCCAAGGCTGCCCCCGTTCAAAGCTCCAAATCATCCACAGCCCCAAACGCATCCACACCGTCCCAAAAGCTCAAGCCAAGGGGGAAACCACTCGTTCTTGAAGCCCCGAGTCGTAAGGTGGATGATCTTCAGTACGTCAAGTATGCGCCGGAGCTGTAGGTAATTAAGTGGGCTCCTGATTTGAAAATATTCACGCTCACATTTAGGAGTCGGTGATCGAAGACTGAAGTAAAGTAATTAGTAAAAGAAAGAAACGCGAGGTAAACATGAAAGAAGGCAAGGAGTCGTTACGTTCATAAAGTGCCGAATGAGGTTGTCTTATAAGAATCAAGAATGACTTGCTACCGAATCTATCCAATGATGCGTAGTAAATATGTAATGTGATTTTCGCGAGGATGTATCAAAAGACAAGGCAACGAACGACTCGCATTTACAGCTCCGCGGAGCGCCCCCACATCTTGAGCGCAAAAAAAAGAATCAAATCAAAAGACGAATCCCAGACAAAGGGCTTGAACCGTCTGCAACCACACCTCACCCCGAGCTGCCGCACGCCGCGCCGTTACTGCGACCAGTCTCAGAATACACAACAATAATGACTGCATTCGAAATCTTTTTCAAAATTCAAACAACTTCGTAAAATTTCCCTGTCAAAACAACCCCAGTGCTGCGGTGCGTCCCAGTGTCCACGACGCGGTGGTAAAACTCTCAGCTTCGCGTCGCGAACGACCCTCTGTAATTAATGAATGGGTTATCCAGACTATAAACCACTCCCTGATTGACCGTCCCGTCCTCCTTGGTAAGGTCAGCCTTCAGCACGACTGCCACTCCCTGATCGTTATACACCATCACATTGGTTGCGGTGGCACTCCAGTTCGTCCCACAGTACTTAAATTTCCCGTCTTTATTCCCCAACCAATTATCAAGATTGATCGTCGTTGTGTGTAAGTGTCCATCAATGCCGTAGGCGAGACCGGAGAGGATCCCGCCTTTAATGGAGAAGCTTGACGGGACAACTGAGGTGTTTGAGTTGATCTCGATAGTCCTAATTGATCGGTTAGGCGAGAGTCAGGCTGAGAACTTGAGCTACTTACGGCTGATTGAACCCAAGTGAGCCATTGTTGTTGACGACATAGAGATTGAGCTCGAAAGTCCTGTCGATATACTAGTTTTGGCTAGTTGTGGCGGGTAAGGAGGCTGAAAGGACGACGGTGTTGGAATCAAAGGTGATGTTCTTAGCATCGGAGTAGAAGCCTGAACCACACGCGTTGAAGTCTCCGTTGATGATGCCGATATAGTCGTTGAGATCGATAGACGAGTCGGTGTACGTTGAGCCATCATCCTGGAGGCATGACGCCTTGAGGACGGACCCGTCGAGCGAGATGTTGTTTGAAGTGGATTGGAAAGACATTGGGAGCTGATTCCAGGCTCTGAGTACTCACGCATTTACTTCTGATTCCCATGACATGCTTTTGTGCACAGCGGCACTGACGGTGTACACTTTGGCATAGCGGCAAGCACGGATCGGCACAATCCGTGATATATCTATCCGTGCGCGCTCGGAGGAAATAAATTGTTTGGGCCAAGTTTGGGCTACCCCACGCTGTCAATTAAAGTGATTGTGGGGATGGCAGCTGATCTCAAGGCTGATCTGATAGAGAGGAGGATGTGGGGCGGAGGTGTCGTCCGACTCGGACACCCTCCCTTCATCTAATCTCTGCATCTAGCGCTGTCTCCAATGTCAGCGTCCTTAGTCGCCCAATTGTTTTTGGCTACCTTGATGGATAAAGTAGAAAAGAAGAAACCGAGACGCAACAATCTATTCAATATTCTACCAGATGTCTTCAATGTTGAAAGAACCGTTGAAATGGCCGTGCTAGGGTAACCTTGAATGAAGGTTGGGATTTCTTTGGGGGGCCCTCCTCCCTGCTAAAAATTGAAAAAATACAGAGGGTAGACGGAAAATTCGCTTCAGTATGAAAGCTAAAATTATTACAGTGCAGTGTCCGATGCGATGACCGGTGCGACTTACCTTTGTAATTTCGTCATCGAAACAGTAATTCTCGCTCCAGACATAAATAAGGAAGGTCAGAATTTGTGATAATGGCTAAAATTTCAAGTTTTTGCAACGAATACATTGACGGTCCATTCAAATTCAACTTCCCCCAGCTGGTTAACACCGGTACCGCTCCCCACGAGAAAAGCTCCAACGTATTTGAGATTGAGTGAACTCAGTTGGAGTTACACTTGCAGCCGCCCTGAGCGCATCCACAGCTACAAGCGGAGGACGTCAGATACAAAAAAAACCTAGACAAGTATTGTCCACATACGCATCGCCGCAGCTGCAGGCATCGTTTCCGCAGCCAAAGTTGATGAGAGCAGAGGTGTTCTAAACAATCCACACGCGTTAGAAAATAGGGATTTGGCTATGGAGTCAGACGGCGCACAGAAATCATGGTGATGGATTGCTTAGGATTGCTGGTGTGGTAGTAGATGCTTGGAAACCTGAGGCAAATTTGCTGACCTTTTTATAATCTTCCGCTCTCTTGTTTGCTTGTTGTTTCTTCTCGTGGCGTCTGCGCATGTGAATCGTATTTTGTTGGTATCTCGATATGATTGTGCCTAATGTGCGTCAGCTGAGGGAGAGAAGCAGGGTTCCATGACAAAGGTTGCGTCAAGAGTACAAGTCACGAGTCCTAGAGTTGTTGCAAACGGAAATTGCCAAAGTGGAATCCTCCACGTAGTTTGAGCGGGAAATATTCTCCGCAGGACTCGAGAGAGAATTGGCTCGCCACGAAAAGTCTGAGCTGGAACTACATTTCTGAAAGAGGTTTGTAAAATGCCGACTATGACATAGCTCATGAATGGGATTTGTAGACAGTAAAAATCGAGGTACCGCCACCGTCAAGAAATCAACGCAATAGGCGCGGAGGAAACTGGGGAAAATCGTTTTACCGATGCAGGGCTACGGTTCCTTGTATTTCGGTCAGCCTGCTATGAAGGCAGAGGAGAGAAAAAACCCACGTCCAAGTAGTGCATTGATATCGATCAAGCTTCTAGCCTGAAGAGGGATCCTGAAGTGGTACATAGTGATTGACGAATTTTGGTAAAGCATGTTGGATACGGACCGAGCATGCGAAATCTGCCCTTGTACTACCAGACTCGAACCCGCACGCTACACCTTGAGTCAGGCAATCTGAGATTTTGGCTCATTTGAATGACATAGGCCCCCCTTCCCCACTTCAGCCAGCTTAAGCAGGCCAATTGAGAGTCAGGAACAGATGCCATCTAATCGATGAAGCACGGACTAGCGCGAACTCCGACTTGATGTGTGCGAAGTTGTATTGAGTGTTGATTGAGTCGTCCGCTTGACTCAATTGTCTAGTGTGTCGGCGCTGGTCTTCGTCCTACCACGAACTAACCACCACGGCGAAGTCGTGACGTGTGACCAATGTGCATGAAGGGAAGAGTTTTAGAGGGTTTCTTCTTTTCATTAATGTTGACTGAAGCTTCAAGAAGTTGGGGGTAGTAAGCTCGTACCAAACCCAGCTGAACATTGTTAATACACAATTGGGGTGACATGATTTGAATGCCGTATGATTCGATTGTAAGGGGTATTATGGAACTGGAAGGGCCTTCTTCAAGTGCAACTCATATGTCAGGTGCAAAGTTGTACAGGGGCGACGAAATTGTCATTCCGCTCTGTTAAATTGGATAGAGAAGTTGTAAGCAAGTGAAAAGCAACATCTTTGAGAACGACTGACCGAATCGTTCGTGATCAACTTGGAGGCGAGTAGATTTGTCTTCAATACGGTTCAGTCTTGATGTCAGCGTCAGGCGCGCTCGTTACAATGTTTGCGTTGGCCATGATGGTTGCGCCGGACGACCTAACGCAAAATCGATCGTCATCATTTATCACCAGCGGAACTGAACAAAAAAAAAGCTCACGTCCCGATTCTCTCCGCACCCGCTTTGAACATCTCTACGCAAGCCTCAAATGTCCTCACCCCGCCCGAAGCCTTCACCTTCACGGACTTCCTCACAGCACACCTCATCAACAAAACGTCCTCCCTCGTGGCCCCGCCCCCGTTGAACCCCGTACACGTCTTGACGAACGCCGCGCCTGCCTCCGTGGCAAGCTCGCAGGCTGTGATCTTCAGTTCCGATGTGGGGAGAAGGGCGGTCTCGATGATTACTTTGACAGGGCACGGATGGCAAGCGGTTATTATGGTTTTGAGGTGGTGATAGATCTGGGAGTAAGGGGTAGGAGTGGATAGCAGGAGACCGACAGGAAAGACGACATCGATTTCAAGTGCGCCGTTGGTGATTGCTTCCACTGCTTCGCTACGGGTGTGGGGTTATTCAGAGAGTAAGAAGAAGGTGAGAAATGACGGACTTGGTTATAGATTTGGCTGTTCCTGCTCCAAGAGGGAATCCGACGACGCAGCATGGGATAGGGCGCGTGTCTGGATCGCGAGATAGGGTGTTGAGGCATTCAGCTACGCGTTTAATGTACATTCCGTTCACGCAACAGCTCTGTAAGTTCTATTGTAAATCACGACGGCATCTATGGTCTATGGGCTATCGGATAAACTCACCTTGAACCCATATTTCACAGCTTCCTCGCACAACTTATCGATTTGCTCCAACGTCGCATCGGGCTTGAGCAGGGTGTGGTCGATGCTCTGACGAAAGCGAGGATCGGATGCTGATTTGATATCAGCCAGTGTCGCGTGGTCATCATACGTGGAGAGCTCTCTCCCTGTGGTGAGCCAAAACAGCATTTGGGCGAGTTTTACGCGTATCGGGAGATTGTCTGCCCATTGCTCGTCTGTCCAGTCATCTTTGGTCTCGGGAGAAGTCATCACTCATCAAGCTTGAGATTCAAGTTGGAAGTCCGAAGTGGGAAGCAACGTAATGATGTAAGCTCGTCTCCGCCAACAACTACTGACTGGTATACAACCCCCAGAAACCTCGTTGCTCCTCTCTGGACTCATAGGAATGCGACAAGAAGCAACATCATGAGTCTCGCACAGACAAGAAACTTGGCTGCAGGACCAGGCGGGCAGGCACGCTTATAAGCGACTTATTTAAGGGAAGGGTGGCTTGCCGACATTTTACATGGGCCAGCAACAGATGTGCGAGGCCTCGAAGTACAACGTGAGTTTGCTGTGATTTTTGGGTTTTGATGCGTTGCTAAGTCTCGGGTTGACGTACCTGTTGAAAGAGGGGATTCTAGAATAGAGACAAAGGTCTATGTTCTCTTTTTACTTGAAGATCCCCTTCGCAGAATTGGAAGTGCAGATACCCGCAGGACGATAATGCTTGTGTTGAGGCTGATGGGAAGACTGACGTTGGGCATTTCAGTTTTGTTGCGGACTCGACGCAGAGGGCAAGGACAGTCCCCTTCGTAAGTCCACCTACCAGACCTCGCTTCCTCATCTCATGACTCCACTCCCTCTTTACAGTAAATTGAATTTCACATGGAGTCCTTGAGTAACTCGCGAATCATTTCGTAACAACGGAGGGCTCCTAGGTGGGGTTATCTGTTTCTTACCTGGAATACGTTCTAAACTGCACTCCGAACAATCACTGAACGACAGACACATCCTGTCAATGGACGGATCCGTCATTATGGTGGGCTCAAGGATCCGAGGCCAGTCAGAGGACAATGTCAACTGGGCTCTTCGGCGGGACGACGAGGTAAGTTGTCTTTATATCCTCATCCATAAAGGCTTGACGTAGTTTGCCAACTTCTTACTTGGTAAGGCCTTCAAGCAGTTTGCTTAAAATTCGTACGTCGTTTTTCCTCGGACCTTATAACTGAACCCCTCTGATAGCATGTGTGGGCTCAGTCACACTGTTCGAGCTCTAAAAAGCAAAAGCACCAACGCGGCGTTGTGAATGATAAAAACGGCGTTGCTGAAGCAGTCAAGGCTATACCACTCAAGTGATTCTTCTTTCTGGAGCATTGCATTTGGCCGGGGCTACTCAACGTAAGTAGTTGTTTCTTTCTCTTTCCTTCTGTTCACTATACCTCGTCGGTCGAGAGGCCACCCTCTACCTTCCTTTCTCGTGCTTTCCCTTAGCCAATGAATACCGCATGTCCATATCCAATGGCGCACAATCGATTTTCGCAGATCTCCTGCATTACCACTAACGATATCCACCGTTTGTGAGATCTTGTTTCGCACTATACCTCAAGTCAAACCCAATCCCGAAATTGACTACCGCAGCACACGTACAATATCCCTCTTCGGCGCAGCCGCAAGCTCCCCATTTCAATTTCAATCCAACCCACAAGCCTCGTGTCTTGAAGAAGAGTACCGTTTTTTTCCGGGTAACAAGGGGAGTTGGAGTTGGCCTGACATCAGACACGAGTGGAGCACCTTATCCGTGCAAGGCTGCTCCTCTGACTCAGGAACGCACCCCATGGTCCTTACTCAAAGTCGATTAGGCCACATTAAATTTCCAACTGGGTTTTGACATACTCAGTCAGGCGAAGAAAACCTGTCAAGATGCCACTTCGCGGGAGAAGGTTCTCGAAGTTGCATCGTTTACTAAATTAATTAAATCGGTTACTGGATCGCGCTAGAGATTATTGGCTTCACGACTGATTTGCGGTGGTCGTCACGTTGGTGGCCTTATGACGGGCTCCTCAGCCCTGACTGTGAGCTGTTGTCCGTACGGTCCGACGACATCCAAAGACTTTCTCATGGATGGTGAAATTTTCCTTGGCGAATGACTTCAAAATGAGCCTGTAAAATATTTACGTCCTTATATCCAGTGTATTGAAAAGCACCAATTTGGAAATGTATGGCTATGTATGGGCGCTCATTATAAGAGCAAGATTCGTCAACGCGAATGCTTCCTTGACCAGTGTCGCGGGCGCCAAGAATCCAAAACCATCCAAAAAAATACCTCCAAACACAGCATTCACCAGGGAAGTTTCTTGGTACTGGAGCTCACTACCAGTGGACAGTACGGACCGGAAATATGGTCGCCTGACCACATGAATAAATGTCTCGTTTATTTCACCCGCAGAAAAGCGCACTGGCACTGGCAGCTCGTGCAAAAGCGATTGATGTTGGATTGATGTCCTTGATTTCTAGGGCGCAAGTACGTGGTAGAGGACCGTGGCTATCAATAACGCATCCCCAAGTAAATGAAGAGTTGAAGCGTACCTGTATAACAGTCTGTGAATATTGTGATACTCCCCGCTGATGTTCTAGCATAGTACTATAATTAGCAAATAATTAGTAGAAATTATCAGAGCAATTTGGCAAACTGTACGGCGAGGCGTCTGACGAGAAGCGATTCTCAGTTTCGGATATTAACTCAAACCGAGTCAGTGCAGGTTGAAATCAACGACAATAATTATTCGTACACCCTACAACTCCGGAAAAAATAGATAGAAATAGATCCGGATCGGATATCGCTGTTGCTTTGACTCCAAGTAACTCCGAGGAGCGCACAAAGAATGGGGCTTATGCTTCAACACAAGGGTTGGTCACGCTGCCTGCCATTATCCTCATCAGGGCCAAATCTCAGATACGCTGGATCAAATCGTTAGCTTCACTCACATTGCTGTGTCGTCTAGATGAGGAACATCCAAACCATATAGAGCTTCTGAGCGCGTTTTGAAAAAATGCGGCCGAACTGTCATATAATTATCTAAAATTCTATTGAACAAATCAGTGAAAATCGCCGCTCTGATATTTTATCTGGCGAGGGGATGCAGCTTCTCTGCCGTCGCCAGGCCGAATTTGAAGCTTGAAGCACTGTCTTCAAAATCAAATTTCACATGGATGCCCTTGGCCCCTTGGTTTTACCCCACATCGATCCGTGTCGTCGCGGGTCTGTCAGTGTCAACGTGGCGGTGGCGGATCATCACACCCCAAACGCGTGAGGTCCTGCGTTTTGCCTGCTTTTGAACATTTGAATTTACCTTAGTCTCTTAGTAGGCGTAGGCAGCCTGTGTCATATAATAACAATGCCGTAACCTCATCGATTTCATTTAAATTATGGAGCATAGGTATAGTTAGTAACATTTAATTTAAATACCATTTAAAACGGTAGACAGTCAAACTACTACGTACATGTCTATGAAGCAAATTAAATGGAATTTAAAAGGTTCCTAAGTAGCATTCAGAAAGATTTAATTGGGAAGACCTGAAATATTATTTAAAGAGAGAGATGAAATATGATTTAAAGTGTGAGAAGACAACTCAAAATACGATTTAAAGAGAGGGGTTTGGGGCGACTTGAAATACGATTTAAAGAGAGGAATTTGAGACGACTTGAAATGCGATTTAAACAGAAATCAATTCACGTCGTACAATCAAATGAATAGGAACATACAAATATTCATGCATCATCTGAGTTTGATGCATCGTCTTCTGATGACAATTCTTGGGCTACTTCGTCGGGCGAGGTGGACTGAGGGGTAAACATTAGAAGGAGGTCGAGGGAAAATCAATGTGACGAACCACTGGAGATAATAATAGCTGCGGAATCATGTTGTCCGGGTGCTCCCTGTCAATTTGGATGTAGTCAGCGAGGATCTTTCCTTCCTCGAGCACACGATGAGCATATCCTGCATCGTTGAACCGATCCTGAGCCCTTCGCGCCATCTCCGCAAACATTATGGCCTTCTTCCTCGCATAGACCGCATGGCCGTCCCTCGAACTCGACTTTGCAAGGGCTGACCAAACATCACTCATCTTGTGAAATGCACGGATGCAACGCATGAAGTCGGCCTGCTTGATTTCCCACTCTTCCTGCCAACGATGCATTTCCGCTTCAGCGCGAAACCATTGAACACGATCACCTTACATTCAAGGGAACAATGTCAGAATTGGATCGGGGAGGAGGTGGGTATAATGACTCACTCTCATCAAGCCACTCTTCAAGTTCTTTCTCTGTCAGCTTTCCCGCTGCACCAACGGTCCAAATCCAACCATCTAGAGTTCCAATGAGTTGTCAAGTGGCATGTGTATATAGAGACATACCCTTAACGCGCTCACTTGGCTTGTCTCCTACTGTGGCAGGACCGCTGCGCTTTTTGCCTTTCTTTTTGGGTGAACCAACACCATGTAATCCTGTGGATGCGTCAGAATGTCAGCGGGGAGGGAAGCAAAGATGAGTGGAGAGAACAAACGCGGTTTTCGCCTTGACCCTTGTGTCCCAATCTGGTGTGGCTGTGTGGCCAATTCTGGACCGCTGGGACCGGGAGCCACAGCCGGAGGCCGAGAGCCTAGGGTGATCCCTGTGATCGTCCAAAGAGTCCCGTCTGGCCGTTGAGAGTCGCCCACAGCACGCTTGAGGTGAGTAGGTTTACGGTAAGTGTCTGCAAGGTTCAATGGAAGAAAAACCGGATCGTTTTCTGCGAGTCCAAGCGCGATCAGTCTGGTGCGAGATTCATTGTAATCTGCCATTGCCAGATCCCGGCGTGCCTCAACATCCTCGATCTTGGTCAATGCACGTGTGTGTTGGGTCTGACCCACTTCGTTCTTCTTTTTTTGTGCCCTCAGGACAACAATTACCTTGACAATTGTGCGCAGGGTCTGAAGTGCGTCAAATGCCGTGCCTTCTTGCAATCGCCGCTCGATTTCTGCAAGCTGCGCAATTCCAAAACCCACCCGCTGAGATGCATTGAAATCGGAAGGGAGGAACAGTTTTTCCTCCTCGGGTGCATCGAGAGTACTCCCTTCAAGAGCTTGAGAAGCGACATGGTCACCTATCTTCTCCATCAAGGATTTTTGCGTGGTGCGCCATCTGTCAATACGAGCACGCAACTTCTGACGCATGGTCTTGATATCATTTTTATGTGATTCAAGAGGATGGTTCTTGTCTTGTGCAAGCTTCGCCAGGATTTTTCGCCTAGACTCAATATGAAAGTGAAATCTTCTTATTGTGATTTGTAAAATACTTACTGTGTCGCCCGAATTAGTATGCCTGCATTCAGAAAGGATGGTGCGGCACCGTCCAAACTGTCTGAGGCTATAAATGAACTCTTGGATTCCTTCTGAGATTCGAATTCGGTCAGGAGTAACTCATAGATCTTGGCTTGTGACGGTACTATAAACAATTAGCATCATACACTTGACTTGTAGATAAAATAAATACCTTTCTGGGGGCGCTGACGATACACGCACTGAACCTCGCCATTTTTTTTCTCTCGCAGATTACGATCTTCTTGGTTCCAAACAGGTACATGATCTGCATATAGCTGTGAAAGGGCCTTGAAATGCTCGCGTTTCTCAATAAACAGCCTCTTAGCCTGAGTGATGTCACTTGCAAGAGTAGATGCTGTTGTGAAACGAACATGAGACTAGAACAAGTACAGAAAAATAAACTTGCCCATATTTGCTGTCTTCTTCCAGTTCCAGTCCCCATGATGGTCGATCAAGGTATCCTGACGATGTCCATTATTCATCTGACGTGTCTGGGGACCAAGCTGATTCAATTCAGCCCAGTAGTGCTCAGCAGTCTCCCCATGGAAATGGCCTGCGTTTGACGTGTAAGCAGATGAGAAGCAATAGACACAGTTCTCTTTGTGATTCTGAACGTGTACCAGAGGAATAAGCCAGCGAATTCTTCTGATTGCTGGAAGGAGGTCAGGAAAATTCTTCGCAAACCGCTTCTCGATATGGCGCCAGTAGTGACAAGAAATATCATAAGAGATGAGGTGGTCGCAGCTGGTAACAAAATCAAGGTCAATATTTTCCATCACCATCCGGCGCTGGCGAATGGCATGCGCAAGAGCAAAATCGGTATTAGCAAATCTACAGAATGTCAATTAAGCAAGTTATGACAATCACGAACATACCTCTCGCCAAGCTGAAGGTCGACACTTGATTTAATAAAAACATGCGAACACTGGATATTTACAATGCCCGTTATTTCCATGTTTTTGAACTTCTTCCTGTCCTGTTTATTGACAGCATTGAGGTACGAACAAGTGGATTTCTGAAAGTGTAAATTTCCGGACTGTGTGAAGACCAACATTGATTCTCACCTCTTCAGCACCAGGTACGACTGGTCCAAGATTTTTTATATAGGCACGATAAACACTGTCCTCGGGAAAATATGAGCGCCCACCAAAAAGTGAGACATTATCAGGGTCAGTATTTTTCATGTACTTGTTGGCATGGTGGTTTCCATCTGCCGTATCCTGAGTTTGATTTAGGTGCCTACCAAATGATATCAAGAAGTGGCGCGAGCATCCCAGCACAATAATGACTTGCCTTAGCTCCGGTGGAGTTTGTTGCCACCCATCTTCCATATTGACATGCGGTTCTGAACAAGCACAGCAAAACAAAAGAAGGTTTTTGGGAGGACGATGGGAAAGGATTGAGTCGATTCCATGGGCTTGGCCAAGCCGTTTAGTTGCAGTGAGGAAACGGAAAAATTGTGTGACTATTCGAAATTGAGGGTACGGATCCTTTGGGAATTAATCAGCTAGATCAAACTGAGTTACGAAGTATTGAGGCCTACGGGCGTATCTTGAGCGAATGCGTTATCTGTGATTCGTCGGAGAGCTCCAATAAAATCATATGCTGATGCCTTAGATTCAAGATGGTGAAGGTGAAATTGGTGAAGAAGATTGAAGGTGAACGCCATTGTTGGTCGGCGCATGGTAGCCGGAAACATTCGCGCTCGCATAAGCTGTTCTACACGATCAGGGGAACCAGCACAATTGCAGAAGCAGAATTTCGTATTGTGGATTCCATTGGTGTCAACTAGAATGAACAGGATTTCCTTGTCGGCAGAGGGACAACAAGCTCCTTGGTGGCCGAGATGGGTTGCATATCCCTGGGATCGAAGGGAGGAGATGTCATGACGAACGAAGAACCCTCTTTCCATATCCCAGACCTCGGCCCAGTGTGTCGGAAGATTACGATGAGCATCGATAAAACACTCATTGCACAATATCCCATAGAACGAGCAGTCTAAACACCGAGTCGTTCGCTTCTGTGAACGAGCACAAGGACAGTCAGATTGGACTTGCGGGTCAAATTCAACATCTAGCAGAAGATCCTGTAATCGCTCAAGGTTATCTTGGAAATCTTGGTGGGTTTCCGACGTCTGCCACAATATCAGGCACTTCAAACATTCATGCTGGACCAATTTACCTGAGTTTGAGCCCTTGGCGGGGAGTCGCTCTGCGGTGCTTCAGGAGTAGGTTGTTCAGGCTTCACCGGTTCTAATAAGTGGAGTGATTGTGGGGGAAGCGGAAGGACCGAAGTTGTCGAGGTAGCACTTGAGCCAATTATAGTGGTGTGTTGTGCGATGCGAGTCTGAAGACGTTTGTGTATATTGCGCCCCAGTTCTGCATTTGCAGCCTCAATTTCTGCCTTTCGTTTCTTGATAGAGTTCATGGATGTGAGGGGATAAGGAAGTGAGGTTGAGAGATCAAGGAGAAGGCAGGCCCGTGCACAATACAGATACAAATGTGAATTAAGGTGGAATAACAGGTGTACATACGTCTCTCAACACCCTTACATCGACCCGGCCTCCATCTCCAGCCCCACCACAAAAGCCTAAACCACCCACCAACCGCATGCGCTCGTATGGCTGCGCATTTTATGGAGGCGGGGTCATCGGATCGATGGCCAATGATAGCGTTTATGACTGCTAGTGGGTATCAGATCTGTGTGAGAAGAGGGGTAAGCGGTTGAGGGAGCAGCTGAGAAGGTATGTATGATGTTGATGACGAAGTGGTAAGCATCTCTGGGGATGGCGTGTATGACGATTGTGTAAGACGATGTCACAGACGACCCAGTCTTCTAAAGTAAAAGTGATAAGGCCAGTTCAAAGTTAGCCAAGATAACACAAACATACCACTCAAGATATTAATAACACATCCTCCATCCTCAAGCCCCAAACGTTCTTGAAAAGAGCGAGTTTGTGTGGCCTTCAGTTTGGGTGCTTGATGATCTCAGCTGGGCGAATGGAGTGCCCCCCCCATTGATTGGGGAGTGTTTAGTCCTTATTTAAGTCATCTGAGTTAGCAGGCGGCAGCTTTTGGGTAAGCATGTACGTACGTCGGAATAGGTCCTGCAGTGAGTCGATGGCGGGCGTTGGGACGTCCAAGACCTCAGGTTTGGCGTGGATGGCGTCAATGTGGGGTGGGAGGAAGGTGAGGGAGGCCAACTCTAAGATCTAAGGCCTTGAATTTGGAGTGGTAAGGTAAGCAGAGAGAGGTACGGATATAGAGGAAAGAATTGGGAAAGAACGCGGGTTGTGGTCAAGAAGCAATATGTGACCAGATTATGTGACCAGATTATTTAATCAACTTGTCGATCATAAACGAAGTTCGAACAGGCAACCTCGCATTTTCCGTTTACTTCTCCTCGCTGTGTTCAACGCGAGAGAGTACTAGGACTTGCGGGTTAGGACCATCCTATGACGTGGAAGACATTGGAATCTTCCTCACACGCCCGCGCATTGGTGCCATCTGCTCCCCTGTATTCGCTGTCTACTCTGGTCATCCGTCTTCGCTCACCACATTGAGAACCACGACCTCAACAGCCTGCGCGTCCTTGGCAGTGTGAACGAGCCCATCAACCTAGGCATGTACAATGAAAACTTTGGTAAGAGGAAGTGTGCGGTTGTGGATACCTTCTGGTAAGTTCTACATATTCCGTGATGTTCACCTATCACTCACAGAGTTTAAAAAGATCAAAAACGCTACCTCAAGACCTACGTGAATGTATCCGCCCTTTCCATGGTGTGTTCATTTCCTTCTTCCATTCCTTCATCCACCTACATAACACTCTGGCAGATCGTATCAAACCATGTCGCCCAAATCTCTGCAGACAGAACTCTAACGATCTTGAACCCGCCATCGCAATTCACGTGGAACTTGAGGGGAGTTTGGAGGACAACGCGAAGGTTGTGGGAGTCGAGGAGCAAGTTATGGGTGAGATAGAAGTTGCAGCTGAGGAGTCACCGTGGTGATGTGTACCCATTCAAATATTCACCCCCCCGTTCAACTGACTTATGTTCCAGGAAACTAGGAAGCTCATTACAACGCCGGAAAGGATGCTGTCTACGTCTTCGACATCGCAGCCCTCCTCAACGGCGTCACGGCCCTGCCCTCCTCAACGGCGTCACGGCCCTCCTCAACAGTGGTCTTCAATGCCATTCGACGTTCGTTCACAAACATGATTCCTCAGCCGCCGACTTGCTTGTCCCCAAAGGGACAACGTGCTCGTCACTTTGTTTCTCCTGTTTCAATTCATCAAGACGTGTTCTGCAAGGTGCGTGTGCTTGATGTCTCTCATTTTTCGTCACCCACCTCCCAATTCCTAATTACTGTGTACACAGATTTATTCCCACATTCGAAAACCAAAATCCGGTCCATTCGGAGTCCGAATGGACCGGATTTTGGTCCTCGAAGGTGAGAAAGTGATGTCATAGCATACCTGCTGTACATGGCTACTTTTTGTCCCAACGTTCTGACCGTCGAGCAGAAAACAATTAAGCAATCAAGTAAGTGAACTTTGAACGCAATGAGGTGCCATCACCCTGACCCTTCGTTATCTCTTAGTACGTGAGTATACACCCAACGTTATCGAACCGTTGTTTGGGCTTGTAAGTACAACTACTGATAACGCAGTTTACGTCCACCCGTACATGTTCCAAACTGCGCAAAGCAGGCATCTTCTCTCGCGTCGATGTCTTGAATACATCGATTGGGAAGCGCTATGCTCGTAATGATGAACTTGCTATACCGTTCGGCGTCATCCTCGACTTGGCTTGTACGTCACTCATTCTGATTATTGAAACTGTTTTGGTTGTTTGTTTCTAATGCATGTTCAACGTTCAACAGCTGTCCAAACAGGATGATGACGCTCTGGTACATGTGTCTTGCCTCGTGTCAAATGCTATCTAACCTTGATAACAGGGAACGCGACACTATGGATCAACGCATTGGTTCTATCGACGACGTGATTGCAGCTGCCACCAAATTGGTGTTTGGCAATATTAACGGCCTCCACTCGCCTGCCAACATATGATGGCGCTCGAGCTATTGACTAGAGCGTTAAACATTTAGACATCGACATCGGAGAGGACGAGTATTTAAAATACTGTTGTGCATGTATAATTACTGCGAATGGTAATACTAGTTTAATATTGCAAGACTAGTAATCAAGAGTAAGATCAATAATCTCTGTATCAAGACCTTTCTTCCTCTTCGATGGGCCCACATCTGACTTGTCCTCAAATTGCCGCTTGTTAGATACCTTGGTTGGTCCAGAGACAGACCCACTATCCTCGGCACCTCTGATCCCACGAATGAGTTCATAAACTCCAGGGCACTCGTCGTCGGTGTAAGATGTGAAGCGGACTATGAGGTAGTTGTGGTCTTCGATGCGCTGGGAGCTGAATGTCGAAATTGGAATGAAGTCCGCCTTGTAAGAATCGTATATGCTGCATGAAGTGACCGGGAAGCGCGTGATGTCACAGAGAGCGTCATCTGAAAGAAAAGAATATGCTCCATAGTCGACCTGCCCTTGATGGCAAAACGGTTCTTCATTCCTCTAGCAAACATCATTGAATTAGCATGAATCAGAATGCTCCGCCGCACTCACAAGAGCATAAACATAGATTGGAATTGTATCAGGCATAAACTTCATCACTGTGGGAAAGGCTTTAGACGTAAACAGCATTGAAATATTTCAGACTCACACCCATCGGACATTCCGAGTTCAGATCTTCGGGTGGTCTTCCTTTTGGTGGAGGTTCCTGACTCTACAGAGTTCACGACATTGGTCTTGATGGCCTTCCCCTTCTGAATAGTGGCTGCTTGACTAAGGACTTGTACCTCCTCCCTGATTTTTGACTTCAAGGAGTCTGGAAGTTCAGGGGTGAGAGTCGACTTTGTAGCGACACACTGGGGGCCATTGGTTGGTTTGCACTGAGGAGCAGTCACGGGCAAGGTCACACAAAAAACAATTGGTTCACGTACATAATAAGAACGCCGCCCAATCATTTCAGCCTGACTAGGCGAACCTTTGTAGAGATTTGGATAGTGGCGGTTTCCATTTGGGCATCGGGGAACAATGAGCTTTGGGGCAAGACGATCAATGATTTCAGAGCGAGATTGGGTTAGCGAAGTCGACATGCTAGCAGAGCTTGAGGTCCTATCAAGCAGCCATGGGTCCTCTGCTTTTATTCATTTCAGTGTCAAGGCAAGTGTTCAGGGTACTGTCCACCGAAGTCAATGCGAATCAAGGTAACAAGAAAGCCGGTGGGTGTGCAAAAACCGGTGACTTGGATGAGATGACATCATACACTTCAGTGACTTTGGCACTCATTTCCTCACAACACGTGCATGACGAACAGAATGAAGAATGGAACCAATTTACAGCAAGATGCAAAAACGTAGACACCTCTCCAAATTTCCCAGACTCCGCCTTGCTTTGTACAAACAACCGCATTTGGTGCAACTCCGCCGCACGACGCGTCATAGTGACTTCATGGCGCTTGCATGGCGCGCCATTTTATTATATATACTCCTACAAATATGGTACTTCTATATAATTTCTCTTTTCCCATCTTCAAATATGTCAGGGAACTACCGCTTTATATCTGCCGAACAAAAACGGCATCTCATTGTTACGAGGGTTGATAGGAAATGACATAGATGAGACGCTAGCGAATGGACGAAGTGGAGGTTGGTGGAGCGAGAACAGAATGCTTGCGTCACTCGCACCTGCTCATTTCCTAAAGCGGTTGTTTGTACAAAGCGAGGCGGAGTCTGGGAAATTTGGAGAGGTGTCTACGTTTTTGCATCTTGCTGTAATTACTTACATAGATACTATATCATGTAGAGTCCTGTAAAAAGAACTAAGGAGGAAAACATGGAGAACATCTCTTAATAATTCAATCCAGGTGATCGACAATGCAGGGGTTCGAACTCACAACTTCCAGCGAAGTGGAATCGGCATGAACGTTATACACAGAACGCACCGTTAGACAACTACACCATAGCAGCGTTTATACAGCGATAATTAGAAAGGCCCATCGCTGCTCTTAGACCACTGTGTCGCTTTGACTTTCCTTTTCCAATAGCGTCGCTTTGACTTTCCTTTTCCTTCCACACTCAAAGCGCCGATGAATCCTGGCCCTTGTGTACAATACATCGTTAGGGATGTTTTTTTGTGACTCAAGTCTTTAAACTACTATCCATCTGGAGTGACGAAAAAGGAACAGCGCGAGGACCCTTGAAATATCTCTTGTTTTTTTTCTCTAAGCCATCAGTTTTTCCGCTCAGCACAATGAGGACTTGGTTCCCAAATTCCGCCTATATTCACGTCTGCCTATGTGCTTACCATCACCGCACTAATCCATTCGTGATAACAGAATCATTGATTTTCCTGCTTTCCCCTCTCGAGGGCCGAGCCCTGTAAGCCACGTCCTGATGATCGAAGAAGGCTTGTCTTGACCTACATAACACAAGTAAACAAAAGCTCGAGGAGTATAAAGGACCTGCAAACTCTTAGTTAACCTCAGGCTCTTCAGAACCACCCAACTGAACTCAAACCACCCATCATCATGATCTCTGTATGTCTTCTCGCTCGCTGGCTCTTTACCTTCTAACGAAGTTCTGTAGAACACCTCTGCTCTCGCCAACGCGGCCTGCGACCACACTTCCTGCGGTTGCGCCCAGGAGTAAGTTCACAACCATAATTTTTTTGCATTGACTGGTTCTGACACGTTGATTCTACGTGCAGCTGCTCCTGCGCCAGCTGCGGGTGCAAGTGCGCATCTGGATAATCGCTCTATCCTTGTTGTTCTGTTAGTAGTGTCTCGCGTACTGGAAGCAGTGTGAAATAGGCGAAGGAAGGATGCTTGTACGAGTTATACGAAAACCCGATATTGTGCTCAGATGAATTGATAAAGTTTGTGTTAAGAAGTTCATTGAAAGTCGGACGGAGAATTCGGACCGGGTATGAAATTAACGCTTGACTCTCCCCCCGGTCGCACACCCGCGCTTGACTGTGTTAAATGAAAACCCCACGTCTTGGCACCCCATGGCGTGGATTCTATTCCCTATCGCGGGCGACCAGGTTTTAAATTGTATGAAGGCAAGTATGAAGGTAACCCGGCTTTTCTGGTAGCCACTCTATACTTTGTGGGCCCATTCATCAAAATAAGATCTCTAAGCCCAGGAGAGAATCCGACAGAATTGATCCAGAAGTGTACATTCTACGTTTATTGTGTTCAATCCTACAAAACTGATTACTTCTCGGTTCGCCGCCCGTTTCTATTATGTTATACTCCTTCGAGATTACTTCCACAAATGTAGTGGGGGCACAAAGAGAATCGTAGAATGACTGTGCCCTCAGGTGATACGGTATTGAACTTGGACAGGGGCTCAATGAGCCATAAAAAGAATATGCATATCTTATCAAGGGTGGATCCGTAAAGAGAGATAAGTTTATACGAAATGAACAGAGATATGAAAAAAAGAAGTTGAAGAGAGGCACACACAAATGGCAGACGTGCCACGAGGATGACACCAATTCTACGCTTTAATTTGAGTGCTACACTGCAGCTTTCTAGTCAAAGGGAAGAATACGTCCGTCAGGCTCACAAGCACCATAGATCTCTGAATACCCATGCTGCACGAGCCAGTCCTTGCTCGCGCCGTCCATGTCGAGTAAAATCCTCCGGTTCTTCAGCCGGTGCGCAACGTCGTCGAGACGAAGGGAGACAACAGCCAGAATAGATCCACGGGAGAGTTTGTTGTTGTGTCGAGGCGGTTAAGGAACTTAATCTCCCGTTCACTCGCACCAGAGCGAGGAAGAGTCACCTTATGTGCCTTCTCCAATTCGTCGAGAAGAATGACGGCTACGACGTTTCGTTTAGTTCAGGATGGTACACCCAACTCAAGCGCGGGAGACAAGTACCATAGGGTTTCTGCCGAAAGGCTTCTATGAGTTGGCCTGTCACACATCACCAACTCAAAAATCATTCCTCCAGCACTGAATGACTTCGACACATTCAGGTGCAGCACCAATCAACCGCGAGATGGTGTATCAACCAGCGAATCAGCAACGTATCCACGTACTGACAACAAAAGTGTGAAGAAACCCATTTCGGACGTATTGGTCATGACCGACCCCCTTTGTTCATCATTGAACAACAACGCCGCAAGAGCTCGGCAAAGCTCCGTCTATCGCATCTACATTACAAAATGTCGAAGAAGACGAACGTAACGCAAAGAGAGATACACCTTACCCACACTCATCAGACTTTAAAACAAGAACGACGCTATGGGTTGATTGGGCGCTTGCAGTCCCGCCCGGGAGATCCGCACGGCGTCGCTTATTGCGGTCTTGCCCTACGCCTCTTGCTGCCAGAGAGTCTTCCATCTACACCAAACCCAGCGTTGAACTCCCTCATCAATCAAAATGAACAAGAAAAAGAAAACAACGTACATGAACCAACTTATCCCTCTCCCCCTTCAACAAATTCTACACCGGAATCCCTGTAGCCTTCGCCTCCACCCTCGAAATATTGTTCGATGTCGCCCTATCATGCAGCATTGCTAACGGTGACTCCTGATCCCTATTCGCCTGGTCGCCCTCTGCGGGAAGCTGGCGTTGCAGCTCGGGAATGGTAGAGCACCACAGGCGCGAGGCGAGCTCGAATTGGCCATGTCGTTGTGCGAAGTCCAATTGGTGCTTGAGATCCCGAGTCAGTCCGCAAATTCTACCAGTATGCCAGACCCCAGTCAAGACAGCAACCTCTTCCCGTTTCTCCTTCAGCTCCTGCTCGACCTTGTTCCTCCGCTCCATGCTGAAGGTGTCACTTTCGTTCTTCAAGCTCTCCAATTCGATCTGGAGCGTCATTACCTCCCACTCTAGGGACTCCAACTCGTCGGGCTTGCTCTCATGCGCGTCGTCCACCAAATCGATGGCTTTGTCAGGTAGAAACCGGTCGGAGATATAACGTGCAGAGTAGACTGCGGCTGTTCACGGTTGACGTGACGAAGTGTCCTACGTCTCCGTCTCACACATGTGATGTGCTGGCAATCACCGGCGACCCATATATGGTAATCCTCCGACTTAGGGCAATGTGCCATAGCCCTAAGTCGGCTCGAGAACGCGCGTTCTCGAGCCGCGTTCTCGAGCACCTAACCTACCCTAACCATCTAACCTGACCACCTAACCTAACAACCTAACCTTACCAAGAACGCGCTACCGCACGGAGAGAAAAATATCCCTATCCCTAACCATGAACCCTAACAGCTAACCTAACAAGAACGCGCTACCACGCATGGAGAAAAATATCCCCCATCCCTAACCTTATCTCTAACCAACCACTAACCTAACCTAACTAATTGTTTGATACATAAAAAAAGAAATGGAGCATAGAGAATTGAACCCAAGACACCTTGGTAAGCATAACAAATTCATTGTGATTAACCATTCCACCAAACCAGCATTTGTTTTGTATGTTCTTCATGCACTATATTATAGTGTACCCTTGGTGTACCCTATCATCTTTCCTTTTAAAGAATGTGAGACAGGGGGAGAGCTGTGCCATTTACGTGACGTGTTCAAAATGTTGAGTTCAAGTGCGGGGCAGGGTTGTTCTCGGAAAGGGAGTTGAGTTCCACACAGCAGGTTTGAGTTCCAGTCTCCAGAGGGATGGGTTCCAGAGTGTTGTGTTCAAGTGTGATGACATTCAGGGCAAGCAGTGACATGTTCAACGGTACTAAGCAATAGAAAGTTCAAAAGAGCGAACAACAGCACATTTGGCAATGGTAAGCAACAACCAAAGCAAGCTACTAACCAGTAACCAAAGCGCCATCTGCAATCTCCACAGCTTCAAACCTCGTATTGGTGTGCAATATTCATCAGCTGGAAGGGGAGAGTTTTAGCAAGTGAGATTTAAAAGGGAGAGGAAGGAGGAGGGCAAGGGAGCAAGCCCAAAAGAGATGTACGCACCTGGAAGTGAACTGGACTGAATAAGGTGGGGACACTGGGGAGGGGCAATGCCTGGCAAAACAATGTGTATTGATCTTTATTTGTGCCTCCCCTTTGATACCGAAAATCAGAGTTGTTCAATTTAACTCAAACCTTAATCTCAGAAAGGAAATTCGGTATTTTTGAAAACAAGCCAGCCGATATGTTGCCGATTGTTCCTAGAAGCGCATTCTATGCCATCTAGGCTGAAAGACAAGCCAGTTCCTCGATGAAGCATTGTGAGCTTTGAATAATTCCCTTATTCAGAGAAGAATATGACAAAAAGAGGTTAAGACACTTACAATATGGTCTGTCTTCATGTTCAGTCAAACCATCCCAGCTATCCAGTCTCTTGTCAAAGGCGATATACACATGAACCACAGGTTTTCATTGCCAAGAGAATGGTTGTGCTCTGGGTTGTATATGCCGAGAAGGAAAGAAGTCCCCGCATATGATTTGACTGTCAGTGAAGCAGTACAATCAGTAACTTTTGAAGGAATCTTGTGTCCCCAGTGTGGATTCTTTTTCACATAAATTGCCACACGCCCATGCCTAGCACACAAGTAACTTTCACACGCCAGATATTTCCCAGATAATCCCGTGATTGTTTGTGACTTCAGGAACTCAACAGAGTGCAAAGATTGTTCTTGTGCCAGAAAGAGTTCGAAGTTGCACCTAGAGCCCCAAAGCATATTGTACTTGGACATGTGACTGTCAGAAACAAAACTGCCATACGGAGACATAGCTTTTATCCCAGTATGCTCTGATGGAGGTAAAGAAATGTGGAAATTGATATGAGCATCATCAGATCCAATGACGGACAGTTGTTGTTGATGCGTTGCGACAGGGTCAAGGCCAGGGACAGTAACATTGAGCCGAAAATGCCCTAGCAACATCTTTAGATGTTCCAAACATGTCCCAGACACTGAACAGGAAGAGCAGGTTGATGCCTGCCACCCCAGGCAGCAAGAAAGTAGTGTGTCATGTTGTGTCGTGTTGTGCCTGGGCGATTTGTGGCAAGGCGGCAACTTTGGAAACTGGCTGAAATGTGCCAAAACTAAAAATAAATAAATTCCATTCTGGGAATTAAACTCTGAGCTCAAATCCCAAAAGTTGAAAATCAGCCATCACCTTGCTTGTAGTCTTGAAAATTTGGAATCAGTAGAGGACCGTAGACTGAACCATGGTTATGGTCTTTGTCAGTCCTGTTAATTTGTGGTCTTGATTGGTCACAGTCCAGTCTGGTCACGGTCTTTTTCCAGTCCTGTGACCAGACTTCCAAACACTATTTCTTAGGTCTAGAACTGTAAATTGTAGCTTCTCCGCATCTGCATATTTTCCTAAGTAAACACAAGGTTACTCATGGCTGTGGTTGTATCTGGGTGGTCCTCTCCAAGATTTCTGCTTCTTACATCCAACACTTGAATTTGAAATTTCTCTGCCTCACTATCATACCCCTGTTCCATCAACAATCTTCCAAACCTTTTATGAGCATCATCAAAGTATTTATCAACCATCTCCATGTTTGCCATTACACTGTGCATTATATTGGCTCTCAAATGAGTCACCAAAATCCTTCTGAACTGGTATGGTTGTTCATCAAAGTCTTCTGGCAAAGAGCCAGCTAACATTACATATGCCATCAAACAGTACTTATTTCTATATATCAGCTGAGGACATTCTGTATCTTCCCCATGCCTGAATTAGTGGATGCATGGTATAGATACCTTTGGATGAAATCAGTTTGATCAGGCTAAAAGACAGTAATACCCAAACTCCCTCTTTGAAGATAAAATTATCCCATTTTCCTGTGTTATGAAGCTGAAGCTGTGTGTGGTCTATGATAGAGCTTGTAAGACTTAAGTGTGAGGATCTGTCCTAAGATCTAGAGGGAAGCCCTTGTGCACCTGAAGATTCAGTACAGGTGCAGAAGTGGGTTGCAGTGAAGATAACTCGCAGACGGATGAGGAACTCAGAGTTGGGTACAACACCGGAGTGGGTAGATTCATATGTTTGAGGTAGGTGTGCTTATGCACACATGTAGGTTGTTGCTGATTCACTTGTTTGTATCTTGTTTTTGTTTTGAACAGCATCATATTCAATGCTATGGTTGATTGTTGCATCGCCTGGGTATGTTGGCTTCAACTCCAGTGGTGGTATAGGAAACAGGGCTTTCATAAGTCAGAGCTGACAGCAGCGAAGCCTGATCAACCCACCTCTTGTGACATACCACATCAGTTCAAGGAGTCTCCTGGTATGGTATGTATCTTTCATTTAGTCAAACTTTGGTCTCCAAAGTCATACAGAGGTTATGGGGATGGTTACTTGAACACGATACACAGATGTGAAACCCGTCATTCCCACATGGACCCAGGCGCTATGCACTCCTTTTCAAGAATTGTGTATATTGGCTTGCACAGTGAAGTAGGCTTACATTCCATTTTCAGAAAGTTTGCATTCTGCATAGTGTTTGGAAGTCTGGTCTTGTGACTGGAAAAAGACCATAACCAGACTGGACCAAGACCACAAAAAACTGGACCAGTGGTCTGGTCTTTTCATTTTTGAGAAGTAAAGACAGCAAGAAAACCGGTTAGGACCACTTTCTTGTAGCCCACCAAATACCCTTCAAAACGCACTCAAGAATGTATTATTTCATTCAAAACTGACAAAGATATAGTTTAAAATGTAAAATTTTGTTGAAAATAGTGGATGTACCAGACTTTTTTGTAGAAACACCAATTCTTAACGGAATTTAACATTCTTGGGCTCTTTTTAAAGCTATGAAAAACATTAATAAATCTACAGATTCATAATTGGCTGAGAGACCGGTCTTAAACCAGTTAAAACTATTGGAGCAGCAAATTTGAGGGGTTATGTAATCAGAGAAGGATAATGAATTGGGGCTCTTGAGCCCTCCTTATATACTACAATATGTAACTACTAGAATACTCTACAATATACTACTTAGTCCTAGATAGGTCAAGCGTGCATGAGAGCACACACTGCATCGGTGTGCCGGAGTTGCCAGTCCGCTATGGCTATCCAACACTCCCCCTCAACCCTGAATCCATGCTGATGGGAGAATTAAACTTCTTGTGTGCTGGGTGTGGTAATGCCTTGGTAAATACATCAGCTAGATTGTCCTCTGATGTGCAGTGTTCTATTATGATTGAATTGTTGCCAAGCTGTTTGCATATGAAATGATGTTGAATATCAATATGCTTTGACTTTGAGTGTGACCCTTGATTCTTTGAAAAATCAATTGCAGATTGATTATCAATGTTGAGTTGCATAGGTTTATTTTGTAGTAACCAATTTCTGTTAACAAAGCGCAAAGACATATTGCTTCATGGGTAGCTAGGCTGGCAGCCATATATTCTGCCTCCATCATAGATACTGCAATGGTGTGCTGTTTGTGTGATGCCCATGAAATGGGCATGTTCCTGAATAAGAAAATGTATCCTGTTATAGATTTGCAATTGAGATCACTATTTCCCCAGTCTGCATTGGAGTACCCTTCTAAAATTGGAACAGTGTTCCCACTGCTGTAGGTTATTCCATAATTGTGTGTTCCATTTAAATACCAGAAGATGTGTTTAATTGCACTCCAATGTTCAGGGCTTGGATTACTTGTAAATTGACTAAGGTGCTGGACTGCATAAGCAATGTCTGGCATGTGCCAATTGCTGCATACATTAGCGACCCAATTGCCACTGCATACTGTGGAATTTTGTGATGTTCTCCTTCAGGAGTTTTAGTCAATTTGACATTTGGATCGAGTGGTATTTTGACAGGCATGGATTTGGACATTCCAAATCTGTCCAAGATTCTTCCCACATACTGATTTTGTGTTAAATGTATTGTGCCCTTCTTGAGATCCCTTTGAACTTCAAATCCCACTATTTGTTTGAGTTCTCCAAGATCTGAGATATCAAATTTTTGGCCAAATTCTCTCTTGAATTCTGCCATGGCTTCGTCATCTGAAGCTAAAATTAACATGTCATCAACATGAACTCTGATGATGACAAGGTTATTCCTGATGTGCTTAATATAGACACATTGATCTGAGAATAGCCATGTGAAGCTGAGTTGAATGAAAGTTTTGTTTAACTTTTCATTCCACACGTGTCTGGACTGTCGTAATCCGTAGAGTGTATGCTGTAATAAGAGTACTGAGTTTGTGTCATCCTTGTATCCAGGAATTTGCTTCATGTAAATTTGTTCTTTGAGTTCTCCATTGAGATAAGCTCCCACAATGTCAATAACATGGGCGACTAATCTGTATGATGCGGCGATGGCTAATAATAGCCACAAAGTATCAAGGTGCATCACTGGTGCGAAAGTCTCAAAGAAATTGATTCCGGGGATCTGTGAAAATCCCTTTGCAACCAATCTTGCTTTGTGTCACAAATTTTGCCTTCCGTGTCGCACTTCAAGCGGAATACCCATTTACAGTTGATAGCAACTCTATCCTTAGGCATTTTAACTTTGATGTATGTCCCTAGATTTTCCAATTGAAGAATTTCCGTGTCCATTGCCTTTTTCCATTCAGGCCAATCTAGACAAGATCTTGCTTCTTCTGGCGCTTTTTCTGCAATCATGGCATAATCATATGTTGCCTCCATGTCCTGCAAAAAATTAGACTCTTCTGGTGAGAGAACAGGCACTTGATGTTGCCATTCCCAAGGACCTCTTGCCAAAGGATTATTTAAAAATCTATAATGGAATGGTGACTTCTTGGCAACATGTCTAGATTTTTGTCAAGCTGGTATGGGAATCTTTGACATTTTTGGTGTGTCTGTGATCATGGTATTATTAGTACTGATGTTCTCATCAGGGTTATCATCTGATGGGGGATTGTCTGATTGGCTATTCTCCCCCTCAATCTCCATAGGACAATTGACCATGACCTCAAATTCATCATAGTCCTGAATTTCTTGGTCATCCTTCGAGAAAATAACATTGCGTAAGGTTAATATTTGCCGGCCATTCCAATAACAGTACCCTTTGGTACTGTCATCAATGCCAACAAAATTAAATGGCCAGGATCTAGGATCCAATTTCTTATTTTTCTTGTCTTGCTGTAAAACCCAGTATTTGCGACCAAATTCTTGCAAATGCATAATATTAGGCTTCTTGCTCCAGAATGCTTCATTGGGAGTTTTATTATCCTTTAAGGCATGTGTGGGAGAATGATTTCAGAGATAAGTGGCATATTTGACCACTTCTGGCCAAAGATAGTAAGTGAGATGTGGATCTTGCGAGTGTAACATAGCACGTGCCTCCAAAACTACAGTTCGGTTTCCGCGCTCTGCAATTCCATTCTGCAAAGATGAGTAGGCTGCTGTAACCTTGAGGAATATCCCATTTGTTAATAAATGTTCCTTGAACTCATCATTAATATATTCCTCACCACCATCAACTCTAAGTTTCTTCAGTTTCTGGCCTGTTTGTGTTTCCACAAATGCCTTGTACTGTTTAAACTTCTCTAGTGCCTCGGATTCTTCTTCAGAAAATATCTCATTGAACAGTGTGATTTTCCATCTGTGAATGTGATGAAATATTTTTCTCCCCCTATTCTGGTAGTTTGTGCAGGTCCCCAAAGATCAGATACTGTTAAATCGCCGATCTCAGCAATTTCCATCTTTGATTCTTGTGGATACAGTGTGACATGCTGCTTTGCAAGAATGCACACTGGACATTGTTCCGTTGCTGGAACACTTTCATCAACCTCCATGCCACTAACCATTCCTTTTGACTTCAATTGTTTTACTGAAGCCATATTTAAATGACCCAAAATTCTGTGCCATTCATCCCAAGTGTGTGCACTTACTTTTGCAGAGTAAGCTTGGTCTTGTTTGGCAGAGACCTTGACATCCATAAGGTACAGATTTGAGATCTTGGTACCTTGTGCCATAATTGTCCAATTTGGTGCTCTAAATTTCACATGTGTGTCTGTGAATAGAATTTGAATTTTTGCACCAGTAACTCACCTGAGTGAGATAAGATTATGGGGTGCATCCGGGACGTGAAGCACATTATTGAGAGTGATGGGATAGGCTTTTCCATCAACATGAGAGATTAGTTTAACTGTTCCTCTCCCTAATACTGGTTGATTTCCTAATCTTTTGACAAAATGACCTGAGGTAGGAGTATATTCTGTAAAATAACTCCTTTCTGGTGTAAGATGTGAGGTACATGCTGAATCCACTAACCAGGAGTCAGCCATGAGCGAAGCGAATGCCATTTCAGGTGTGCCATCAATTCCTGCAAATGCAAAGTCATCAGTAACTTCATTTGCACATGCTCCCCTGAACTTTGGCTTCCTGTGATCTTTCTCATTAGATTGATCACTTGATTTGGATCAGCAATCCGCCTTGACATGCCCACGCTTGCCACATCCATAGCATGTTATTTTTGGATTGTATTTATTCTTGCCCCATTTGGCTGGCAGGGCCATATCATTGGTGCCTTGAATCTTGAGTCTTCTGTCATGCTCAAGGATTCTGGCAATTAATTTAGGTGCATCGGTGAGGGCAGATGTGTCAATAGATGAAATATAATTGTTCCAACTATCTGGAAGTGATGTGAGTAGGATGATAGAAAATTCTGCATCCTCAATTTTCTGTCTGAGATTGTGCAACTCTTCTTGATAACCTCTAAGGGTCCGGAAGTGGTCTTCAATGCTAGTGCCATCCTTGCACTTAGCCCTGAATAATTTTCTTCAGGCAAGGACAATTCCTAATGGCCCTTGGGCTTCCAGCAGACCCTTCAATGTATCCCAGCCTTCTTTTGATGATTTCAAGCTAGCTACATAAACCAATACTGTATGATTATGACCAACTCTTCAAGCTGTTTAGGGTGTGACCTATTTCAATCAACTCTTTGTCACTTCAAGATCTGATGTGAGGCATGATGAAGAGTAGAATCTCTTCATCTGTACTTCAGAAAATCAAGAATAGGCTGTCCTTGCAGTCAAATCTTCAATGGTGGGATAGGCCTCCTTAGAAATTAGTTTAAGGATTCCTAGTGCTGTCTACACAGCCAGGAGTGCCACAGGTTCGAAAAATTTGGTATTTTAGATGCAAGAGAAAACAACTTCAAAACCTGTGGTGATGTGTGATGTCACACTCACTTCCCTTCATTCAAACCCCTCTGTGATGCATGATGTGAAGACTCAGTCATAATCATACAGTAGTTTATCAGCTACTTGTAATCTTATTGTCAATAAAGCTGTCCGATCCTTCTTTTCCCATGCTGGTTTCTGGTTGGCATCTGTTGGCACTTTACTGGGTTCCACATAATCCCATAGACCCTGATCCGTCAAGATATCCATCATCTTGATTTTCCATACTGTGTAATTGTCCACGCCTTTAAGCAGCTCAATTCGGTAAATGTTCGATGATCCTGTGGTCTCCATGTGCTGTTACATAATTGATAAGATAAAGGTTGATGAGAGTGAAGTAAGATGTATAGTTTGTATAATGTTTAGGGCTTGGGGCCCATAACCTGTTGGAGCAGCAAATACGAGGGGTTATATAATCAGAGAAGGATAATGAATTGGGGGCTCTTGAGCCCTCCTTATATACTACAATATGTAACTACTAGAATACTCTACAATATACTACTAGGGCTGCGCACCATCTGTTTGACAGGGACAGGCAGACAAAAAACGGCCATAAACAGGTTGTACGTACGTTTGCCCACCCTTTCAAAGTACATATTTTTTTCCACAATTTTTTTTTGTTTTTGAGTACCTGGTAAATGTGAGAAGAGATATTGAGCACGAATAATAAAGATTTGCACCTTCAAACAGCAAATCATGAGCTCGAGGTCTCCCACAGGGTTTCAATTGCGATGAGTCAGCACCATTCTGGTTGTTTTTGAGCCCCCTGGAGACATTTAGTGTTGAAAAAGTTATGCAAAAAATTAATAATGCAGCACTTCAGACATTGTCAAGAAATAGTACAGCTAATTGTGGTAAAAATCACAGAATGTGTCAATGACCTGTCTGACAGCCGTTACGGCTGTCATGTGACAGATAAAAACAGGTGTTCAGCAAGCCCAAACGGAACGGGTAATTGTCCGTCAGACCCATCCGTCGACCCGTCTATGACGGGCATGGTGCGCAGCCCTATAGACTACTTAGTCCTAGATAGGTCGAGCATGCACAAGAGTGCACACTGCATCGGCGTGCCGGAGTTGCCAGTCTGCTATGGCTATCCAACAAAAACTGAAGAAGACCAAGACCAGTCTATAGACCGCAAAAAGACCACAGACTGCAGTTTTTTGTGGTCCAGTTCAGTCTTTTGACTCCTGGAAAAAAGGCAGACCAGTTATGGTTACAGTTAAAGCCCTCAGGCATCAAAAAACCAGACCGGACCGGACTTTTAAACACTAATTCTGCACTGGCAGATGACCCAATTATACTGCAAGTCAGCAATAAACCACCTGTTTTTTTGGTAAACTCCGGGACATAGGAAATCTTTGAGGCACACATACAGCTTGATTCTTGAAAAATGGGTTGATTATTGGAGCTACACAATGGATGGGAGGAGTGAGGATGGGGTGAGCCAGATCTATTACTTAAAATACAATGGTGAGATGTGGAGTTAGTATTCAATAATTTTACAAAGGAATTCCGCCACGACAGAGCAATTAATCTTTACCCTCCTCAAAATCAAGAGGCGGGTTCTCCTCAGGGTTAACTTCAGAATCCGGTCTCACAAGAGACGGATCAGGGGGATGATTCTCCTTGATCTCCAGAACGACCCCGGATTCCGCCACCCGGATCTTCACCACATCGCCGTCCCTTTATGCAAGACAAGAAACGACGGTCAGAAGCCTTGTTACTCGAAAATCAAACTTTGAAGGAACATACCTAATAGTTCCCCTCAACAGCTTTCTCGCCAAAGGGAACAATACGTCCGTCCTCACGACACGCGCAATCGCCCTGGCACCATAGATCTCTGAATACCCATGCTGCGCGAGCCAGTCCTTGCTCGCGCCGTCCACGTCGAGTGAGATCCTCCGGTTCTTCAGCCGGTGCGCAACGTCGTCGAGACGGAGGGAGACAACGGCCAGAATGGATTCACGGGAGAGCTTATTGAAGACGAGGGTTGTGTCGAGCCGGTTGAGGAGTTCCGGGGGGAAGTACTCTTGTGTTCGCTCCATTACTTCATTCCTTGCTTCTGGAGTGACGATTCCAGTTTTGGGGTCGCATGCAGAGGTGTGCGCCAGGATGTCGCTGCCTGGTAAGTGTTTCATTAGTGTCAACGGATGTTGTTGATGAATGGATACATAGCTTACCAAGGTTACTTGTCAAACATATAATTGTATTCTACAACCAGACCCTCTGGTGAGCAGATGGAAACAAATCGACACATGGAGAGTGCTCACCTTGAAATCGACCTTACGCCCTTGACTATCGGTAATAACACCCTCATCGAGGATTTGCAGGAGGATCATGGAAACGTCCTATGCAACCCATCGATCCCCCATTTATTTGAACAACAAGGCGAGAACAACTCACCTTATGTGCCTTCTCCAACTCGTCGAGCAGAATGACAGCTACGACGTGTTGTTTAGTTCACGATGGTACACCCAACTCAAGCGCGGGAGACAACGTACCATAGGGTTTCCGCCGAACGGCTTCCGTGAGTTGGCCTGCCACACATCACCAGCTCAAAACTCCATTCCTCCAAAAGAAATCAAATCAGCACTCACCGCCTTCCTCGAATCCGACATATCCAGGTGCAGCACCAATCAAACGCGAAATGGTGTGTCGGTCATGATACTAACCACCACCAACCAGTGAATCAGCAACGTCTCCACATATTGACAACAAAAGCGCGAAGAACTCACCTCGGACATATTGATCGTGATCAACCCCCTTTGCTCATCATTGAACAAGAAGGCCGCGAGAGCTTTGCAAAGTTCGGTCTATCTACATCAGCATCGTGCAAGTTGAAGAAGACGAACGCAAAGAGAGACACACCTTACCCACACCCGTCGGACCCAAAAACAAGAACGACGCCACGGGTCGATTGGGTGCTTGCAGGCCCGCACGGGAGATGCGCACGGCGTCGCTTATTGCTGACACTACGTGATCTTGCCCAACGACCCTCGCTGCCAGAGACTCTTCCATCTACACCAATCCCAGCGTTAAACCCCCGAACAAAAAAAAGAAAACCAACACACATGGACCAACTTATCCCTCTCCCCCTTCAACAAATTCTGCACCGGTATCCCCGTTGCCTTCGCCACCACCCTCGAAATATCGTTCGACGTCACCCTATCATGAAGCATCGCCAACGGCGACTCCTCATCCCTATTCGCCTGGTCCCCCTCCACAGGAAGTTGGCGCTGCAGCTCGGGAATGGTAGAGAACCGCAGGCGCGAGGCGAGCTCGAACTGGCCCTGTCGCTGTGCCACGTCCAATTGGTGCTTGGCTTCTTCTAGTCTACGCTTGACGTCTTTGATCTTGTCCAGCCGAGCTCTTTCTACACGGAACCCAAGTCAGTCTCGCAAATTCGTTCTGATTTCGGGGTCCACTTACCAGTCTGCCAGACCCCAGTCAAAGCAGCAGCTTCTTCCCTCTTCTCCTTCAGCTCCTGCTCGACTTTGTTCCTCCGCTCCACGCTGAAGGTGTCACTTTCGTTCTTCAAGCTCTCCAGTTCGATCTGGAGCGTCATTATCTCCCGCTCTAGGGACTCCAACTCGTCCGGCTTGCTCTCCTGCGCCAGACGGAGGGCCGAGGCGGCTTCGTCTACCAAATCGATGGCTTTGTCAGGTAGGAACCGGTCGGAGATATAGCGTGCTGAATAGACTGCAGCTGTTCATGAGTAACATGACATGTTCAAGGTGAACCGTATTGAGTTCCAGATTGTATTCCAAGGCAAGCAGCAAGTGGTTCATAGGGGCGTTCGCAAGGAACGGAAAGTTCAAAAGAAAGAAATGGCAACTCCCCGTAAGCAACAACAAAACCAAGGAACCAAGGTACTAACCGGTGACTAAAGCCCCGTCCGAAATCTCCACCCCATGATGTACCTCATACCGCGGCTTCAAACCTCTCAGAATTGAGATAGTGGAAGACACCGTGGGTTCGTCGATAGTGACGGGCTGGAACCGGCGTTCGAGTGCGGCGTCTTTGGATATTGTTTTGCGGTATTCGTCGGCTACAAGGGGAGAGTGTTAGTGTGTTGTGGTATTTAGAGGACAGCGAGACAAGGGAGGAAGTAGAAAGAGAGATGATACCGCCAGCAAGTGACTGACGCCGACAAGGACACCAATAGACGTGGTGGAAGGAAGAGAGAATGTTACTTACGTGTAGTAGCCCCAACCAACTGCAGCCCTCTAGCCAACGCCGGTTTAATCATCTGTCCTGCGTCGATGCTTCCTTCCGATTTGCCGAGGTTGAAAAGGGTGTCTAATATACGTGGTCAGAATAATTCGACCATGATGTTGGAGCCAAGGCCACTCACGGACTTCGTCGATGAAGCAAATGACTTGTCGGCCCTATGAAATAAGTGGGGACTTGCAAGAAAGAGGAGTCGATGTGGAAGAACGAACCTCGTCCTCGATGTCCCTCAGAAGAGCCTTGAACTTTTCCTCAAACTGTCCTCGGATCCCTGAGCCTGCCATGATAGCGGACAAGTCTATTGACAGGACACGTTTGTTGTGAAGGGACTTATTCGGCCGTTAGAGAATGAAAATGCCGAGTAAGCAAGGATTAGACAAAGACGCACCTCTGGAACTTCCTTCGCCACGATACGGCTCGCGAGACCTTCGAGGATGGCTGTCTTTCCGACGCCTGGGGGGCCTATTAGCTGTTACGAAAGAAATTGTGAGACCGCGAAGCATTGCCCAATTGACGGACTTACCACTGGGTTTGACTTGGTCCTCCGTGACAAAACTAGAAGAAAAAGCACAACGTTAGCCCATGAACTTGAGTTACACAAAGGGTTACCAACTCTGTATTGTCCTCCGAATCTCTATGTATCCAGTTCAACAAAGCAGTTTTCCCGATTATGAAAGACAAGCACGCACCGTCATCTCTACCAATGGTAGGATCAAGCTTCCCCTCCTTTGCCAGTTCCGTCAAATCCACGCTCTACGGACGCACTCACATCAACCCCAAAAACTGGACAGAGTAGAACAGACAACTCACATATTCTTTCAGCGCCTCGCCTTTTTGGTGTTGCGGGCCCATGCTAAACGACGGAAAGCCACCCTTAGGTGGCCCCCCGCCGCCGCCACCAATCCCGTTCGAATAGTACCTGCCCACCGCATGTGGCAGCCTTGAGATAGCCACACATGCCGACGGAACGACTAATAGAGGTCCTGGACGCGTTCGGGTCCGTGCGTAGCGCGTGGAGATCGAGAACGGGTGTCGAGTACCTGTAAGTTTTGGTATGAAAGTTCTGGTAGACGTAGGTGGTGGCGAAAGGAGCATCGGGGGTCGTCGTATGTGACTTTTTATGAGGAGAACGGCTTATATTTCGGAACACGTCATGACATGCCGGCCCGGCTTCTCCCGTGTTCGCGTACCTTCCAGTCTTCGTCCAAGACGCCTGAACCTCCGACATCTTTCATGAGCTAGAGAAGTAAACGAAGTCGACAAATTTTATCTAAGCGAACGTAGAACGCGCGAAAGTTTCAGCGTGCCATCCACCACATCTTCCAAGCCAGATGGGACGCTACATTGCGACGAGTTGTGCGAGGAAACTTTGATAGATGGTTGAAGGTAAGTAAATGCTCAAATCTGAATTTACCGGTCCTGTTCACAAACTTTCAGAGACTTGTTGCATAAAACGCGGGATGCACAATCGTGTACTCGAATAAAAATGTACTATCTCGCGACCCAATCACACACCCTAGCCCATGCCGCGTCGTGGTGCTTCCATTCGGAGCAGAGACAGCTTCCGCCTTGTGCGCGCCCTCACCGCATGCAAGGTGAAGCCTTATTCGCGCGTTAGGGCGTTCTCCGCTGTGACCAACATTGACTATAATTTGGACCGAGGAATGGCGAGATCTACTGCGGTTAGCTTCCAAGCCAAACTTCTCACTTATTAACTCATGGGGCCGAGGACATCCCCCATGTAGGCCTGCCCTCGACTTTAGAAACAGCGCAGTGTACCCGATTACATACATAATCGAAAGAAGGTTGTAACTTCAACGGTCTTTCACAGCATGGTCATCAGTATTTCTACACTCCGCTTGTCACGACTTGTTTGGGCTTTTTTCAACTCGTACGAGCCCAAACGAGTCGAAACGAGCCACAAGTCACAAGTTGACAAGTAGATCCAAAAATCTCGCAAGTTGAGTTGCGAGATTGCTCGACGAGCTCTAACAAGCTGACAAGCTCAGAAAAGTGGTAATCTTATTTTTGGTATTTCATAGCAAAAAATTAGGTATAACTGATCATTGTATGGTACTAGCACAATACAGTGAGAATACGACAGTACACTATTAAAGAATCCTTTGCCATCCACACCAGCGACGCCAGGAGGGACACATCCCTCCCCCATTGGGTCCCTTCCACAAGCTCTGTATACCCCCTTCTCAAACCCCCTTCCTGCCCCTGCAAGTGCATACTGGTACATATGTCATCGAAACGGCGTGCGCGGCAGAGTGACGTGGCGATGGTTGGTGTGTGGTGTGTGGTGTGGGCAACGGCGACTGGCTGGGGACTTGTCAGTCAAAGGGGGGGGGGGGGATATCGGGGGTTGCTGACCTTTTGGCAGCACTCGTTCCTCCATGATCATTTGTTGTCGTCGTGGTTGCTGCTGTGGACTTCGTGGCACGTCAGAAAGGTTCGGCTTGGAAAGTTCTTGGGCACATAGCAGCGGGCTAAAAAGAACGAAATGGCAGATGTGATGGCTTCTGTATGACTTCGTTCTCTAATTTAACAAAACCAGGCTCCAGCCTAAAAAGAGTGAATTGGAGAGATGGGTGGATGAGAAATCTAGGAGAGACCGAAGAGCCAAAGATGTAACGTACCGTTGACAAGCCACGTCATCACCGCGACGTGGGATTGAGTCGGCTGGTGCTTGCCTGGTTGCTGTCGTTGCTGGTGTGGCATGGCAGCATTGGGCTGACTGGTGCTCATGGTTGAGGCTGGTGACGTGGCGTCACCACGTCGTTTTGTTGGGGCTGGTGTCGTCGGTGTGAGCTATCATGGTTGTGGGAGGTCAAATGATGGTTCCGGGAGGTAATGGTTGGTGGTGGCGGTGGTGACGCAGCAGAGGTGGGTGGTCACTGTGGATGATGGTGTGGTTAAGATGAGAGGGAAATTACAGAACGGACGTGGTTACCAACTGTTACATAAGCAAGTTCGCGAACCACTTTTTTCGCTAAGTCCCCTCATGGTCAGGCACCTCGTCAGCTTGTGAGCTTGTGTCAACTTGTGACTTGGCAACAAGCTGTCAGTCACAAAAAGTCGTGAAAAGCTGACAAGTAAAGTGTAGGTTTGCTGATGGTGGCACGTTTCCATCGCGTCTCTGTGGGTCGGAGTCTGTGTCGCGTCTCTGGTGTCCGGGAAGTTTCGCGTCCATACGTGACCAGCACGCGTGTGGACGCCGCGTCAAAGATGCCGAGGGGAGCATCGACGAGGGTGGCTGAAGGGGAATGGGGGTCAGGACCAAAAAGATTTTTTAAGCTGTTTTGCAATGCTTTGGCTTATTTGGACATGATTTTTCCAAGGGGGTACCGGGAATTGAAGCCGTGACCCGAGGTAGAGGGGGGGGGGCTCTCTCAGAGTGCTTAAAAAAATTTAGCAGTAGTCCTCTTAAAATATGTTTTTAACGGCACCTAGCAACGGCGCATCACATCCACAAGCTTCAGACGTCTCAGACAGGATATTCGAAGCACAACAATGGCAAAAGGAAAGGTCAGTAGTATGATGTTTAAGTCCTCTATAGTCTCAAATACAGTTGATCATTCTACCTAGAATAAATAGAAGTAGGAGAAGATCAACTATGATGCGTCAGCAACCGTGAAATGCCCCGAGTGTGATGAAGATGTGCACGTCGGAACAGCGGGACCAGGACCAAGAAAAAAAGCCCTGCATGAAAGGACGCAAAGCAAAGAAAGAGAAAGGAAGGACACAGACATCGTTCCAGGTTGGAGTGAAGAAAATCCCCACATCATCACTGGCAGCGGCATCGAAAGGCTTAAGCAACTCCTCCAATCAGACCCAATCACCAGAGACGGGGCCTAAAGGAATTTTGAGGTTGCACCGATGGGGTGGCGCTGCGAGAATCACGCCCGCACGCGAAAACGTGCGCGCATGGCGTAGAATATGTCTCAGAGTCTTACTAGTACAGAATTGTCGATTCACATGTAGAAATGAGCAAAATTTGCTATGTTTTTCTTGGAATAACATATTTGAAGATGGGGGGGGGAGGTACTCAAACTCTTAAAAAAAAAAACCGACCCCGGGTAATTTATAAATTCCCGGGGCCCCCTTGGATTTTTCTGTCCTGCTTGCTTTGTATCAATTTTGTCTTTGCGTTTTGTTTGCGTTATGACTCCAACCATCTCTCCAGAAAAATCGCGACACCTTCTCGCAAGATACGAAATATGGAATGATAGATTTCTTTACCTGGCCGTCGCTTGGAGAGAGGACTCCCAGATCTATACTGCACATCACACATGCCGGATGGCGTCGTTCGACAGCAACCCCACCGCTCTCAATGAACTTGAAGGGACAGTGATTCAACATGACCTCGTTTACGCCGCATGGCGGGAAGATATAACGGAAGTAACGATGCCACTACCCCGCAATACCTTCGTAAAGACCCCCGAGTATCTATCCGAGTTGTCAAAGCCCGACCTGATCAACGCCGAGATCAACATTTTGGAGTTACTGTCAAAGACCCCTCATCCGAACGTATGCAAATACTATGGGTGCATTCGTGATGGAGCATATGTCATGGGTATTTGCTTGCAGAAGCTTGAGTTCACGTTAGCTGAACTCGTCGAAGGCAGGGATGACAAGTAAGGCGCCAACTTACGTTATTTTCAACCTACTGAACGGCTCAGGCTGCCCACCCTTGACGAGGCACGCATAGTTTCGGACGTTAAGGCCGGATTAGACTTTTTGCATAGCCTTGGCCTTGTTCATGATGATATCAACCCCAGCAACATAATGCTGGATGATGGTGGACGTGCTGTAATCATTGACTTTGATTCCTGTGTACCTTTGGGATCACAATCACGGGGCGGAACTCCTGGGTGGTCGACGTTCCCAAAAATCGCCGAGATTCAGAATGATGAACATGGTCTGGATCTTGTCGCGAAGTTCGTTAGAGGAGAATATGATGGTCAGGACTTTGAGGCTTTTGACAAGTAAGGCTGTAGTCCGAGTCTACTTCAGCAAACACGTAGTGGGGTCTTACATGCAACATCCTATTTGTGTACTTCTTGTTGATCTCTGCAATCAGCGCCTCGTCCGGTGGGACGTTGGTGGGACGCCAAAGTTTGAAGGGTGTGTGACGGAGGAGTGACTGGCACGTGATCTTGTAAAGTTTGACGTTTTTGAATTTGAACAACCCCCCACAACTCGGCGAAAGCGAAGGATGTCGAATACGGGAAGAGGAGCTACGATCTTGCCTTCGAATTCATGGTCGTATCTTGTTGGTGGAGGGTACGCCTAATCTCTCTTTCTCACCCACTCACCACCACTGAGACCACACAGACTAGGCGGAATGTGCGGAGCCATCGTCACAAGCCCATTTGACGTCGTTAAAACCCGTCTCCAATCCTCCCTCTTCAAATTAAACACATCCCCCGCTCTCCTCTCCTCTGCCTCCTCTTCCGCCTCCGCCGCCTCCCTCTCCCTCCCCCTCGCAGGCCTCCCACACCATCACCCCAGAGCCACCAACCTCCTCTATCACTTCGTCGAAACAGGACACATCCTCAAAGACATCTACAACCACGAATCACCACGAGCCCTCTTCAAAGGCCTCGGTCCAACACTCATCGGCGTCATCCCCGCGCGGTCTATCAATTTTTGGACGTATGGGAATGGGAAACATGTTTTTGCGTCGCAGTTCAACAATGGGGAGGAGAATGCGTGGGTCCATTTGATGAGTGCCTCTTTGGCGGGTGTCGTTACGGGCACGGCTACCAATCCCATATGGGTCGTTAAGACTCGGCTGCAGCTTGACGCTGCAGGTGGGACTGGGACGGAACAAGGACAGCAGAAGAAGGTTTTCGGGTCCAGTTGGAGTTGTATAAGACGGATAATGAGGGAAGAGGGTGTCAGGGGCTTCTATAAAGGGCTTAGCGCGAGTTATTTGGGTGTTACGGAGACAACGATTATGTGGGTGCTTTATGAGCATATGAAGAGGGCTGCGGCGCTTGAGAAGAAGGGGGGGTATCAGGAGTGGTTTGGGCTGTTGGGCAGTGCGGGGACGGCCAAGTTTGTGGCCAGTTTGATTACGTATCCTCATGAGGTTCGTGTTTTCTCTTCTCCCTTTTCTTCCTATCTCTCGTCTTACGCATACACGCAGGTCCTCCGCACCCGCCTTCGTCAACCAACAATCAACAACGTCCGTAAATACACCGGGCTCCTACAAACCCTCAAACTCGTCCTCGCCGAAGAAGGCGTCCGCTCGCTTTATGGAGGGTTGAGCGCGCATATGATGCGCGTCGTGCCGAATGCGGCGGTTATGTATTCGATATATGAGGGGATTTTGAAGTGGGGTGAGGCGTAGGCTTCCCCGAATCCCCATCCCCTTCCACGATCATCGCTAGACCTCGGCGTCATATACCTCCCTCCCTCCCTCTCCGCATGCCCTGCCTGCCTGGCCATAGAAGACCTCCGTCCGTTGCTTGCTTGCTCTCGCCCTCGCTCATCTACAGGCCCAACATACCCCCCAACTCCTACCCCTCCCAAGAAAATATCTATTGCATCCGGTTTCTTCCCCTCCCCACGCTATGTATTTATACGCACATCCCTTACCTAGCTAGCTTTGACTTAAATTGTTCGTACGTACATACAGTACATACGTTAGTTGTTTAATACCTGTTAATAGTTTTTGTTGTCTGATACCTGTTAATATTGTTTTTCTATTGCTTGCGTTGTGGGCAGTGGTTGGGAACTGGACGTATGTACATAGATAGATTATGTATATGCTTCTGAATCTTATGCGCTTTCAAAACTTCGCCTGGGACCACTACACTAATATAGATACTGATCAGCGCCTGGCGGGTTGGTTCTCACTGATAGTGCTATGGGGGTACTTGCCTCGCGTTTTCTTTTTACTGGATGGTATGTAGCTACAATATGCCTAAAAATGAAATGTTGGGGAGGGTGTTCAAGCTCAAGCTCAAGAATTAGGAAACTCGTGCGTTTAATGCAGAGAGGAACATAAGTAGAACAGAGTCTCGCCAGAAGACACTTCAAGTTGTAGATGATCATGAGATGAGCCTCGTTGTGAGCAAGAGAATTCAGACTTTTTGCCTCGAGATCTTTGAGTTGAAGGAAAGAGTTGAAAAATGGCCAGTATTTTTGAGGGCGAATCAAAAAAATCAAAAAAGGGGGTGGCAAAACCTGGTGTGGAATTTCAGCGAATAACAGATAAATTATCATAGGTCCTCAGCTCCAGGCAAAAGTAAAGAAGGACGTCTTTGATTGCCAGTGCGCTCTGATCTCAGACAATCCTGATCCCGACAACACCCAGAGCCCAAATCCCTGGACACCTTTGCTCTTGTCTCCGGGTCGCCTTCGGTGCTAGCAATTAATGGGGAAGGCAGAGTGTTAAAACTGTGTACATATTGGATCTTGCAGGCTCATTATCTCAGGAATTAGCGCTCAACATGGGACCGCTCCGGAATATATCTATCTATAAGTGTAAGACCCAAACTGATTCTTGCCCAAAATTATGACGACTGTTCTCTGAGATCTCCTTTCTAAAAGATGCAAGACTCTCTCCCAACAATGCAATTTTACAGTCCTCAAATAAACCTCTTTTGAACTCAACAGAAAACATTTCAGGCTACAAGAATGTGTTCATACTTTGTGAGATTCAGACTGTGCAATAAATACTTTTGAGAACCACTGTATCAATCACTGGTTTATCTATCCGTCCAGTAGGAGCTTCAGAAAATTCAAAGCATACATTGTAATAATTGTATTGTACATTGCGAATTGCGAATAGCTATAAAGCAGAAGGTCATAAAGGTGATACACAAAAGCCAATTCCTTGAATATGTTAAGTGGGTATAGAATTCGTAAAACTTCAATAAATAATCCGGGTCAGCCGACCCCGCGGTTGGAAGTGAGAATGGGGAAGTGATAAAACACCAGGAACCATCCAGCCTTGTTTGTGCAGAAAAAAAATCCGAGAGACGCCAAGTAAAGGGCGGAAGCGGCCTCCCCCCCCCATTCCTGTAAAAAAAATCCAAGGTTGAAACATCAGGACCGCGGCGGGCCCAACAATCTGAAAGCGTCTTGTATGACGGTCTTTGCTGACGTCGTCCAAGCCCACTCCCAATTTTTCGTGAACCGATGACTGAGCCTCTGCAGTTTCGCTGACATTTCTTCCGGAGACGATACATGGTCGAAATTCAGGTCAGGGTCAGGAGCACAAAACGTGAAGATTTTTCCATTTTGGCGCGCGACTTCATGCACGGACTGTGCGACGGGCCGTCGCACTTGATCGTATATTAACATGGAGCGGCTGATGGTTTCGCGGGTTGTCGCTGGGTGGCCGAGGATTGTGGCAAGGACGTAGCCGTCCTACGGAACAAATGCAAGCCCGATGATTTTAGGACATGCTAATTGGGCGACATTCAGGGGGCGCTTACCTCGATGGCCTGGCCTGCTCCAGAACCTTGATGCGGAGTCATGGCGTGTGCCTGTAGGCGACTTGTTAAATTAAAAGACAAACGTGAACGGGGACCCTTACGGCGTCACCGATTATTCCCGCCCGACCAGAGACGAATGAATTCAGAGGTTTCACGGTGTGGATTGCCCATCGCAGGGGCCGCTCGACGCACTGAAATAGTTAGACAAGATGAATGGCAGAAAGGGTAAAAAACAAAAACTCACATCGACGAGAGCTTGAACCTCGGGCTCCCAGGTGCGGAACGTAGCAGCGAATTCGGCTGGGTCCGTAGCACAAACCCATGGTCCATTGAATCTGGTGTTCTCGAGGTCGTGACGAGATTTGAATGCGACGAAGTTGACCATTTTACCCTTGGAGATAGGGTAGGCAATCACATACTGAAAGGCTGAGATAAGTGATGGAAGGAAGGTCACGACATCTGGCGACTTACTCCATTTTTGCCAAGATACTGATCAGGGAGGTGGAACTGTTAATCTATGATAAAAATGATGATGAGCAAGTAGACTCGCCTGCGTGGGCTGTGTCAATGTACGATGACCAGGAAAGCGAGCCTTCAATTTCTCGGCGGGAATCAACGCACGATAAGCATTTGTGCCGCACCATACTGGCTCGATAGAAGCTATGAAATCAGAGGCTTCTCTCCATCGGTTCTCTGATTCGGCCCACTGGGCCTTTTCAGTTAAGAGTGTACGTCTGACCGCGGACTTCAACCCATCGGCACCAACAAGAACGTCACAGTACGACGTAGTGCCGTCTTCGAAGAAGAGGTCAATAGGACCTGAAAGCCGCTGTGTGTACGACCGGAGACGTTTCGAGCAACTGATTTTGTAAGAGGGGGGTAGTTTGCTAAGTAGAACCTTTTGGAAGTCTGGACGATGGAAGGTGACCAGGTTTCCTGGATGAGGCCTGTCGTTAGGAAGGGCGTCTACAGTTATTGCAATGACTTGACCAGACCTTTCGTCACCAAGGTATAAAAGTCATAACCGACGGGACCGTCACTCTTGCGATATCTGAAGGAGGCGACTGTGCGATGTCAGAGTGCGATGGAAAGTGAAGAGATGTCAAAGAAAAGCACCTGGTCCGTCAGTAATCTTTATCTCTGTAGTTTTCAGCAAGTCTTCCTCAAGCCCGAGTTTCTTGACAATTTCCCAAGGACCTATTTCACACTCTAGAACAATCCTTACAAAGAACATACTTCAAACGACATACGTGGAAAGAGTCCAATCCCAGCACCGAGCTCTGCGAGCTGTTGTGCGCCTTCGAAGATCTCAACCTCGATATCAGGAAATCTCGATAGCGTGACTGGAAGGACATAAATCGCGGTGATCAATAACGTCTGCAAAGAAGAGAACCAACCTGCAGTAGTCAATCCCCCAATGCCAGCTCCACTAAAGAAATCCTCGTCGTCAAGATCACTTCAGGAACACGATTACCCCAATAACTCACCAAATCGCAACTCTAAACCTAGTTCCAGAGCCCATAACTGCCATTGCGAATCGGCGCAAATGGAAGGCAGGTTGACCTTGAAACGGAACAAGAGCAGTGACAAGACGTCTTGTGAAAAGAGGGAGGATATCAAAGCCAAAAAGCCATTTTGTATAAATTATAAGCTAGCGGAAGACACGATTGAACCGGACTACGCCTCAGATGAGCAGGGCCCTCCAACCGAGAATTCATGACATGTGAGATCTAAAGAGTGAGATGAAAAGACTTTCAGATAGGGAGTCGAAGATATTCCCACGATCCAGTCGCGTCATCAAGACTGCTCTGCAACCTTTTGCATCCAAGGAGGTCCAAAGGGTCAACTGATCCATGTCCTAACCCATCAACCAGCGTCAGGCCAAGGGGCGAGGCACACGGTATACGACCCGAAAAGGACGAAGTCTTCGATTTGAACACACACACCACACATACACGAGAATGCCTATCTGAACCGCTTCGTTCGATATTATTGGCAGTCTATGTCAGTATGTATTATTGTTCTCGTATCAGTGACATACAGACTTACCTGCAAATCATCCCTTCACAATTACAATTGGAATAACAATCCATATAAGAATCTGATTCTGTATCCGGCTGTTCGTGACGTCCGATCGCCGTTACGATTGGATGTTTTTCATGGCACATGATGCAGACCCGCTACTTGTCGGATCGGTAAGTACACGGAATGCCGCCAGATCCAAACTGTTTATTGACAACGGCTACAAATTATGAACGCCTAAATTTGGCACAAGCTAGCAAAACGACCCGACCTCAGCTGGGATCCATCAACAATGGCTTGTTTAGTGGACCAGAACCTTGGCAGTCAATAAATCCGAGATCAGTTGGCCAATGTTGCTTGGCTCGAATTGTCAAGAAACCGGTGTATTTCTGGCGCCGCGAGATGTTGCTGGATGTAGGTTGCTACGGCGATTCCGGTTTCAAACCCGTTCCCAAAGAGTCCCGACCATTCAATGTCGATCGAGTTGTCGTCCGATTCTTCCTCGCCAATTCATTTCGCATTGCAGGTCAAGTTGCGGTCAAGTATATTGCATATTCATCATTAACCCACTGGCTTAATATTCTACTTCCTTCCAATTGCGGGCCTTCTATTTGGACGATTGACTGAGCCTAACTGAGCCAGCGCAACTTGAAGAAATCCCTCCTTGTGAACAATGCGATAAAGTTACAGATTCTTGACATCACCTTACGTTTCTTCGAAAGGTTGCTGACGGATGTATTCTGGCGCCCGCTATGTGGTAATTGCAGTGGGACAATTCCGCTTCGCTTGGTATGACGTGCTTATTGTTTTCAGTCGTCAAATGTTCTGATGCTCGAAGTCGGAGACAGCCCCAGTCTGAACTTGTTATGGTCAAATTTGCTTTGCACATACGCTCCCCTGACATCTCAGTCTAGAAGCAATATGGGCTAGCACTTCTGATGGCATGCAATTGAGGTCCGTCTAGTTTTCGTGTTACTTGGCGTATCTTGAAGTTTTATACAAGTACAGTCTATGCTTTATTCGTCGAAGATCATTGATTCTTCATTCTTCTCTGATATTTCCTCATTCCCATCATCCAGGTCAACGTCACCGTCATGCGTTCATTGATACCATCTTGACGACTATCGCCCTGCAGGTGCGCTTTGTTTTCTCTCCTTCCATTTGGGTTTTCTTGCACTCAGTACGCCTGGTCAAAAAAATATAAATTCGACTCCAGTTTGTAGGGCGCAATCATACTAACACGACGTTACTTCAGCACGTCAGGTACAACGGCAGGCTGGGGTGCAGTTTCAATTGTCTCTCCGAATAAATTCTCTGACGTACGTGGCAGGACCTTCGGAATGCAACCTTTCCATTTAGAGCTTGGCTTTCCTTTTCCTATCCGTTCTCCGCGCTTTATGTTCTGCTTTTGTTCAGCAAAACAAAAGGAACAAACTCGTTTGTCACAGCTGTCGGCATAACTGTTAAATCTTCACGTAACGCTGTAATCGTCGGATTGCTCGCGACGATACAAGCAAGTCTTCTATCACACCCGCGCTCTTTTCTCTCTTTCCCATGTCGCAAAACAATACACCGGCGGTTGGCATGATTGAGCTACTCATGTTCTTGTCTAGGCCCTCACTAGCATTGCTTCGTCGACGCGCAAGGGCTAAGATTGCATCTTTTGCGTCCCTCCATCCGCAGGACTTCGGGCCGCAATTGAGATTCAGCGACAACGCCGCAGATATCTGATGTTAGGCGGCGAGCAAAAATAAAAGTTCTTCAGCCAACGACGAAGAACCCCCGCCTCTTTCCCCGATTGCCCGTTCGAGCCTCACCCTTCACCGATTTTAACGCGACTAGCGGCATTGAGTCTATGTGATCAGCCTAATTATGCGATCGTACTGTATGAGCTAACCTGCGCCTGAGTTCAGGCGTAAAACCTACCTTTGTATAAATATAATATTGATGTGAATTACAGCCCAAACGTGGAGGAAGTGTGGAGGTAGTGCACTTTTTCGGAATCCTTGGTACGACCTATCGCAACGCAGGGGCGTTTCGGAAATATAAATTAATTACGAACAGGAAGTATGTTGAGCTTAACCCACGCAGACTCCATCCGGTCGTACATGCTTTCTCCTCAAAAATCGCGAGAGCCGTGAACCACGAGCAGCGAGATCGGATATGAGGCCCATCGATAGATTGATGTTGAACTTATGGGGAGGTTGGTAAAATGTCTGAAAAATCTGCGGTTTCCGTTTCCTGTGCTCAGGACACTGGCGAGAATTTTTGAGAACATATGGGATGATTTAAGGCGCCGGTTGCGAGCATAAAGTGGTCAGCAGTGCCGACCGGCCTCCGGAGGACTCAGCCAACTCCCTTCAAGGACAGTCTACATGCTTCAAGTAGGCCTAAAAATATTGCTCAGTTATGCTTACGCGCATTCTAGAAGTTAGACGTTGTTGCCTCCTGGCAGAAAGAATCATTGTGAAGTACTGCTTCGCAAAATCATCAACATCCCGTCCAAAACACGAAAGAATTTTCGCCACGTACCTTTATCTTAAAAGATTGGGAAAAGATCCCCTTGCTATCGTATAACAACAATTCGGGCGTCTGGACAGGATGGCGACCAACCTGGCATCGACCTTGCGACATTTATTTGAGCCTCTGAAACGCGGTTTGGGAGATACTTGGCCCAAATCCGGCCTCCCCTGAGTGGGCCGCTCACGAGTCCTCATCCAAGACGTCGTTGGTTAGAGCGGCTCCGATGTGTTCGTCGGAAAAAAGTAACTAAGCCCTGATGCAAGTCTGTAAAGGGCGGAAAGACATGTGAGATCGATCATCACGAAAAAGTCCGCCATTGATAGGTCCGACGCAATCGTGGAACGACCAATACTTGAATACACGAGGGATAGGCTTCCACCACGCAGTGTTAACAGAAGATGTCAAGTCATTATAAACCCAGACATAACAACATACGAACAGCTCTACCAACCGAATAAGAGGTCCGACACCTGTCCTATGACACCTTTACTTGGAGATGCTTGGATCGAGGGAGGCGTAGCGGTATACATGGGGCGGTCCCCACCCGCAGGCGCCGTGCCAGGTGCCACCCCTCCTGGTGTACCCCATCTCGGAGTCACGGATGGCTTTGAAGGTGCAGCCGACGCGGCACCAGTCTTTTTGAATGCCAGAGCTGAAGGCGCCAGCCTAATGGGGGTTCCGACGGTCGGAGTGTGCGGTACGCTTGATGTCGAGGGAGACATAGGTTCATCGACAGCCATGGCGTTTGCAGGCGATTCCGCACCGCTGCCATTCACTCGGGTCACCGGCTGTCCAAGTAGTGCTTCTGCTTGTGCTGCGTCCTACATTCATCATTAGCTTTGCCACGAAGAAGGATGCATGTTTCGGAACGTACTGCCCACTTGGCGCCGACCATCCAACTTCCACCAAGAACTTCACCATTCTTCCGCACGGCCCTCATCGCATCCCCTGGGTCCCTGTAACCTATCCTGAAGCAGTTCATAATCTCGGAATTGTGCTCTATGTCGGTGGCGTCTCCTAGTGACTTGAAGTATTCCACTGTCACGCTGTACTTGTCCGCAGGGTATCCAAAGACAACAACATACAGCGGCTGGTGCTGCGCAATCTGGGCACTGGCAGATGGAACCTTTCTGTGTCCGAACGCGGAATTCTAAACGAAGCCACTTGTTAGCAGAAAAGAAAGTTGATTAGGCGCTGTGGCGTACTCTAGGTTGAAAACGAGTAGGGTTCGGTGAGTCTAGAATAATCTCATTGGGAATGTCGTTGACAGATGTCATCGGTGGTGCATCTTCATCTGCCAGTGCCTGGCGTTGCCTGTGTTCATGAATGAGGCAGGTCTTGAATGACGGCATGAGTCACATACCTGCTGCTTTGAAACATGGAGTCCATCCCAAAATCCGCCCTAGACAACACCTGGTTCATTTTAGCTTTCGTTTGAACCACCGGAACCTCGTCAGCCCGTTGGTTTCCTTGTGGCGAGTGCTGACACTGAGTTAGTTTCGCACCGGTATTGTGAGATGGATAGCTACATTGCTCTGAGACGCGGACTACCACACATCAATAAAAGACAGAGAACCATAGCGCAGATGGACTCACCATGAGGTAACCGGACTGATAGTGGCTTCGTGACTGCGAAAGTGACTCGCCGAAAGTTGAACCACCTGTGCTGGTGCTTCCCCACGCGTTCAAATTAGGGCCATGGTGCGAGGCCGTCGAGGACGACATCCCAGCTACAGAAAATGGGGTATTGTGCATGGCGCAGCGAGCTGGGTACCTTTGGGAACGTGGAAGATGATGACAAGAAAGAAAGAGTGCTTGTTGGGAGATATTTGACAGACAAGTCGGAACCAAACAATTGCTCACAACAATAAGAAATGTAAATAATATGTCATTCGCTGCTCTTTACAATCGCCATTATTCTAGTTTGTAGTGGCGGTGGTAAAAGGAGTGGTAGCGAAACCAACACGCTTGTTGGCAGTGTCATAAACCGAGTAAAAGCGCTCCAGGAACGCGTTAGGTGAGTTGAAACTTGGACCTATAGAGTCGGGCGCGGGGACCTTTATGAATTTTGCCCAGGAGATGAACCATGTGGCTTGCTATTCAAGTAGAAGGCTTGACCACAATGCGAGATACCGTCATCGTAAAGAAATATGGCGCCCGAGTCGCGGTTGCCTTCCAAACATCGGCATGAGCTTGTGGGTGCCGACCTAATTATAGAATTTGAAGGCCCAACGCGTGAAGCGAGAGATGACGTGATCTTTTTGCTGTTCAAAACGTATGGCGAGATTACGCGATGGTGCAGCTCGTGATTTTGAGGTGCACGTTGAGTTGAATAAAATGGTTTCGTCCAGAGGACTTCTGTGCTATTTTTATATAAACATACCTATTAATCCTTAGCTACGTGGGGGCCAATTGACGATGGGCCAGGTTTTGGGGATTGATTTCTTGGGGTCGAGAGAGGTGTGTCAGCGAGATGGCCGTGACGGCACTGGAAAGTTTGAGAAAGTCTCATGTGCCACACTAGGAGACCCACTTGACATTGTCAATAAAAACTGCAAGTTCGTCCATTCTAAAAATAAAGACCACCAGCATTCTGTAGATTACCTGAGTTACAGTTCCCTGAGAACGAAGGCGAGGCAGAGGAGAATGAGTCGATAGTTACCTTCAACCCGGATATGACAATCCGGAAGTGCCTGACACAAGGTTTTAGAGTCTTCGCGGACTCAGTAGAAGAGCTGCGCTCACCTGCCATCCGGGATGACCCCCCGGGAGAAGAGAGAGTTATTACGAAATTATGCATACGAGGAGCCTGCGAAGGGGATGGTAATGAAAACGCCCAAGACGGGGCTGGTGGGTGGTTCCTTGCAGACGACACACAAAATTTCGCGGTGAGACTGCCGCCTACTATCGGCACAACGCAAGCGGCTGAATTCGCGGCTCTGGTTATAGCGCTCCAACGAACCCGAACGATTGAAGAGTTGGACATCACTAGCAGTTCAAAATGTTTAATCGGACTCACGAAATTTCTCCCGGTGTGGGAAGATCGCGGCTGGATTGGCGTCCGGAACAAAGAGCTCATAAAAAAGGCTGCAGCCGAGCTGAGAAAACGTGGTGGAGATGCGAGGTTCCGATGGGCAAAGGGGGAGGAACCTGGGTTAGTAACGGCGCTCCACAACGCAGAGAAGGCTTATGAAAGCCAAATGCAGGTAACCTGGACCTAACAGTTTTGAGGTAAAGGGTGCAAAATTAGGTGCGATGACGCAGACGCTCCTATATCAGGGCATCCTTGAGCGAGAAAAAGTGCCCCAGAGAAGCGGAACAACGATCTGCCTTGACATGACAAGGCATGCGATACATGACATGAGTGGTTTCCTCCCTTCAGATAATAGGATATGGTACTTACTGAGAAACAAGAATATTTCAAGGAATATACGCGCGTACATGTGGAAGTGCATGCATAACTCGCTTCGGTTGAACATCCCTGGGTATAAACAACGCGACGTGCCGGGTATGCGGCTGTGACGAATCGTTGGAGCACATCCTTACCGAATGTAAAGCGTCAGGACAAGAAACAATGTGGATGCTCGCGAGAGAATTGCCTACGAAAAAAGGCATCCCCTTGACGGCTAACCCTACCTTTGGACAAGCGCTCGGCTGCGAACCAGCAAACATCCGCGATCGAAGGGGCAAAACGCTGAAAGGTAGTAGTAGACTGTATGCAATCGTTGTGTCAGAATCGACCTACCTGGTCTAGAGGCTACGATGTGAATGGTAAATAGAGCGAGAAGAAAACCAGGACAACTTACATACGAGGGAAGAAATTACAAATCGATGGTTAGTACTGACGGCGAATAAACGCAGATATGGCCGTAAAGCCATAGACCCGAGTGTGGTCATGAAGACGTGGAACGGCGTGCTTCACGACGAAAGAAGTCTGCCTGAAAAACGAAGAGTCGAAGACTGGCGAACACGGGAGAAGCCGGGCCGGCATATCATCACGTGTTCAGAAATATAAACTTGACACTGACAGCTCTATCCTCCTGCGACGACCCTTTCGCCCCCACCTAAGGTAGAGGACATCCACTTCCTTCCAATGTCACGTGATGAGCGTGACAATTCCAAAAGCGTCTACATTTCTACAATAAATTCCTCATATAATAACAAAAACTTTTCAGGACAATCGGTTTCCATAGAATTGCTCCAAAAGTAGTTGTAATGTTGTAGAAATAAAGAAATCAGGAGAAAATTGAATATTTAGCGTGATCGCCCAGAAATACTGCCAATGCAGCTGTATTCTGCGGCGCGTCTTGCGGAATCCTGTCCCTCTCCTTTCAATGCATCAGTAAGTTCTACCTAAATTCGTTTGCATTAATGTGATATTGTTGGAGGTTCGCCACCCGAGCTGACCGCTTTATGGATGCCTATGAAAAGGGCCTCAACGGCCGTCAAGCTGCTTGGGCAGCGCACAAATATCGAGGACACCGTGTTCTCCCACAAACACTTACGGATGACATGGAAAAAGCAAAGATCCATTAAATTTGCTCTATCCAGAGCATCTACTGGACTGTTTGCCTTTCCATTTCATCAATTCCTGCCATGTTACTGTACATAATTTCGTATTTCTGGGGGATTAGACCTAGTTCTTACTCTTAAAACTTTTACTTTTGTATATAAATGCTTAATCTAGTTTTAAACGATTCTATGGTCTTCGATTTTGTGATTTGTGGGTGAGTAATATCTAATTCTCATTTCTCTTATTTTCTCGAGGTGTAGTTCCCGATTTAGATGAGGATGTCACAATAAAGTAACTGCACGTGATGTTGGAAGGAAGTGGATGTCCTCTACCTTACGTATACCAGAAATTCCATTCCAAAACTTACGGGTACTCGACGCACGTTCTCGACTTCCATGCGCTACGCACGGACCCGAACGCCTCCAGGACCTCTCCTTATCAGTCGTTCCATCGGCATGTGTGGCTATCTCAAGGCTGCCACATGCGGTGGGCAGGTACTATTCGAACGGGATTGGCGGCGGCGGCGGGCCACCTAAGGGTGGCTTTCCATCGTTTAGTGTGGGCCCGCAGCACCAAAAAGGCGAGGCGTTGAAAGATTATGTGAGGCGTCTGTTCTGTTCTGTCGAGTTTTTGGGGTTGATGTGGTCCATTCGTAGAGCGTGGGTTTGACGGAACTGGCGAAGGAGGGGAAGCTTGATCCTACCATTGGTAGAGATGACGGTACGTGTTCAATTTTCATAATTGGAAGAACTTCTTTGCTGAATTGGGCCCATAGAGATTCGAAGGACGATACAGAGTTGGTACCCCCTCCTGTAGCTCAAGTTTATGAGCCAACGTTGTGTCCTTTCCTTTCAGCTTTGTCACGGAGGACAAAGTCAAACCCAGTGGTAAGTCTGTCAATTGGGCAATGCTTCCCCATCTCACAATTTCTTTCGCAACAGCTAATATGCCCGTCGTTTCGTGGCGAAGGAAGTTCCGGAGGTGCGTCTCATCTCTTCCTCTCTTACTCGGCATTTTCTGAGAAACGGCGGAATAAGTCCCTTCACAATAAACGTGTCCTGTCAATAGACCTGTCCGCTATCACGGCAGGCTCAGGGATCCGAGGGCAATTTAAGGAAAAGTTCAAGGCTCTTCTGAGAGACATTGAAGAGGAGGTTCGTTCTTCCACTTCCACTTTCTTGCCAAGTTCTTACTTATTCCATAGGGTCGACAAGTTATTTGCTTCATCGACGAAGTCCGTGAGTCCTTTAGCTCAAACATTATGGTGGAATCATTCCGACCATGTATATTAGACACCCTTTTCAACCTCGGAAACTCGGAAGGAAGCATCGACGCAGGCCAGATGATCAAGCCGGCGTTGGCTAGAGGGTTTCAGTTGGTTGGGGCTACTACACGTAAGTAACATTTTCTCTTCCTTCCTTCCACGTTTACTGGTGTCCTTGCCGACGTCAATCAGTCCGCCTTGCTTCCTGACTCTCGTTTGCGCATCTTCTTTCCCCCTCCTCCTCCTCCCCTTCAAATCTCACATGCTAACACTCTCCCCTTGTAGTCGAGGAATACCGCAAAACAATATCCAAAGACGCCGCTCTCGAACGTCGGTTCCAGCCCGTCACTATTGACGAACCCACGGTGTCGTCAACAATCTCGATTCTGAGAGGTTTGAAGCAGCGGTATGAGGTACATCATGGGGTGGAGATTTCGGACGGGGCTTTGGTTACTGGTTAGTACTTTGATTCTCTGCTTTTGGTTGTTGCTTACGGGGAGTTGCCATTTCTTCCTTTTGACCTTTCCGTTTCTTGCGAACACCCCCATGAATCCCTCACTGCTTGCGCCTGAATACAATCTGGGACTTGTAACGGTTCACTCTAAACACATCATGTCACCCATGAACAGCCGCAGTCTATTCAGCATGCTATATCTCCGGCCGGTTCCTACCTGACAAAGCCATTGATTTGGAACGGAGGAACAAAGTCGAACAGGAGATAAAGGAGAAAAGGGAAGAAGCTGCTGCTTTGACTGGGGTGTGGCAGACTAGTAAGTGGACCCGAGATCAGAACGAAAAAAAATTGCGAGACTGACTGGGTTCTATGTAGAAAGAGCGCGGCTGGACAAGATCAAAGACGTCAAGCGTAGACTGGAAGAAGCCAAACACCAATTGGACGTGGCGCAACGACAGGGCCAATTCGAACTCGCCTCGCGCCTGCGGTTCTCTACTATTCCCGAGCTGCAACGCCAGCTTCCCGCGGAGGGGGACCAGGCGAATAGGGATCAGGAGTCACCGTTGGCGATGCTTCATGATAGGGTGACGTCGAACGATATTTCGAGGGTGGTGGCCAAGGCTACAGGGATCCCCGTGCAGAATTTGTTGAAGGGGGAGAGGGATAACTTGGTCCATTTGTTTTCTCCTTTTGATTGGTCGGGGGTTAAACGCCTGGTTTGTTGTAGATGGAAGAGTCTCTGGCAGCAAGAGTCGTAGGGCAGGACCACGTAGTGTCAGCAATAAGCAACCCTGTGCGGATCTCTCGTGCGGGCCTGCAAGCATCCAATCGACCTGTGGCGTCATTTTTGTTTTTGGGTCCGACGGGTGTGGGCGAGGTGTGTCTCCCTTTGCGTTCGTCTCACTTGCACGATGCTGATGTAAATGCGATAGACCGAGCTTTGCAAAGCTCTCGCAGCATTCTTGTTCAATGGTGAACAGAGGGGGTTGATTACGATCAATATGTCCGAGGTAGGTTCGCGATTTTGTCATCAGTATGTGGAGACGTTGCTGATTCGCTGGTTGGTGGTGGTTAGTATCATGACCGACACACTATCTCGCGGTTGATCGGTGCTGCACCTGGATATGTCGGATTCGAGGAAGGCGGTGAGTGATGATTTGATTTCTTTTGGAAGGATGGAGTTTTGAGTTGGTGATGTGTGGCAGGTCAACTCACGGAAGCCGTTCGGCGGAAACCCTATGGTACGTTGTCTTCCGCGTTTCAGTTGGGTGTACCATCGTGAACTAAAGAACACATCGTAGCTGACATTCTGCTCGACGAGTTGGAGAAGGCACATAAGGTGAGTTGTCCTCGCTCTGGTGTCTAGTGAATGGGGGATTGATGGGTTGCATAGGACGTTTCTATGATCCTCTTGCAAATCCTCGATGAGGGTGTTATTACCGACAGTCAAGGGCGTAAGGTCGATTTTAAGGTGAGCATGTACATGTGCCGATTTGTTTCCATTTGCTCATCGGAGGGCTTGGTTGTAGAATACGATTATATGTTTGACAAGTAACCTTGGTAAACTATATGGATTCATCGACAACATTTGTTGACGCTAATGAATCGCTTACAGGCAGCGACATCCTGGCACACACCTCTGCATGGACCCCCAAACCGGAATCGTCACTCCAGAAGCGAAGAATGAAGTGATGGAGTGAACACAAGAGTACTTTCCCCTGGAGCTCCTCAACCGCCTCGACACAACTCTCGTCTTCAATAAGCTCTCCCGTGAATCCATTCTGGCCGTTGTCTCACTCCGTCTCGACGACGTTGCGCACAGGCTGACGAACCGGAGGATCTCACTCGACGTGGACGGCGCGAGCAAGGATTGGCTCGCGCAGCATGGGTATTCAGGGATCTATGGTGCCAGGGCGATCACGCGTGTCGTGAGGACGGACGTATTATTCCCTTTGCCGAGAAAGCTGTTGAGGGAAACAATAAAGTACGTTTTCTTCAAGTTTACTTTCTTGATCAACAAAGTTTCTAACGGTCGTTTCTTCCTTTTGCATAAAGGGACGGCGATGTCGTGAGGATCCGGGTGGCGGAATCTGGGGACGTTCTGGAGATCAAGGACAACCATCCCCCCGATCCGTCTCTTGTGAGACTGGAATCTGAAGTGAACTCTGAGGAGAACCCGCCTCTTGATTTTGAAGAGGGTAAAGAGTAATTGCTTTGTCGTGGCGGCATTCCTTTGTAAAATTATTGAATCCTAACTCCACATCTCACCATTGTATTTTAAGTAATAGATCTGGCTCACCCTATCCTCGCTCCTCCCATTCATTGTGTTGCTCCATTATTGATCAAGAATCAAGCTGTACATGTGCCTCGAAGATTTCCTATGTTCTGGAGTTTACCAAAAAACAAAGTGGTATATTTCTGACTTGCAGTACAATTGGGTCATAAAAAGAGCTCAAAGTTCTAGTTCTATGTATGAGAAATGGAATTCTTGTAGAAGAATACTCAGACACAATCACTGCCATGAGTAATATTTGAGTCACATATCAGAGTCTAGAAAAATTTACAGATGCAGAGAACCTGCAGATTCAAGTTCATCAGATGAGACAACTGCCTGACGCTTCCCTTTGGCCTTGTGTGATAAAGGTGGCCCCCTATCTTCATTCTGCTTGACAATCTGCTTGAGTAGGCTGATGACTTCAGTCTGACCAGTGATGAGGGTGTTAACCCCAGCAATGAGCAAGTTCTGGCCTGCAAGAAGGTCTTTGGAGAGGCAGGCATCCGAGTCAGAGTGGTTGTTGAACTGCAGGAGGAGGTCCTTCTGTTGCTCAATGAACTCTGAGGTGAGCCCAGAGTATCCAGCCAGAGCCTGGGCTTGGTGTCTACAAATGAAAGAGAGAAAGAAAAGAAAGATCAGTTGGTGAACTTGGCAGAAAGAAATAAAACCAACAAGGTATCCTGGTCAATTGCTGGACCAGGTTGGATCATCCTGGCTCTGGAGGATGAAGCCACAGGCTGCTCATGGGACTTCTTGACCCGTTTGGAGGGTGGCTCAACATCTTGCAAGTCAGACTTAGCAGCCAACTGCTCTGACCACTCCAACTGCCTGCCCCCATGGTTGGAGGCTTGATCTCTCTCAGATGTTAGGTAGGGAAGGCAATCTACATCACGACCATCCTCCATGAATCTTGGCTTTGAGAAGTACCGCCCCAAGATGCCCCAGGTGATGGGGTGGCTGCAACCTGTACTCTTCTTGGAGCACTCAATGCAGGCGGTGTAGGGTGGGCGATCGAGGGTCCTTCTTCCCTGAAGGATTGCATTGGCCCACATCTGGAGCACTGTTGCTGCCCCCTCATAAACTGGACACACTTCAATACCCTTCTCCTGACAGCGTTCACACCTCTGTTTCCCCTTGTAAAGCACCAAGACCTCCCGATTGATTTTGCCCACTGGTTTAGACTGGTGCTTATTAGTTGGGCACTTTACTGGGGTGGCTACAGCTGGGGCCTTGGTTTGGATGACTGAGCGGTTGGTCGAAATGATGGGGCAGATGGGAGAAACAACTGGGCTCTTGGTTGAAATGACTGGATGGATTGCTGAGGGAAGAGTTAGACTAAGTTGAAGAGGCAAACCAGTGAAGAAAGAAAGAAACCCACCAGCCACAGACTCCACCCTCTTGCGCTTGTAGGACTCTGTCATGATTACAGGAGAAGCTGCCATGAGGACATCCTCATCCTGATCTTCATCCCCATCTTCAACCTCATCTGAATCTGACTCCCCTTCCGAACCCAGAATTGAAAACAAACTTGAAGCTTTTTCCTCATCCTCAACCTCCTCCTCACCATCATCCTTTTCCTCCAAACTTGACCAGGATGCAAGAGCAGGGGAGGTGATTGAGGCAGGTGGTTCATCTCTGGCAGGGCTGATTGGTGCAGACCCCACATTGGACATGGTGGCAGCCTCCCTGGTGATGGCAGGAACTGTGAGGGAGGTCGGGTTATCGATGGAAGGGGCAGCCAGGTTAGTCTGGATGATGAGTGTCACAGGCTTCTGTAGCCCAGTTGAGGAGGCAACATCTGAAGGAACCACCAGTTCAGTGAGGGTGGTGGAGATGGCAGGTAAGGATAGAGCAGGGGAGTGGTCAGAGGTGGGCAGGTTTAAGGTCATAGGGCCAGTTGTGGCAGTCAAGTCATTCACTGGGTCAGTCGGATTCACTGGGTCGGTCGGGTTTGCTGGGTCGGTCGAGTTTGCTGGGTCGGTCAAGCTTGCTGGGTTGGTCAAGTTTGCTGGGTCAGTCAAGTTTGCTGGGTTGGTCAAGTTTGCTGGGTTGGTCAAGTTGTTTGCCGGGTCGGTCAAGTTGTTCACTGGTGCAGCTGAATCCTTCACCAGGGTGGGCAAGGTGTTCTGAGAAGCAGCCAGTTGGGCCTTGAGGGAAGCCACCTCAGCAAAAAGCTCAGCAAGTAGAGTGGTGAGAGAGCCAGACATTGCAAAGTTTCAAAAAGATGTGGTGTGTTGGGAGATGGTGGTGGTTCAAGATCAAAAGGTGATTGCACAGCCCCAGGGTTGAGGGTATATATATGTCTGAGTTTGAAACTGAGTTTGAACTTTCTTCCCATCGACAAAGTTGGATCTATGGGCACATAATCATCCTCACAAGTGGTCTTTGATACCTGACATAAGGAATGAGTCCATTGGGCCCTGGTCAGGCAAAAATATATAGTTGGTGAGGTTGGGTTGGTCAGGTGGGTCAGGCAGTCAGTCGGTCGGTCATTCGGTCAGTTGGATAAGGTGATCTTGGTGACCTACTCACCCAGCAAACTAAAGTTGCTTGCACATTTGCATAACCCTGTGCAGAGAAGAGAACAGCTGCATAGCTGAACACATGATGAACCAAAAAGGCTTTTTATGCTGCTGAAGCAAGAAACATTACCAGTCATGTCATTTGAGTATGGCAACACCTAACCCATGTGGGAAAGTGAGGCATGACCTACCCTTGTGCCCTGGGGCAAACTTAGTTGGAGTTCAGTTGCTGAGAATGCAAAAAGACTTTGTAACCCTGCTTAGGCAAGAAATGAGTCTGGTCAAGTCATGCAGCTTTGGTGATGACCTGTCTGGTAAGGTAACCAGTCTTGTCTTAGGGCTTTACCATATTTTTTGAAGTGAGCAGGGGCTGTGCAACTTGACAGACCTTTCCAACATCTGCATAAACTAAAGTCTAACAGATAGTTCAAGATACAAAAATACATGGAAGCTAAGTTGGTATAATTCCATTTATGGGGGTTCTTTAAATACATGAAACTACACTGTGTCATGGGTTCAGATCCATTTGTGAGAAGAACCATATGTAGGACCAACTCCAGGCCATTGTAGAAAGAACTGAGTGACTCACTTGCAGCTGACCAACTGAACTGCAACACCCATCTGAGACTCCAGGCCAGGAAATGTAGCTCCCACCCAACTCACACTCAATGCAATAATTAATAAAAAATTATTAACAGGTATTAAACAACTAACATATGTATGTACAAGCTAGGTAGGGGATGGGTGTATAAATACAGAAGGATACGTGGGTGGGGCGTGGGTGGGGGCAGTGGAAGAAACCTTGGTGTCAGTGTGTTTCAGCCCCGAAGCCAGACAAAGACACGGACGGTGCAAGAGATACTTTTTTGATGACGTAGGAGTTGGGGGGAGCGGGGTATGTTAAGCCTGTAGATGAGCGAGCGAGGGCGAGAGCAAGCGACGGACGGAGGTCTTCTATGGCACATAGCGGGCAGGGCAGGTCTATGCGGAGAGGGGGAGAGGGAGAGTCTATGACGCGGAGGTCTAGCGATGATGCGGGAGATGGTTGGAGCCTACGCGCTACGCCTCACCCCACTTCAAAATCCCCTCATATATCGAATACATAACCGCCGCATTCGGCACGACGCGCATCATATGTGCGCTCAACCCTCCATAAAGCGAGCGGACGCCTTCTTCGGCGAGGACGAGTTTGAGGGTTTGTAGAAGCCCCGTGTATTTACGGACGTTGTTGATTGTTGGTTGACGGAGGCGGGTGCGGAGGACCTGTGTGTATGCGTAAGACGGGGATGGGAAGAAAAGAAAGAGAGGAAGAGAAAAGACGAACCTCATGAGGATACGTAATCAGACTAGCCACAAACTTGGCCGTCCCTGCGCTCCCAAGCATCCCAAACCACTCCTGATACCCCCCCTTCTTCTCAACAGCCGCAGCCCTCTTCAACTGCTCATAAAGCACCCACTGAATCGTCGTCTCCGTCACCCCCAAATAACTCGCGCTAAGCCCTTTATAAAAACCCCTGACACCTTCTTCTCTCATTATCCGTCTTATACAACTCCAACTGCTCCCAAAGACCTTCTTCTGCTGTCCTTGTCCGGCGTCAAGCTGTAACCGGGTTTTGACGACCCATATAGGATTGGTAGCCGTCCCAGTAACAACACCCGCCACAGCCGCACTCATCAAATGCACCCACGCATTCTCCTTGCCATTATTCAACTGCGACGCAAAGACATGTTTCCCATTCCCATACGTCCAAAAATTGATAGACCGCGCGGGGATGACGCCGATGAGGGTTGGACCGAGGCCTTTGAAGAGGGCTCGGGGCGATTCGTGGTTGTAGATGTCTTTGATGATGTGTCCTGTTTCGACGAAGTGGTAGAGGAGGTTGGTGCCTCCCGGGTGGTGGTGTGGGAGGCCTGCGAGGGGGAGGGATACGGATGCGGCGGAGGAGGAGGCGGAAGAGGAGGCGGAGGAGAGGAGTGCGGGGGATGTGTTTATTTTGAAGAGGGAGGATTGGAGGCGGGTTTTGACGACGTCGAATGGGCTAGTGATGATGGCTCCGCACATTCCGCCTAGTCTGTGTCAGATACGTGGTTTAGTTTCAGTGGGTGGAAAAAGGGAAAATAGGCGTACCCTCCCGCAACAAAATGCGTCCATGAATTCGAAGGCAGAAACGTAGCTCCTCTTCCCGTATTCGACATCCTTCAAGTCGTGGAGGTTGTTCAAATTTGACAGCAGCGAGAACTTGAAAACGTCACAAAAATTTACAAGATCACGTGTCGTTACAGATGTTCCAGCTATCCATAATCAAAGATACCCTCTCTGTACACCCTTCAAACTTTGGCGTCCCACCGGACGAGGCGCTGATTGCAGAGATCAACAAAAAGTACGCGAATAGGGTGCTTCATGATCTTGGTCTGTGCGTGTGTCTTTTTGACCTCGTACAGGCGGGTGAGGGGAAGGTGAGGTACGGGGATGGGTTTTTGTGGTATAAAGGTGTGTTTTTCGTGTGTTTCTCCTTGTGATTTATGAGCTGAGCTGATGAGGGGATAGTGGTGTTTAGGATGGTTGTGTTCAGACCGTTCACTTCTGAAGTTATCATTGCGAAAGTCAAGTCGTCCGATGAGGATGGGATTCGATGTACGTCCCCATCTCTTTTTACTCCAATCTACCGCTTACCACCCTATCCTATACTATACAGTAACAATAGGTTTCTTCGACGACATGCACATACCAGCCGCCTACCTCCCACAACCATCCGCATTGTCCGTCTTTTCTCCCTCCCCCCTCGTCCCTCCCATCTAACCCCCTCCCAACAGCGACCCAAACGAACGCGCCCACTTCTGGCTCCCCTCCCCCCCTTCCCCTCCTTCCTCTCCCTCTCACACCACCTCTGCCCCCTCTCTTCTCGACTCCCTAGTCTCCTCAAGGATGTACATCGACCAAGGCGAGATCCTCCGCGTCCGTGTCGAAGCAGACCAGTTCTGCGATGACGAGCCTGGCCCACAGAAATTTGTCGAGGGCGTTGGGGCTGAGGCCAAGGGGAGGGTGAGGGCGCCTTATAATGTTGTTGTATGTTCCTTTCTTTTTGATGTTTGTAAAAGGGAAGGGGCTGATGAAATGAATGGGGGGGATGTAGTGCTCGATTGCGGAACAGGGATTGGGTCCTGTTGCTTGGTGGACTGGGGAGACGGAGGATACTGGAGATGTGGATGCGGAGGGGGATGCGATGGAAGAGGGGTAGAGCTCTGGTTTTTGAAAAAGAGAGAAGAAGGAGAGGTCCTGCCAGGGAAGGGCAATGGTACCGCTCTAGACTCCACCAACATCTTCGACCCTCTGACGTTTTTTTATTGAAGTATTTATGGGATCACGCGTGTTTCGGCGGTGTGGTATATACGACAGTTATAATCAATATCGGAGACTCATCAAACTCTCGCCCTTTTGGACCCATGTTCAATGGACCTCGGAGTCATTTTCTCAGGTGTCTAAAATTGTAGGCTGCAACACCAAGAAACGTCATCCCACTTCACTCTCGAATGAATTAACTTGTGGCAGATATCGATTCCGTACGTCCATAGCTTCCCTCACCGGCAGCATCGCACTCCAACACTGGTTCTTTTTTCCTTTTTTTCGGAGAGCGCTCTGTCAAAAATAGAACAAACGCAAACGCCAACACAGAAACAAGCCTGTTGTATGTCTGCACTTAGTCAATAAATGGAATGAAGTCTTTATGAACCGAACTTCAGGAAATTCAGGTTACATTCACGGACTCAGGACTCGGGGAATTTTAGCTGATCTTGCCACATCGGGGTTGGTTGGCTTCTGAGGTTATAGGATTACTCATTGTGCGAAGCGACACGCTCAGGCTTGTTCGGCGCTCCCTCAATTTCAGGCTCTGCGACTACTTAACCAAGTGCCGATATATTTTCTAATATCGATATTATTGGACGGACCATTTCTTCTGCATCAGACGGGCGACTTGGTCCGAGGCCGCTCCCAATAATCTAAACAACACAGGGTCCGAGTTTCCTGCCAACTTGTTGAAGAAAAGAGCGAGAATCGAAAAAGTTTCTTACGTAAACTCAGACTTCAGCCAGACAATCGACGTTCACAACCACTGAAAGCCAAAAGATGGATGAAGATTTATACGTTGAACAGCCTTCATTTTTGAGCTAACGGCCAAAAAAATCCCAACAGTGAGCGCCGCATGTGGCAGAAAAAAATCGAACACGAGAAAACTCGCGGGATCTCAACCATAGAACGGCGATTTTACCTACAAGAGCGCTACGGAACCCCGCCTCCCCTCCCCCGACTCCCATTTCCAGGCTTCTTCTGTTTGGACGACTTCAACCAGCCAGAGATCTGGACTCGCATACAGTCATCAGCAAAACCTGGGTGAGCTAGGCAGCACGTGGCAGGGCTGTGTAGTGCCATAGCACCATAGAAAGGGGTATCACCTTTACAGTCACCTGCACGTTCTATGCAGCTCTACATAGAAACGCACAGCCACTACACAGCACTCCCTAGAATCTCAGAGCAGATCTGCAGCCATTCATAGAAACACATAGCCACTTCATAGTGCTCCCTAGAATTACGGAGCAGATCTGCAGCCCTCAGTAGCAACCCCTGGGGTCTGCAGATTCCTAGAGGGGGGGCATACATTCTGCTCATTTTAATACCATATTGTATGATTTTTACACAGAACTGGTGTTACGAAAAAATAAGTTTATTGTCTGCACTACTACATTATACAAGATATCCTAATATTCTACATAGTAATGACTGCAGTATATCAAATTTATGGAATCAGAGTATCAAGTATTAAAGATACTAAGAGGATGCCATTCGCCAACAAGGAAGGGAGGACGGTTGTTCGTCGAGGGACGGAGCCGTTCTTCAAAGGAGGGAGGACTCAAAGGAGGGAGGACGCCATTCGTCGACAAGGGAGGGAGGACGCCGTTCTTCAAGGGAGGGAGCCGTTCATCAATGAGGTAGGGAGGACACCGTTCGTCGACAACAGAGGGAAGATGCGTTTGTCGACAAGCGAGGGACGACGCCGTTCTTCAAGGCAGGGGGAACACCATTTATCAACGAGAGAGGGAGGACGCCGTTCGTCAACGAGGGAGGGAGGACACCATTCGTCAAGGGAGAAACGCCGTCCGTCAAGAAGGGAGGGAGGATGCCGTTCGTCGACGAGTGAGGGAGCAGTTCATCAAGGGAGGACACTGTTCATCGGGGGAGCCGTTTGTCGAGGGAGGGGGGCCGTTTGTCAAGAGGGAGCCTTTCGTCAAGGGAGGGAGCCGTTTGCCGAGAGAGGGAGCCATTCGTTGAGGGAGGAGTCATTTGTCGACGAGGGAGCCGTTCGTCGATGAGGGAGGGATCTTTTCTTTAAGGGAGGAAACCATTCTTCACGGGAGCGAGCTGTTCTTCAAGGGAGGCAGGGAGCCATTCTTCAAGGGGGGGAGGAAGCCGTTCTTCAAGAGAGGGAGGATGCCGTTCTTCAAGGGAGGGAGGACACCGTTCATGGACGAGGGAGGACACCGTTCGTCGAGGGACGCGGTTCGTCAACGAGGGAGGGAGGATGCTGTAACTCGACGAGGGAGGACACCGTTTGTCGAGGACAAGTTGAACATTGTGGTGGGAAGGAAGAACAATGAATTTCCGTGTTGGGAAATTCAAAGTTCAACATAATCACATGATGTCGGAGTTTCAACGGACTTGAACGAATTGTCTCGCGACTTGAAGTTGTTTGTCGCCTGTCACTGTCTTTCACAGAAAGCATGGCATTCGAGGTGGGCATTCACAATTGTAGATGGCACCATGTAATCAGGCAAATATAAAATTCATATTGGAAAATTATTGAACAATTTCCGAGCCTTCCAAGAAATTTGCAGTTGTTACCAGAAATTTCCGCTATTTCGATGATTTCCCGAAATTTCCTGTTTTTTGGTGGTAGTAGTAGTAACAATTGAAGTTGTCTAAGTTCGAAAATGTGAGTTGAGCACGGCACGTGACTTCCCGCAACCGTACCGACTTCCATCAATTCACACTTACACTTTCTAGGCTAGCTCATAGCTATAACTTCACGAGTATTACACCGTTTGGCCTCTATGTAGGCTTATTTTAATCGCTTCATTCACGCGAATGCAATCCAATTTACGGCGTAGAAAAATTTGGAGTACCTCACAAACTGTAGCATAAACTATTTGGCCTGTATTAGACATCTGAAATATATATTATCATCATGAGTTCTGCTCCGTTTCATGCGATTTTGGGCTTGTTAGAAACGCACAAATCAGAGCTTTAAAACGGGTCTGAGAGCCCCTAATATTTCGACGTTTAAGGCGACCTCCGATAACATTTACCGTTTTTAGGCAGATTCTTCACCAGTAATTGGTCCAAAGCCATTTGAGTTTTGAACTAAATACTACGTAAATAGACGCGTTGGAATCGGCTTGAACACCACTTTCCAACGCAAAAAAAATCACAAAAGACGAATATGTTTTGCAAAAGATACTTCATATTCTTTCTTGTTGCAATCTTTGTAGGTCAATCAATCTCTGGACAGTGTGGTACTTTCTTCTTATTCCAGGCGTATTTTGGTCATAAATTATTCATATACAATAGGGAATGTGTTTTCTACTGAAATCTAGTATACTTGTAGTTTGACTCCCTATAAGGGCTGGGTAGAAAGTGGAGGCCCCTCTATAGCACCCTATAGTAACGGCACAAGTCTCTGTAGTGCTGTATAGCACAAGCTTACACCCACACAGTGCTGTGGAGCGCTGTGGAGCGCTAGGGCATCTAGCCAAACTTGGCGTGTAACTATGGGAAACTATGATATTAGCGGAAGCACTATGCCTGTCTACGTGGGAAAATCAGGTTTTGCTGATGCACCTTGCGCTCCCAACGGAGTTCGCCGAAGCCCGAATCCAAGATCACGTCGTGAAGAAGTGGAAAGGCTTGCAGGTCCTCGTGAAAGCTCCGCGCGAATTGGGTGATGAGTGGGTTCATGGATATTGGTGTAAAGTAGAGTCGAGGGAGGTTGTTTATCGATTGGGGGACCAGTATTTGGATGGACACTTTGAGTTGGACCGAGTTTTCTTTCAAAAGAAGGTGGATGGGCGATGGACAAGGGAGAAGACGCTGGAGTTCAGTGTGATGATTCTCTGTTGGGATGGTGACGAGCGGTTGCTGGAGTAGGCAGCTTTCATTTTTCGAGCTGATTCGTTTTGTGTACTTGGCTTTAGTATGCAGTCGGTATTCCAACACTCGTATTATATGAATTGGACGAACCGATCTGCCCCTTGTCAAGACCCACAGCTGTCGAAATACCGGGAGTAGAAGACGTTCAGAAGCATTCAATCTAGAAGAAAAAAGACGATCTTGACAACACACAGTTCTTGCAATGCGCATCCACAGCCTACTTGGAAAGACTCACCGATGAACTACTATTTATGGGTTTTGAAGTGGAGTTGATCGTCACTTCAGAAATGGCTGGCCTGCAAGAGTCTGATTCAGGCATAAGGCCACCAGCGTCCTCGCATCCTCCAGAATGGAACATCGAGACAAAACAACGAACTCTGTGCGGACAACTTGAATTCCCAGGGTCGACATGTCAACTCCAAGGAGATGAGCAGCGGAGGCTTTCAACTCGTCTTAGTCCACATTGAGAGGAGAAGGAATCCCAGAGTCTTGCTAAGGACATTCGGAGAACAAGCCGCCAAAGCGCAACTACGTTTGGAACCCGGTGCCAGTGTCCGTCCGAGTCAGTCATGTGGAACTGTTGAAGTGAGGGAAACGCTGCGAGTTTCTGTTTTAGAGAGGGGAGGATGTTTTGATGATGGGCTGACGGATGAGGATACCTGACGGTTAGTGTTTGGGGTGGCGGTGAACTTGAGTAGTAAGTGGGTGTGGATAGGAGGAGACCGACGGGAAGGCCGACGTCGTTTCTAACGCGCCGTTGGTCTTCGCTTGTGCTGCTTCGCTGTGGGGGTGTAGGTTGGTTCAGAGGGGTGGAAAGGGGGAAAAGGAAGAACTAGCATGTGATTCTGTACAGAGAGGGAATCCGAGGATGCATCACGGAACAGGGCGCGTGTTTGGGTCGCGAGATGGGTTTTGAGGCATTTCGAAACTTGTAGAATCGAGGAATATACTATCGTTTACACAACAACTCTGTGAATTCAATCGTAAATAGCGACCGGAAGAGGTAATAGCACGAACTCACCTTGAACCCATATTTCGCTGGTCAAATCGATCGTAAGATGTTCTATTGTCCGGTGCTAGTAGTGACGCCAAGCCTTGCTGGGAGACCTGAAGCACGATTTTGGCGCATTCTACGTTGGATTGGACGGATTTTCCCATTGTTCATCTGTCCGTGTTTGATGTCGGAAGTCATGATCAAAGGAAAGAAGCCGGGCCGCGAGCAGGGTCGGCACAGGGAAATGGAAAGAACAAAAGGTATCCATTCACAATGGTATTACAAACTACTCGCATCACCAGGAGAAGTAGTTGACGTGGCGACAGCGGGGAAGGCGATAAGGGGCAAAGTCTATGGGGAAAGCGAGCAAGAAAGACCTGAACAATAAGAAAACACAAAGATGAAGTGCGGGCAAGACAATACAAATACAGAACCATGGAAAGGAACGGACCAGCGGCGCCGTAGACGAAGGGGGAGCAGAGCTGCCTCGCGGAACACGTCCTTCGCGTCTTGCAACATCTCAGCTGGGCTCTTGATGTCCACATTACCAGTTAATTGACATAAACGCCGTTTCGATATTAGTTAGAACGTTGTGGGCTTTGATTTCGAAGTACATACCTGCGAAAAAGAGATCAGTGTGACTTTCACAAGCAAACCGTGAACGTACACAATAATGGTTGAATAATTCCCCGTCTCAGGACGTACACAATAACGGACTTGAGATAGATTGTGGAGTAGTTACTGACATTACGAGCATCGTATACGTCCAAAATCTGTTCGTGAACCTGTTGCTTGGTCCAATCTTGGGTCCTGGTGTAAAGTTTGATTGGCTGAAGAGGTGTCAGTGGGCACGATAATCTGTAAGATTGAACACGAACAGACTCCTTCAACGTGAGGCGAAGTGTATGGCCAACTTTGTTCCCGACGTAAGACCAGGAGCCCAAGCGAGGGTCAAAGCTGATGCGAATGGTGGAGTTGTCGTCGGCGACACACATCAGCAAGATGACATCTAGCTAGAAGGGCTAGAAACACTAGAAAACACTAGAAAGTACTAGGAGCGCTAGAAATGCTAGTACTAGAAGCTTTTTTTTCCCTAGTACGTCCTAGCATTTCTAGTACCTGTTACTTTTTCTAGCAATTTTCTAGTCACCTTTCTAGTCACTTTCTAGTCATTATGCAAAAGTGTGCACAACATTTATTACCCATGAAACTTCGTATAATAATATAGACCTGCAGTATATGATGTCATGGCTCAGCCATCTGCGAATTACACAGCCACTGGCCTTCTTAACAACGGATTCATCATTCCAATAAGCATTCCATTCTTCAGTAAAGGACTTGGATTAAGGAAAAGAAGAAAAGGAAAGACATAAAATAAATATAGAGAGCTAGAAGATGATTTCATGGGAGTGGTGATCTGCATACTTGTTTATGTAGTAAGCGTGGAATGCATCTAGTGTATCAGCAGGATCAAAATCAACAGGAAGAAACTCCTTTCCGAACACTGGGAGAAGGTGAGCACCGCGGAGGATGGTGTCAAGGTGGATGACAGATGAAACCTGGACGCCATTCTTGTACTCACGGCGAACCTTCCACATTCCTGTCTCCACATCTGGTGATCTCCCATGGGTTTTGAACCACTCCACCAACGCACATGGGTATGTTTCACCCTCGTAATCGAACGAAAAGAGGAGCCTCACCCGCACCACACTCATCCCCTTCATCCCTGGCTTGTCCTCGTCCTCAACGACGAGTGCACAATCCCGACGTGGCACCTTTCCCCTCCACGAAGGCGTTGATCGGATACGTTCACGGCGCATCCCACGAATGCCTGACTCATCACTAGGTGCATAGAAGGTGGCGACGGCTGAGTGGAACACGGAAACTGGGCTGGTGATCTGTGGGCATTGATGTAGGGCGATGTGGTTCGAAGTAACAAATCCATGGGGGTTGAGTTGATCGAAAAGGAAGCGACGAGTGAGCTCTGGAAGACGAGGCTGCCCAACATGGTCAGCGAGTCCCTGGAGGTGGCGGGGATACTTCCGAGCTAGAAGAAATGTCAGTCCGGAGTCCAGAGAGTCAAAAGGAACTTACCGCGTGTGCGAGCAAGTACTACATTCCCCGTAACGTAAGGCTCATCAGTGGGCTCTGCATCATCTCCCTCTTCGTCATTGTTAGGAGCTGGTTCGATTGGCACAGAAGGCGGTCCATATGAGGGAGGTAGCATGCCCCGGTTAATAAAGTCGATGCGGGCGGCTGCGAGTTTGTCGAGGCGCTGATTGGTTACAAGCATCTGACGAAGAGCCTCAAATCGATTGGATCGTCGCCACGGCTTCTTGACGGCAGTGATATGGCGAGATTCCGTGATAGAGGAGCAGATACCCCCTGGGGCACCGAATTCCTCGATGAGGTGGCGATAGTGAGATAGGGCATGTTGACGTGGCAGGTTAAAGCCGTCAGGCCTGACGCCGGTTGTTCGAAAAATTTCACGGTGCTGATGGAACTTGGCGAGAGCCACATCAAATTGTTGCAGTGTGTCGGCGGTGATATCAGCGCGACGTATGATGTAACAAACATCAAGAAATGCACTGATACATTGTACCATCTCTGTCGGGACGTGCCCCGCAATTGCGGGAAGGTACACCTGTTGAGAATCATACGTTGACTAGGTAATAGAAAGATAGAAAGTCATATTTGAAGTACCTTCATCAAAGCCTTTGAGTCATCTCCTGTCCACTGTTTGAAACGACGACCATGAGGAAACCGACGAAGGCCCGGAAACGGGGGTGCCGCTGCAATCCTACAGATCAATTAGAAAAAAAGACTTCGGAGAAAGATGGGACCTTACCGTCGATCAATGTCATCCATTATTTCTCTCGCGCGTGCCTCGCCATGCTCAAGCTCCAAGTATTCACCTACCCACGTCACGAGATGGTCTTTGAAGGTTCCCTTAATGACTTGGTGAAGGAGGTCGGGAGTGAGGATCTCGTGAATGTCAGCTCTAGGGAAGTGAAACGTGAAAGGCTACAAATTTTTAGTGAATGAGATAAGTTATAACGTCAAGAAGGGAGTAGCAGAGAAAAGCTTACGATCACATCATCATCAATACCAAACTCATCCCAGAGTTCCTTGGAGGTGAGCGTATCCATCAACAGCTCCGTTAGTGCCTGATTCCGACGACCACGTATGCCATCCAAATCATTCGGTAAAGCTGTACATCTGTTCGGAGGTGAGAAAGACATGTTACTCGACGAATGTGTGACGAACCTGGGACACCAACCCTGAACAATCCCCGCAAGAAGAACCTGTTCAGGATAATCGGCTATGTATGCTGCGAGATCGTAGATAACACGCCGAAAGTGACCATCCGGACAACGACGAACAACCGGAGTAGTCATTCCTGGGCGCAGAGTCTTCATAATGGCTGCAAGGGATGCATGGTACAGCTGTCTCTTGAACTTGCGAAACGCGGGGTCATTGTCATGCTTGCGAGCAGCTAACGTTCAATTAACATTAGCAATTTATTATGTATATTTCGAGATACCCACATTTCGGAATCGCGAGAAATGCACCAGGGCTGACAGCACGACGATGCGCGCGCCGAACTGTATTGTGGACACCGCCGATCGAAAAATAAACAGGGTAGTACTCAACCTGCCCCGTAGCAACTGAAACAGTGGTCTTGTCGCTACCCACAATGACTGGGCAGTACATTGCACCCTCAGTAGATTCGTCGGCTTCATAAATATCATTCTAGTTGATTGTTAGTATCAAGAAAGGTACTTGTAAATGAACAAAACCCACACAATGTCGCCAAGAAAAATTTCCTGACATGAAATTGTTCCATCGACGCTGTCCAGATTTGTCGAGCTCTACATACGGCGCATAGTCAAAATGACCATTGAAATCAGGATTGTCGAGCATGTCCCGAATTATGGCATCGGGATCGCGATAACAAATCTCGTATTCTTCCCGCTGCCACATTGGTGAGTCCGGCGTTATCTCCCCCGCCCACGAGATCTTGAATGATTGCCAGGGTACATCGCCGTGCTTAGTTGAGTCGATGACGGCGTACATGTGTTCGTAAGACGCAAATGGCGCTAATTCGTCATGTTCCATTTTGTCTAAGGCCCAGATGTCGAGTAATTCATTGCAATTTGAGCCTGATAATTCTGCGCGCCGAAAGGCAAAGTCAGCGAGACGAAATTGAACTTCATCTGCGTAGGGAGACCAGTCATCATTGGCCACGTTTGAGCGAGGTGGGGGTGGAGTTCCCGGTTCGAGTTGATTCCCATTCTCATCACAGGGGGTACCTTTACAACGAATGAGATTTATGTGAGGCTGAATGAGAAGAATATACATACCAGTTAAATGTGGATGGAATATCCTCAGCCCGCTGGATGGTTGGGGGAGTGTGTGGCGTGGAGATTGAGGTTGAGGAGGGGGAGGAGGTGATGGGCTATGTCGGGACTCATTCGGGAAGAGAGGTTCAGGTTCGGATTGTTCGTTAGAGGTGAAAGCAGGGATGGGTGGGGTTGAAACAATGTTGTGGTTCTCGTGATGAGTTCGGACATGATAAGTACGCCCGCCTTGACTTTTGAACCGACGTGGGCAGCCGGCCACTGTGCAGGGGATGTTGCGCATAGACATTGAAGCTGCAGAAGAGAAGTCAGTTGAGACGAGGATCTGTGCAGGATGTAAAAATGCTCACTTTGAGCTCGTTGAAGTCAGCGTTAACAGATCAACTCGCATTGAGGTACCTAAGTAGAGCTATGCATAATACCTGCTGACAATTGTTCCGGGCGCCATCGGCCATTGCGTGGTGCACATGGGCCAAGCATAGATCTTGTGATTTTCAGGAAAAACAGAAGTCACGGTGTCGAAATAAGGCATCACAACCTCAACCTCCTTTCTTAGTTCCTCCACCTTCAGTATCTGTCCACCAATGTCCCAACGACCCAAGCGTGAGACGGCAAACACCAAGCCAGCACAGATCATCATTGACAACATCCAGAAACGCCGCACGTCTGCTCAAGTCCAAGAAGACGCTAGGAACGCCGCTGCTGCAAAAGCTGCCAAACAAGCAGCTGACGCCGAACTGAAAGCTGAAAAGATTGCCCGTATTGCTGCCGCCGAGGATAAGCTCCGCCGGGAGGATGAGGACGCCAAGAAGAACGCTGAGCGACCTGATTTGGTAGTGGGGAAAAAAAGGGGGAGCAAGAAATCTGTGTCTACGAACAAGGTGAGAGACCCTTCAACGGCTTGTTGTGTTCACTCACCGGTGTTGGACAGGGAAAACTCCCCGAGAACGACCCACTTGACAACAAAGACATCCGCGGAACCATTGTGCAGCCGGACTTATCGCTAGTGGATAACACGATGATGAAGAAGCAGAAATTTGTAAACAAGCCTAAGGTAAGATGAACGTTGGCATTGTTCGACCCATTTTGTCTCAAAACTCACTCATCGCATTCACATCCAGGTGCAAGTGCCGGCAACGGAACCTTCTGACGATGAAAGTGATGGAGGGAATGACGACGAGATGAAGAAGAATTGTACACCTGCGACAAAGGTAAGACACTTCGAAGTTGTTTGATTCTGCGGCTCGTTCACTCACCAACATCAAGGCCCAACTCCCCAACACTGAACAATTGGACGATGACGACGCCGCAATGTTATCCGAGGGCCTTGTAGATCTTCCAGAAGACTCGATTGTTGATACTGAGTCGAGCGATGGGCGAGGTTTAGAAGAGTTCGACGCCTCTGACCAAGATGACGATTATGTCATCAAGGTTGATGAGTCCGAATCCGATGACCACGAAGTTGTGATCCCCAAGAAACCAGCTGCGAAGAAAGAGGTAAGTTGTTCAATAACCTTTCTTTATCGATATACTCACCAGTTAACATTGTTCAGAAGCCCAAACGCGGTGAACTAAGACAAACGATCAACAATGCTCGCCAGGTCGCTCCTGCATCCGGCCTCGTCATTGGCGCCAAACGCAAAGATCCAGCCGACCCCAAGTCTTCGTGAGTGTTGCCAGTTGGCTCGAACCAGCCCTCTTCTTTGTTGTCACTCCTTCATTTCCCAACAGACAACCTGACAAGCGAGCCAAGAAGTCTGAGCCGATGGGGTTGATGGCCGATTGGAAGAAGAAGGTCAGGCAGAAAGGTGACGTCGCTCCATTTTGCTGGTATTCTCAACATGCGACAAATAATGGGCCCACAGGTTCTAATGGGTCCGAGGCCGACTTGGTGAATACCGAGCTCGAACCTGTGGGGGGTGAGTTTCATGATGATGAGGAAGCTGTGTCTGTCACGGCGGCTCGCACCGCGAAGGGAGCGAATGTTACTAAAGTCAAATACGAGGTGCGTACTTCCCGCTCTTTGGTCTTTGAACATCAACAAACTTCCTCACACGTCGCAGACCCCCATGAGATTAGTCCAGACACCCTCCATCGACATCGAGCAATTTCGGCGAGGACGTGGACCGAAGAAGGAAAAGTACACCGTCATCGACCTTCCCTTTCCCGCAGGACCTGGGAAAGCTGCCTACCATCAGAAGTGGCGTCGACAGTTCAAACATAGCCTGTACCATTGGGCTGGTACTGTTTCAGATCCTTTTGGTACCAACGCTATCATGGGGCCAAAGGTACGTGAGATCTGGAACGCCGTGTATCCGACTTTGGTTCTGGAGAACGATGACCCTGCTTGGGATGTCATCCGTGGTGTCGTGAGTAACCGAATCACGCTTTGTTCATGCCGTCTTGACTCTCAAGTGTAAACTCAGGCCGGGGACGCGCTCCTGGATTGGCGCAGTTCAGCTGGGAAGGACGCTATCAAGATCGTCGTTAAAACATTCAAAGAGAACAAGATTTCCGATGACGAAGTCGGCGAGGTTGCAGAGTATTACCTCAAGAAATTCCGGTTTATCTATGGAAATCCCGATGCATCAAATCCAGTGAGTGCATTGTTCCCCTTTAGTAGATTCTTTCTGTTCAATTCCCTCCAGGAGGAGAAGGAGCCGTTCCTTGGTCCGTTTATGCTCGAAATGTTCGCAACCGTTCTCAAGAAAACGGTTGCGTCCATGTTTGGATATGGCCACCCCATCGGCGGTCTTGCAATGGCCGCGGCTACTGTGCGTCTTTACTTTCCCCCTCGTCTCTGTTCCTTGACTCTTTTTTCTTCAGCTAGAGCGTGCATTTGAATTAATTAAACAGGGTCGGGTAACTCTGGATTACGAGGACGACACCGATAAGAAGAAACCCTCCCTCCCTCAATTCAATGATAAGCTATGGGGTCCGAAGGTTCGCAAGTGGGTCGTGTCGACACAGAAACTCGACGTCAAGAAACATTGGCCAAACATTCTCCATAATGCCGCGTCGAGGGTAGCCAACTTCAACGTAGATGAGGATGGTGATGAGGATGATGGTGACGAGGATCCTCGGGCAATGATTGTCATTTGTAAGACATCTCGCTTTCAGCTTTGCTCGCCGTACTCGTCACTCATTACATTGATAGAACTACCATTGCTTGCCTCACCTTCCATAAGTACATAGGAATACATTTGTAATTTGCTTATTGAATCAATTCTCCTATGATCTATAATAAAAATCTCGCCGTACAAGAGCCTACTAGTGGTACTGGGATTTACTAGGATACTGAATGTTCTACTAGAATAAGTACAAAATACTAGCCCTAGTTGTCCCACCTTCCTAGTCGCTCAACTAGAATCGGATAAGTTCGTTAGCCCTAGTTTGGTAAACTAGGACACTAGAAATGACTAGAGATACTAGAAACACTAATTCTAGTATTTCTAGAGGGATGCGATCTTGCTGATGCAGGTGGGCTTGGCATTGATATACTTCACCCATTCTGGACGACCTGAGTCTTGACTTTCACTTGCTGAATAGCGTTCCCACCGAGGAAGGTGTAAGTGAGTTCCTTTTTATTAAACGTCACAGTCAACCGTCAAGAACTCAAGCATGCCGAGGCAGGAGTGACGACGTACCCTTCCGTTGTCCCACATACGAGTGGCCTTGGTAGGGACAGCTCGCATCGCACCACCACCGCCAAGGCGCCGGACATCCGCTTTGATACTAAGGAGGCGGCCATGTCGTGACAGACTTCAACGCAAGCGCACTGGAACCATATCCATCGCCTAAATCAGGAAGTAGTCAAGATATCCCTTTTTTGGCAGAATATATTGTCGAAGTTTTTGAGGGAAGTGTGTATCTACTTCTGACTCTTATCAATGTAGGTGTGCAGTAGTACATATTCAAGTTCGTTTGAAAACACAGACTTTGTTCAGACCCAGCACAAGCTCAAATGCATCCGAGTCAGTAAGCTGGCAGGCACTAGTCTCGGAAACCCATCCTCTTTGGGCACCCTTCCCAATTTGGGTCCCTTCCCTTAAGAGTCTGGGAATCTTCCAACGACATCAACGTACCTTTGTCTTCGCCAATTTCTCGGCGGTTATGTAAGCTTTATGTCTGCCTTTCTGAA